TTTAAACAATTCCCCAAGGAAACCAGGTTTTATAACTTAAAATCACCCATTAACAAGATTCATCAAGGCTATAACATGGCAAAACTTTAATGGCTCAATTAGCCTTGTGGTGACCAAAAATCACATCCAATTCTTCTACAGTTCCATGGGTTCCCCGTGCCTTCCCATTGCCCATCCACAAAGAGCTGGGCCATGGCAGTCTCAGCTTTAAAGACCACCTGGCATCAACAAAACTGGTGTTTCAAGTTTCAACCACCAAAAGTTAGAGGATTAGATGCGATGATATGAGATGTACCAGTAAAATGGGAATATCATGACTTTTTTGGCTGATAACTAACCAATCGTTGCAACATGTGTCAACCATGGATTGGTTGCAGGGAAATCTTCACCGGGAACCCTCGATTTTCCATGATTTTCCCATTGAAGATGGGGCTTAAACCAGTAACATGTCCCTGAAAAACCAGTCCTTTGAAACCAGCAATGCCAATGCTTTTTAGATACGCTGAGATCTTATGGGAACCATATGGAATCAGCCCGAAAATCGCATCGAGACGCGGCTCTGTTCTTTGGAATCATCGCAGCCCAGGTGCCAGAAACAATGGTGATTTAACCAACATGGGGATATAATTAATGGGATATATTGGGTTCTTCTGGCATGACCAACTTCATATGGCATATGTGTGTAGCTGAAAACGGGACCAGCTACAAACCATGGGGAAAATGCTGCGGGAACAACTTTAAACTGACAACGATACGCCCAGCTTAGAGATGCAAAGAAGCGGTGGCAAATACGGGCCTATTTAGTAAGTTCATGTTTTAAACCAAATAAGATCTTTTCGGCACATATTTGTTACTGTAGATCAGTTATATGATTTACACTTACACGGAATCAATAAATGGTGGTTGATCTAAAATCCTTTATCTGCAAACGGCCATTCTTTGCCAATAAAAATGTTACCCTCGCGAATCTTTTGCGAACCCCACGTTTATCTTTCGCGGGGGTCTCATCTTGAAATCTTTTGCCAAATGGTTCGCCAAAAAAAAACACTTTCGCGAACTCAGAAAAAAAAATCGCAGGGTCCAATGATGGAACCCTAGCGGCCTTTGTAGTGGACAATCTCTACAGTACATGGACCTTTAGATCGACACTCCATAATTAAATATAAATACACATACAGTACATATATACATATTTATTTAACATTATTTAACACTAACAAATACAAATAACCCCATTTTTCACCATCAACCAGGCGTCGGTTCAATTCCGACAAGTTGCAGCCACATGGTGCCACTGCCTGGCTCGTCATCGGGATGGGAAATGGGGATTCAAACCAACCAAATATGGTGGTTTAGCCATCAACAAATGCTGACTTGATCATGATTTAATGGGATTGTATTGGGATACGACTGGGATGCTATTGGGATCTATATAATGGACTTTGTTACTGTATGATACTGTATGCGGATATAATGGGAATATAAATGGGAAATATCATTGGGAATACAATGAGAATATCAACGTCTATGATGGCGTTAGCGGGAATAGTAGTGTTTTGTTATTTGTGATATAGAATGGGAACAATATAATAATATATAGTAAAAACCAACCAACAAGCAAAATTGGTATACAACGGCATTCAACCAACATGTTGTTTCACGGAATGGGTACTATAAATATAAATATATATATATATCATTATGTATACAATGAGAATATCGCGGGCATACATTGGGATATGATTTGGATATATGATTTGGATATATATAAAACCAGCAATATGTGTTTTGGGTTTATCCAAAAATGGTGAGATTAGGCCCACCCTGTATCAATTGATGGCCATCTTTTTTTTCAGAACATGGTGACTAACCTGCAGATTCATGGGCGCGGCATTCTCAATAAAAGGAGAATTCCTGCAATGAAAACGCGGATTCTAACACCAATTGGAGGAAACATCAAAACATCAGAACCTGGAGAAAAAACATATAGATAAAGTATGATGAAGCACCTCTAGATATCGATAAATCATCCACCATTCAGTTTCTTTTTCCATGTTCAATATAAAATGTGTCACGTTATTACACTATGCCTATCCAAGGTATGGTTAGTCCATGCTGGTACAGTGGTTTTCTCTGGCAATTTGTTACATGACTGTGGAAAATCACATTTTTTTTATGGACACATGATCGAACAAAATGGGCCATGTTCAATAGCTATGTCAAATGATCATATCATATCATATTAATGTATATTAAAACAATTTAAAACATATCAATAGCTAATGAACCATGGGATATTTTCATGCTATCCATTTTAGTTTAATATTGGAGCTTCATATCCTGGTATTGACCCGTCTCCACATCAGGACCCGTGAAATCCCGCACCCATCATCGATGGAGGTCAACCCGACCTCGCCACTAGGGATCAATACGGATCAGCATCCCAAACTGCGCTTAAGAACTGTGAAATATATGAAACATTTAAAACCACCAGCCAGATATTGACTTCGAAGCCAAGAGTTTGTCAACCACCACATTTGATCAAATATTGCACAATTCTTTACAGATTGTCTTCGACTCTCTTCGAATTCCAGAGCTCTCCCTCATCCTCCTCATTCTGATGCCACTCTCATCCGTCCCACTGCAAATGTTCACGTCTCAGGAACTACTTTCTCAGTGCAGGACAATCTCACTTCCTCCAGGGGATTCCACTGGTGGCCTCAAGTTATAGACTGCCAAGTCATTGACACCAAACCCAAGAGTGTGGATCAATCAAAAGGAATCATGTCTGTTGGCCCAACACGTCTTCTTTGTTGAAACATACCGAAACTCGAAAACATTGAAACTACCCTCTGGTAAACTAACATAACTATGGAACATCACAATTTTTAATGGGTAAATCAACTATAAGTAATCTATAAGTGACCTAATTGAATATATAATATATTGAATGTATGATTGAGGGCATTTCCGTCTGTCTCTGGGCCTCACTCTTTAGGCTTGCAATGGCTTCGGCACCCACTGAGACCCTGGGCGCATCGGGGGCATCCTCGGGCGGCTCCTGTGAGCACCACAGAAAAACATGGGAAAGCCATGACGCCCACATGGCGATGAGCCAAAAGCACCCAAAACCCATGGAAACCCTGGCTTTTTCCCATCAAAATCATCAATATACCCTCTGGTAATTTAACATAGCTATGGAAAATCACAATTTTTAATGGGAAAATCCACTATAAATGGCCATTTTCAATAGCTATGTTAGTTTACCAGAGGGTATCTGGAATTGATTGATGTTCATCCCGCTAAAAACGCTAGTGATAGATATGAAAATTCAGAACCATATCCATATCGTGACAGAATTCTAAGGCACCTACGCATATTTCTGGAATTTCACAAGTTACATCGTTTTCCCTGTGCATTCTTCCGGTCAAATCTGGCAGTTTCGATGATTCCCACCTCGGATCTTTGTTCCATGGCACCGCCTGTTGCAAATCTGACCTGCACGATGAGGCACTGCACTGGACACTGGACACTGGGCCGTGAGATGCTGTGAGTCTCAAAGGGGCTCTGAGAGGTAAAGAAAACGCTGAAAAAAACACTGCAATTGAAAATCTCAAAAAGGCACAGGCCGGCAAACCCCACACCGATGACGCTGACGATGGTGATTCTTATTGTGATGGTGATGATCATGGTGATGATGAGTCTACATATCAGTATAATGATGATGAATAGATAAATATAAAACAAATACGATGATAATTATTATAAAGATGATCATGATGGCGCAATGATTACAATGGCGAAGATAATGATAATTATATATAATGATATATATATAATGATGAACAAGGAAATATTGCCTTTATCACAAATGATCATGAATCCTCGTGGATCATGGTGAATGATCATGAACAATGACAAATGATTGGATAAACATTCCTCGTGCATGGTTCTGATGACCAACAAATAGTGTGCGTATAACATTGCGCAATGTTAGATAGTGGCAAGAAACGATGCGTTCATCATCAATTCTATGTGCATCTAGACATCGAACCTGTGATGATCCAGCATGCGGTCGCATTCACAGTCATGGGACACGTAACCCGTGGAAACAGTGACATCATTCATGAATGGCTGAGATATGATTACATTTGCCTATCGCAATACAACAACATCGTGGGACTTTCGATGTTTCAATATCATTCGCCTCCAAACATATCCCATCCAGAAAAAAGATCGCCCTTTTGGAGCAGGAAAAAAACATATCTGCTTGAAGATCAAACATATCTGACACGACTTACACATCGTTTTGTGGCGCTTCAACTTCCATTATGCAGCTCAAAATTCCCATGTATTCACTGGTTGGTGGTTTCAATGTTTGAAACCACCAACCAGATTCAGTATTCTTGGGAAATCCCCCATTCCCGGGTTGGACGACCATCGACCTTCGCCCCTGCAGCCAACATCCAGCCATCGCTGGAGATGATCCTGGTGTTACAGAAACGGTTTGAATGCGTTAAAAAATCATCAATATATATATATATATACTGTATGTATATATATACATAATGATTATATATATATATACTGTATATAATATCTTTAAAACAATCCCTTGTAACATTAATTTGGCATCCCATATTATTCTGATATATTCTGATCATCTCATGATATCACAGACAACTCTTATGATATAACACCTAAGCCTCACAATCCTGTAACATGAGATCATACGCTCGTCAGTTGGGGATGTTCATCCCACATAGGGTGGAAACAAGCGATGTTTGAACCTGTTATATAAGCAGAACACATTGCGATCTATAGGCTTCTCTGGAAATGTGGTACCCCTAAATCTGCACACTAATCATCATTTTGGATCATATTGTCATGTAAAGAATCAACATGAATCAAATGAATCAGCATTAAGCGATCCGTCTGTCAAGTAGTATATGTTGTAATGTTGATAGATTCAGAGACTGACATATATAGTGTTTGGGCGGGATCTGTTTCGACCCATGAAACATGATGTGCAATGAGAGCCTCTCCAGCAAATACTTAGGCTTAATAAAAATGTTTGGATATACAGGTCCTAGCGTTGTCTAGCGTTGTCATTGCAAAGCCCTCGAAGAACCAAAATAACACGTTGAATCGAGAATTCCCCGAAAGCAGTCTCGCAGGCAGTCAGGGTCTGTCCGCCACTTGTCCCTCCACATCATGTCAGTTCTGAGCTCTACAAATAATATGCTGGAAAACCCACTTCCGTGCCACAGAGTTGTTCAATTTGCATCACATCATTCCACTCCCTCTTCTGACACGGTGTGATCCAAGAACAAATACCATCTTACGATGGTATTCTATCAGTATATGTATCAACACTGTGATTGGGAGTATTGGATATATCTGACTCAAGTAAAGGGGTTCAAAGGACCAAATCAGGGTCATATGCCCGGAGCTCCCGATGTTCCTTGAATGCCTCACTATTTAAAATACTTAGAAACCAACAGTGGCTTCAAACACGTCACAAGTGACCCCAGCCCTTCAGCCCCTGCCAAAAAAATCTCCTATCCTCCATTCAATCCGGTGTCTCATGAGGGTGCGGGTCACAACTGGGAAAACTACCAATCAACTTTACAGATTTGGTCATGTTAAGTTTGTCAATCTTATGTATTTGAATGTATTGAATCTATCCTACCCTGAATCTAACAGTTCGATGTGGAAAATCCACCATTTGTAGATCATGTTCCGAACGGGCAACCGCGGCAACCATTGACGTTCCACATCTTCTTGTGTGTCTACCCTAGGGTAATATCGTGTAATATCAACCAATCATTTAGGACCCGGGCTATGATCACCATCCATGTTGGGTTGTGGATCATCAGATTGATTTTATCACTCTATTACTGGATCCACTGGGTAGTCATTGGAGCTCAGGGGGGAATGGGCGAATGACTCATAATGACTATTAAGATTCACCCCATTCCCCCATTCCCTACTAAGCACCAATAAGAATCATTAAACAAAACTTGCTGCTGTATGCAAACTAGTTATCCGCTGGTTTATTTAACATAGCCATGGAAAATGGCCCATTTATAGATGGTTTACCTATTAAAAATGGTGATTTTCCATGGCTATGTGACAAATAACCAGAGGGTATTGCCGTCAGCTCCCCGGTGCCCCTCCTGCTCTCAGCTGCGACCTCCGACTGACGCATCACATAGGCCACGACGCTGAAGTCCATCGACCTCCCAAGAAATGGATAGTCCCAGTCATGGTGAAGTAACCAATGGGAAAATACACCATGTTCCTCAGCAAATCGAGGATTAGGATGAATTATGATTCGGACATAGCACCTAACTGGGACCCAACAAACAGAATTGATTTGACCAGCAAAGTAGCGAGGTTTACCATCAAAGGCGTGTGAATGTTTTCAGCCATGGCTTTGGTCCTATGTAGTACGGATGGGAAGGGCACGAGTGCAGATTCAGATGTTTGATTCAATGATTTTCCCATGCGCTTTGGCATCGCAATGTTGTAACCTTCCAAGCCCCCACACGCAGACAGACAGACACACACTGTTCAAGAAGAAATGTGATATGAGATGCTGCCATCTACCCTCTGGTAAACCATAACTATGGAAAATCACCATGTTCAATGGGAAAACCACTAAATGGCCATTTTCAATAGCTATGTTAGTCATTACCAGAGGGTATAGTTAATGGCTATTCTGAATGTTTCTGTTCTTGCAGACTTGATCTACAAGGTGCTTGGCATGTCACCAATGGCTGCCACCTCCACTTAGCGAATGCTTGGCTGATCTGTTCACTCAACTGCTGGTTATTTACAAAAGCCATTTATTTTGTAACTCCCAGATATCCTCTGGTAAACGTTTACATAACTATGGAAAATCACCATTTTTAATGGGAAAATCCACTATAAATGGTGATTTTCCATAGCTATGTTAAATTACCAGAGGGTAGATGGACAAATTGAAAACCTGGATGAAGAAAAACCTTAACAGCTACAAAATCCTGCAAAGACTAGTGATTAGTCTAGCTTTTTGGGACACCCATCTTATCTTTGCACGTTGCACGAGTCCAGGTGTCCCAACAGGGGAATCTGCAGCTGCGGCTCAATGACACCAAGCAGTTCCCCAGGCTGCTGCCAGTCACATTCCAGGAAGACCTGGGCGATGGAAAACTCCCCATTTGGTTCGATGATGTTCCTATAGATATTTATATAGATAGATGACCATTTAAGTTCGGAGCTGTTCCAGCTATGGCTGAGGGTAATTTCAAGCAACCACGAGTTCGTTGAAGTTGATAGAATCATGAGAAAACATTAGATACATAACAGAACACGTTGCCTCATTTATATAAATTCGCTGCCGTGGGGGGATCACCAAAAGCGGTGGATCTAACCACCAAGACACGGCATCTCACCGGTGGAAATCGTATGGGTCAAATTTTAAGACCAGAGGACCATAAATGGACTGGTCCATTTGCACCATAGTAAACCATCCTATTTTATCCATGTTTATCCTATTTAGGGGTAGCATTGTGATGCACTGAAAGATGATAGCATCATCTTTGAACTTGGAAGTTCAGTGTTATCAAACATTGGCTTGCACTATCTTTTCCGTATGCCTTTAACAAATCCAGGTCTTTTTAATCAGTGAATGAACTATAACGGGCCGGTTTCCATATAGGACGACTGGATCATAGCTGGAAAGGCTTGGTCCAACCGAGACCTTTTGGGCGGGATCAAGATGATCAAGCAACAGGAATAGGGATACAATATTTTACCAACCAGACATAAGGCAAAACAAGCAAAATTGGACTTTTCCCCTAAAAAACATCACTTTTCCGATCACTTTTCCCGCATTAAGGTCACGCAGCAGCTGGGCTTTCGCACTGCTGGTGTATCCGCGCGCCAGGGTTTAGGTCCTGCCATGATGTCATGGTTTTCATGTGGATTCCCAATTTCATGGTCGCTGCTAATGAAACACACATGTCTATGTACGTATATATAAGTGTAGGTGAATAACCCCACAACTGGTCATATTTACCATCAATCAACGCCAGGGTTGTTCAAACTGTTCATCACTATCTTATCGAATGTTGTCGAATCATACGTTGATATACATTGTGTCGGCTGTGTGGCGTCCCTGCTCAGTCAAGGCAGCCATAGGTCATCCACTTTGGGGTTGCCTGATGACTCTAGCTGCTTCATGATTTCTCTATAAATTTTCGGATGAACTGCCCAGTGATTTTGGGCAAATCATAATGATTCACTGCATGATCCCCAACTCTGATTTGAGGCCACCTGCTGGGGATTCTTTTAACTTAACCTGCTGGGGGTCGCCTGTATCATCATCATCCTCCACGAAACGGAGCTCAAGCTCTTCCTGTGGGGACCCGGTCAGGTAGAGGTGAGTACCCTGGCGACCCCCCCAAAACATGAGGAGTTTTGTTTTACCAGCAAAAATATAGCAAACGTGTGAAATTAAACAGCAAAAATTGGATTTTTCCAGCAAACATGGGGGCTGAAATCGCAAATCGCAAAGATTTGGCTTGAGATTGCCAAAATCGGGGGTGTATTAAGCAGATAAATTGGGATGTAAGCGGAATGGATCAACTTTAGCAGGACGTTTGGTTTGGTCATATCAGGAAATGAGGCGAAGACCATTGGAGTGGTACAACTAACAAATGATGCAGATCCCAAACAAGAAAGACATAACAAGAGGAAGTTATCCAACAAGAATGTAGGAAAGGACCAGCAACCAGCGAAACATACCCAATCGTCAGGATGTAACCAACAAAGCAGGTCATGGCAAGAAAACAACAAATTATAAGCCGAAAAAGGAGAATTATTCTTCTGATTTTTGGGCCAAAACATCCCAAATCATCAAAAGGGAAGACTTCAAGCACCCCAGGCAGTGCCAGGCAGAAAGGAGATGGGACATTTTAATGACATGTTCACCATATCTCTGCGGCTTTATCCACCCAAGAACCAAGAACTTCCATATTTCCATTGAAATGCAAACCATAGCCGAAAGAAGGTGAATAACTAGCATCGTATATCATCACATATATACATGTCGTCGTCATAATCATCATCATCATTATCATTATCATCATCATCATCATCATCATCGTATATATATATATACATATACAGAATCAGAAGTACATGTGTGTGTGTGTCACAGGAAACACCTGTATATACATCACTTGCACTGTTGAGTATGTTTGTATACTTATAGAATGCACCGTAATGAGTTCAATGTATACATCCTGCGTGGCGCCTCTTCATCTGCAGGAGCCATGACAGAGTGATGTGACAGGCCCTAGCAGTTTGACTGTGTTGATAGATGTTGGGATACTTTTGAACTGTGCATTTGTCCAAAAATGGTGCATACCCCAAAATGGTCACATTCATGGTGAAAATGATGATGAACCATCAGATTTGGGGACACCCTATTTTCAGACAAATCTATATATATATATATATTCAAGCTTTCTGCTCATCACAACTGTCAACTGTCACTGATATAGATGTCAAACCTACATCTGCACTTCAGACTTCAGTGGATAATGTCAGCCAAAGGGCTCCAGTGTAAAATTTTGAATGTCACAAATGCTACTCCTGTCCCCTCGACTTAACGAGCAAGGTTTGGTGCCTTGCCCACCAATACTCGGTTGACAGGTTGACATGTTGACTCCGTCAATTGAGCACTTAATTATCAACCTCATTGAGGGCCTTGAGCAGAGGTCAAATGCATTGAAACTGGCTCGAATTTCAAAGCAAAACAAGTCAGCAAATCCACTAATTATATGATCACAATCAACATGGATGTTTGACAAAACAACAACCCCGAAAGTCCAAGTACCCAGATACTAGATACCTCTGGAATTCTGAGCTCAGCAGGGAAAAACAACTGATCTGTCCAAGCGGAAAACATGGGGGTGCGGGCCCCACTAAATGGCTCATACCCCCTATACAAATTTGGAATCTCCACAAGTATGGGATGAAATATGGGTGATATATATATATATATATGGTTTATAAACCACTTACTAACCTTTTGGAACGAGCTGAAGCGGAGCGGTTTGCACAGCAGAGTTGAAAACTCGGCCCGACTGGCGGCCGCTTGGCCGCCACTGGCGGCCGGTCACCCTACATTCTGACGATGGATTTGGTTGATTGGATCCGCATTTGATCATTGAACCATCAGCGGACAGGAGTCTGTGGTTGTATGTTTTGTTTTGGAAAGGTGGCCGACTTGCCTACTGCAGAAATGAAAAAGTATCTTAGTCGCTACACTAGTATTTCTTCACGGGCAGACCTTACAGAAGATGTTGTCACAAGTGATATTCATTGGCTGAGTACGCTCAACAATGCCATCCAGTATTCCACATAAGTGGCATCCCACTTAAAGATCTTAAAGGACAGTATATTCCAGTCACACCGCAGTTCACGGAAGGCCAATTGTCATATGCATGGAACATGAACTAAATGTGCAAAATGAATATCATGCTTCACGCAAAAATAACTGTGCAGGGTGCACAACATGTGCATTGCCTAAAACATGAAATCTGGCGTTCTAGACATAGCCTCATAGCATATGAATTTGAGAGCACAAGCACGCATCAAAGATTTTCTTCAACACATTGTTGCCATCCTCAAAAATCATAAAAGCTTCTCCCAGATCTCTCAGCCCCATTGGGCGACAACTCTGCTGTTTGGAATTTTCGGCTCTGTACATGAGCAGGGCGCGAAAAACCTGGACCACTGACAAGATGTGGAGGTTTCCTAAGTCATGGGAGTACCCCTAAATCATCCATTTTAGTAGGATTTTCCATTATAAACCATCCAGCTATTGGGGTACCCCCATTTATGGAAACTCCTATTTGTGAAGTGATCTGTGGCAAGGTTTTGCACCCAGCATCTCGATCCGTTCCAGAGGATGGTCGCATATCACAACATGTATTGAGATGATCATCATAATAATCAACATAAATCCGTAAATCCATAGTAAGCTACATAAATCCATAACAGTTTTTTTGGGCAGACTGGGACCACAAGGAGATATCGCAGACCAATCCAAACATGCGCAAGGCTGTCGCACGGCCAACACAGTTACAGTGTTCCTGGGTCCTGCGATGGAAATGCTGAAGCTCAGACAGCATCTGCTGGGCTGACCGACTGACCTATCAAAAAATGGTGTAAAGAGTTTGCCACTGAACAGCGTATAAGGAATCAGAGTCTTCATTTTTCGCTACTTGGATGCTATCGTGCAGTAGACGCAGCTGGCATTTGAAATCCAAACGTTTTACGGCAACACCATCTACGACCTGGGGATTTCCATTCCCATCATTTCCATTTTCAGTTAAGTTTGCGTCAGTTGACCAAGTGATGCCGGTTGAGTGGGGTTGATTCACATGATTCACCCGAATCCAGCTACGTAGCAATGAAGTTGTTGGTGCCCTTGAAGTGAAAAAATGCCTGCATTTACCGTCCATTGTACAGATGTGTATACCACTTAAAATGCGAAGGCTTCCTACTTTAGGAGTTGATTTTCTTGCTCCATTCCCAAACACGGCATGGGAACTTGCCACCTTTCAAAAGCGGCAACACATCAGGCGTTCCAGTTTCAGGTACCTTACATTGCAAGTACAAGGCATTCTTTGGCATAGCACTCGCATTGATCCCGCTTCTACCTAGGAATTGGCCAGTACCTTTCATGGTACGATGTGGACATGGTTTTCCAAGCCGAACCCAAGGCACCGACTTGCCACTTTGCACGGAACTGCTCCAAATTCTTTACATCCGCCGCAAGCCGCCCCTTGAATGCCACAACGAGGCACATATGTCGAAAACAACCGAGGATGATGTGCGCTGGTCAGGGCTAATCTTAGACCACCTGCAAAAGTCAAATGATTGAATAATTAATTCCTGTATTTACTTTAATTATATATAGCAAAAACCATCCATGAAAATACCGTCCCCAAAATCAACCAGACTTTACCTGGTGGAGTATCTGAAATCTTCCAGGGCGGGAAATCACCATTTTCACTAGGTAAATCAACTAGACATAACTATACTATAGTGATCTATAGTGTACATGTTCAATAGTTATGTAGTAATTTCATGTAATTTCCTTGCAGGCCATTCGAATCATTCGAGGCTGCGACCTGCACACCCGAAACCAAGCTGCTGGGCTCGCCGGCCGATGGTTTCTGCGAAGGCCAGATTCGTGGCACACTCCGAATTGAAGGACCCAAATTTCAACAGTAAAATCCTCATAAAATATCAGGAACTATTGAGTTGTTTTTTGAGGATCTCAACCTTGACCCATAAACATGATCCAATGTCGCTCATTGTCATGTTTGGTTCTCCTCCATTTCTCCTACTTGGTGTCCCCTTCAGCATCTCGCAGAAGTCCGGCGGCCCACGAGCACAGCGGAAAATGCCAAGGCTTCGAAAGCACCAAGACTCGCACAACAAAGCAGGGTGCAACAGCCTCAAAGAGACCGTTGTCCCCAGTCAGGTGCGGCACAACATCCCATGATGTTGCGCCAGAAAAGCCGGGCGCGACTAACGCGACGCGATGGGTGGGAATTGACATGTGAATTGACCCGTATTCAACCACTTTTGTTTTCAAACAGCCCCAATAATGACTGGTTCCCTCAACGTCACAGACTGTACCAGCTAGTGTGTAAAACTTTGAAAGCAGCACTGGCGTATAGAAAACTGAGTGGAGAAACGTAGGCTTTGCAGAAACCTAGAAGTCTTTCCCAAAGGCCCATCTCGACGCGTAGTGGCGAATCGAAAATCGACCATGGATTCTGTCGCGAAGGTCTGACTAGAGAAATCTGGTGGAAATGGTGGAAACTCCAGCCCTCCATCCCACTGAGGAACTCTTGTAACCCAAAAAAGTGTTTTCAATGGTGGCACCTGATGAAACCTTGATAGACATATGTTATAATGTGTATGTATGTATACACAATTATATACATATGCGTGGGTATAAATTAACTATTCTACATATAATATCTATATACATATATATATATATAATATCATATCAATCATAATTATATATACATGTATGTGTATATATATAATATATGATTTACGTGGATTTGGATATAAGATCAGTCTTCAGCAACCTTGCATAACAAACACCCGCGAGCGCCGTGCCACATCACCAGTCCAAGAAGTTGGGAGTGATATCTGGGGACATACCAACCAGGTGATCCAAAATCGCCATGGAAAATGGATGAATATGACCCAGTTGTAGATGATTCACCTGTTAGACATGGTGTCTTTCCATAGCCATGTTATAAATAGTGTTAAATATGGCCTGATCTTCGCAACATTAGACATGGCCCACCCTTGGTGGCAGTCGCTGTATGACTGCCATGTCACACTCGCGTAAGCCCGAGTGCGCCTCTGGTCACTATATGGCGTAGGAGCCATCTCCTGTCGAGGCTCAGAATTCGCAGTTTAACCCAAATTTTTGGGGTTGAATCCATTGATCCACACCAGGGTTCCTCAGATGTTTTAACACATGAAGATATGGAGAGCAAACGGAACATAGTGGGCACGTGACGAACCTGGATACTCAGGTGTGGATCCAAATACATATGATTCAACTCTTATCCTCTTAGCGGACGTCGATGAGGGACCAGTTTTCCACTTTTGACTCGCATGCCGAACCAAGGGTCTGCCGTGTAATCAACAGCACCATCCAGTGCTGGTAGACTTCCACATCTGCATTTCAAAACTAAGACTTAAAGTGTCCACGAATACGAGACTTACTCATTTGAACAAGTCCTCTACTATGATGAGTGTACAGAACCTTTACGGTAGCGGACCCAGCTTGCAGGTCCTCCTGGTTTTCAGCCCTTGCCTGGCATCACCAGCCACTAACATGTCCGAAGGCCCCAAATATGAAATAGGGCCTTCAACGCAGGTTCCTCAGCTTGCCGCAGTTTAAAACAGCTTGGTTCATCAGTTCATCACCATCCCAGCCTCTCAGTAGACGACCATCTTGGAGTTTGATCTGCCCAAACGCACTTTCAAATCAACCTCCAGTGGACCCTTGTGCACTGGTGGCACTTGTTGTTGGCGGTTGAAAAAGAATCAGGATGAATATGGATGAATATGGATGAATATCGATCCTCACCTGAGATGGATGTCTAAGCAAAATTGCAGGTCTTGTTTCACTAGAACCAGTGCAGAAACTGCGATAAAATACCCATACCACACCTCCCAAACGAAACCCTAGTGAAATATATTGGATCTCTTTACTGGGGGCGGTTTTCTATTGGGTCTTTCATACTTCTAGTATCATTCAGGAGGAGGTTGGAAGTGCAGTTCCAGTTATGGATATATATATATTGTTTTTTACATGATTTTACTATAGTTAATTGTAGGGTCCCCATATCAAAACTTATGATAGCCTCTGGTTATTTAACATCGCCATGGAAAATGCTTGATTTTCCCAGCTAGAAATCTCCATTTATAAGGGATTTTCCATGAACATCACTATTTTTAATAGGTAAACCATCTATAAATGGGCCATTTTCCATGGCTATGTTAGTCATAACCAGAGGGTAACTTCTTGGGGACTGAACTTCTTATAGGATCATCCCCTGATCCCCACTGGGCTAAGCAGCCACATCTGGGTCGTCGCTGTTCACGTCTGGCGACGGTCGTTGCACAGTCCTGCAACGGTACGAAAAACACAGGAGGGGTAGCCGAAACCACTGGCTGGTTCAATAGTAGGCTGACACTTCGGATGATTTGGATTGATTTGGGGGTATGTACCCCTCTCTTAGGACACATCTGGTCATTGGAGATCATTAAAAAGTAGGGATGGACATGTTGGAAGCAAATAAGATGAAAAGACATGAAAAGAATACACTAAATGACTCAACTCGGCGAAAACAGGACATGATCCCGTTGAGGACTCAAGAAACACCAAGCACCAGAAGCATGTCAGCAGCACATCACAATCTCTTCACCTGGCGTTCTCCTGAGTCAAGCAATTTTTGATCAAGACCCACATTAGAAGCCCAGAGTGCAAAGAAGATGCTCCAGCGTTTATCAGCGAACATCGGCGAATCTTAATAATTACATATAGTATGATATATAATATATATATATCCGCCGACCCCTGCCGACAGCAGGGGGAGCGCGTCAGAGAAGAGATTACAAGCAACAAGTGTTGTGCAGTGCAAGTGAGGGGCAAGCGAGGGGGGGACAGAAAGGGAAGCCAGGTGCAGAGTAAGAAGCCCAAAAAAGGAAGCGAGAAAGGAGGGGCAGTCTCAGCGAACGTAGCGGGGCAAGCGAGGGGGGGACAGAAAGGGAAGCCAGGTGCAGAGTAAGAAGCTCAAAAAAGGAAGCGAGAAAGGAGGGGCAGTCTCAGCGAACGTAGCAAGCGAAAGAAGCACGAAACAAGAAGTTAGAAGCAAGAATGCAGAAGCAAGAGTAAACGAGCGACAGAAAGTAATGTTTGGCACTCTGGGCTACGGGCCGCGGGCCCAATCCGTCCTTCACTGCCATGGTGCTTTAGCCCTGCGAGGAGGTCCCTTGACCGGAGCTGTGCCGCACGAAAGCCAGCTGTCAGACAATGCAGGCAAGTTGGCAGTTGGCAGTGCAGGAACGCAGGGAAAAGCTAGGTTTGAGCTGCAAGACGACGCAGGCAAAGTGGCAGGGAAAAGCAAGGTTTGAAGCTAGTTTCTAGGCAGTTCAGAAGGCAACGTTTGGCACCGTGGGCTGCCGGCTGCGGGCCCGATCCGTCCTTCAGTGCCATGGTGTTGGGGCCCTGCGGAGGGGTCCTTGGACTCGAGCTGACGGCAAGACACAGCAAGGTTTGAAGCTAGTTTCGACTTGACCGGAGCTGTGCCGCACGAAAGCCAGCTGTCAGACAATGCAGGCAAGTTGGCAGTTGGCAGTGCAGGAACGCAGGGAAAAGCAAAGTTTGAAGCTAGTTTCTAGGCACTGCAGAAAGCAACGTTTGGCAGTATGGGCTGCCGGCCGCGGGCCCGATCCGTCCTTCACTGCCATGGTGTTTGAGGCCTGCGACAGGGTCCTTGGACCCGAGCTGACGCCAGGAAACAGCAAGGTTTGAACCGGCAGACCTGGTCCGTCCCTCAGGGCCCTGCTGTTTGGCTGTGGCGCAGGCGCCGTTTTGGGTCAGACAGCAAGGTTTTCTTGTAGGTTCAGAAAGCAACGTTAGGCACTCACGGCCGTGGCCCGCAGGCCCGATCCGTCCTTCACTGCCATGGTGTTTGAGGCCCGCGACAGGGTCCTTGGACTCGAGCTGACGGCAGGAAACAGCAAGGTTTGAAGCTAGTTTCTAGGCAGTTCAGAAAGCAACGTTAGGCACTCACGGCCGTTTTTGAATGTTTGTGACGGCCGGAAAGGGCGCGTTTTTGAAGGTTTGACGGCTGGAAGAGAGCTTGTTTTCTTGTAGGTTCAGAAAGCAACGTTAGGCAGTGGGAGCGGTTGCCCGGAGGCTCGGTCCGTCCTTCAGGGCCCTGCTGTTTGGGCGTGGCGGAGGCGCCGTTTGTGAGCCTTGACGGCTGGAAGAGAGCTAGTTTGGGAGCCGTTGCCCGGAGGCTCGGTCCGTCCTTCAGGGCCCTGCTGTTTTGCTGTGGCGAGGGCGCCGTTTGTGAGCCTTGACGGCTGGAAGAGAGCTAGTTTTCTTGTAGGTTCAGAAAGCAACGTTAGGCAGTGGGAGCCGTTGCCCGGAGGCTCGGTCCGTCCTTCAGGGCCCTGCTGTTTTGCTGTGGCGGAGGCGCCGTTTGTGAGCCTTGACGGCTGGAAGAGAGCTAGTTTGGGAGCCGTTGCCCGGAGGCTCGGTCCGTCCTTCAGGGCCCTGCTGTTTTGCTGTGGCGAGGGCGCCGTTTGTGAGCCTTGACGGCTGGAAGAGAGCTAGTTTTCTTGTAGGTTCAGAAAGCAACGTTAGGCAGTGGGAGCCGTTGCCCGGAGGCTCGGTCCGTCCTTCAGGGCCCTGCTGTTTGGGCGTGGCGGAGGCGCCGTTTGTGAGCCTTGACGGCTGGAAGAGAGCTAGTTTGGGAGCCGTTGCCCGGAGGCTCGGTCCGTCCTTCAGGGCCCTGCTGTTTTGCTGTGGCGAGGGCGCCGTTTGTGAGCCTTGACGGCTGGAAGAGAGCTAGTTTTCTTGTAGGTTCAGAAAGCAACGTTAGGCAGTGGGAGCCGTTGCCCGGAGGCTCGGTCCGTCCTTCAGGGCCCTGCTGTTTGGGCGTGGCGGAGGCGCCGTTTGTGAGCCTTGACGGCTGGAAGAGAGCTAGTTTGGGAGCCGTTGCCCGGAGGCTCGGTCCGTCCTTCAGGGCCCTGCTGTTTTGCTGTGGCGAGGGCGCCGTTTGTGAGCCTTGACGGCTGGAAGAGAGCTAGTTTTCTTGTAGGTTCAGAAAGCAACGTTAGGCAGTGGGAGCCGTTGCCCGGAGGCTCGGTCCGTCCTTCAGGACCCTGCTGTTTGGGCGTGGCGGAGGCGCCGTTTGTGAGCCTTGACGGCTGGAAGAGAGCTAGTTTGGGAGCCGTTGCCCGGAGGCTCGGTCCGTCCTTCAGGGCCCTGCTGTTTTGCTGTGGCGAGGGCGCCGTTTGTGAGCCTTGACGGCTGGAAGAGAGCTAGTTTTCTTGTAGGTTCAGAAAGCAACGTTAGGCAGTGGGAGCGGTTGCCCGGAGGCTCGGTCCGTCCTTCAGGGCCCTGCTGTTTGGGCGTGGCGGAGGCGCCGTTTGTGAGCCTTGACGGCTGGAAGAGAGCTAGTTTGGGAGCCGTTGCCCGGAGGCTCGGTCCGTCCTTCAGGGCCCTGCTGTTTTGCTGTGGCGAGGGCGCCGTTTGTGAGCCTTGACGGCTGGAAGAGAGCTAGTTTTCTTGTAGGTTCAGAAAGCAACGTTAGGCAGTGGGAGCGGTTGCCCGGAGGCTCGGTCCGTCCTTCAGGGCCCTGCTGTTTGGGCGTGGCGAGGCGCCGTTTGTGAGCCTTGACGGCTGGAAGAGCGTTTTTGAAGGTTTGACGGCTGGAAGAGAGCTTGTTTTCTTGTAGGTTCAGAAAGCAACGTTAGGCAGTGGGAGCGGTTGCCCGGAGGCTCGGTCCGTCCTTCAGGGCCCTGCTGTTTGGGCGTGGCGGAGGCGCCGTTTGTGAGCCTTGACGGCTGGAAGAGAGCTAGTTTGGGAGCCGTTGCCCGGAGGCTCGGTCCGTCCTTCAGGGCCCTGCTGTTTTGCTGTGGCGAGGGCGCCGTTTGTGAGCCTTGACGGCTGGAAGAGAGCTAGTTTTCTTGTAGGTTCAGAAAGCAACGTTAGGCAGTGGGAGCCGTTGCCCGGAGGCTCGGTCCGTCCTTCAGGGCCCTGCTGTTTTGCTGTGGCGGAGGCGCCGTTTGTGAGCCTTGACGGCTGGAAGAGAGCTAGTTTGGGAGCCGTTGCCCGGAGGCTCGGTCCGTCCTTCAGGGCCCTGCTGTTTTGCTGTGGCGAGGGCGCCGTTTGTGAGCCTTGACGGCTGGAAGAGAGCTAGTTTTCTTGTAGGTTCAGAAAGCAACGTTAGGCAGTGGGAGCCGTTGCCCTGAGGCTCGGTCCGTCCTTCAGGGCCCTGCTGTTTGGGCGTGGCGGAGGCGCCGTTTGTGAGCCTTGACGGCTGGAAGAGAGCTAGTTTGGGAGCCGTTGCCCGGAGGCTCGGTCCGTCCTTCAGGGCCCTGCTGTTTTGCTGTGGCGAGGGCGCCGTTTGTGAGCCTTGACGGCTGGAAGAGAGCTAGTTTTCTTGTAGGTTCAGAAAGCAACGTTAGGCAGTGGGAGCGGTTGCCCGGAGGCTCGGTCCGTCCTTCAGGCCCCTGCTGTTTGGGCGTGGCGGAGGCGCCGTTTGTGAGCCTTGACGGCTGGAAGAGAGCTAGTTTGGGAGCCGTTGCCCGGAGGCTCGGTCCGTCCTTCAGGGCCCTGCTGTTTTGCTGTGGCGAGGGCGCCGTTTGTGAGCCTTGACGGCTGGAAGAGAGCTAGTTTTCTTGTAGGTTCAGAAAGCAACGTTAGGCAGTGGGAGCCGTTGCCCGGAGGCTCGGTCCGTCCTTCAGGGCCCTGCTGTTTGGGCGGGGCGGAGGCGCCGTTTGTGAGCCTTGACGGCTGGAAGAGAGCTAGTTTGGGAGCCGTTGCCCGGAGGCTCGGTCCGTCCTTCAGGGCCCTGCTGTTTTGCTGTGGCGAGGGCGCCGTTTGTGAGCCTTGACGGCTGGAAGAGAGCTAGTTTTCTTGTAGGTTCAGAAAGCAACGTTAGGCAGTGGGAGCCGTTGCCCGGAGGCTCGGTCCGTCCTTCAGGGCCCTGCTGTTTGGGCGTGGCGGAGGCGCCGTTTGTGAGCCTTGACGGCTGGAAGAGAGCTAGTTTGGGAGCCGTTGCCCGGAGGCTCGGTCCGTCCTTCAGGGCCCTGCTGTTTTGCTGTGGCGAGGGCGCCGTTTGTGAGCCTTGACGGCTGGAAGAGAGCTAGTTTTCTTGTCGGTTCAGAAAGCAACGTTAGGCACTGGGAGCCGTTGCCCGGAGGCTCGGTCCGTCCTTCAGGGCCCTGCTGTTTGGGCGTGGCGGAGGCGCCGTTTGTGAGCCTTGACGGCTGGAAGAGAGCTAGTTTGGGAGCCGTCCCGGGAGGCTCTGTTCGTCCCCCCTTTTTCCAGGGCCCTGCTGTTTTCTGTGGCGAGGGCGCCGTTTTGTGAATCCTTGACGTCTGGAATAGAGCTAGTTTGCTTGTAGTTTCACAGCAACGTTAGGCAGTGGGAGCGGTTGCCCGGAGGCTCGGTCCGTCCTTCAGGGCCCTGCTGTTTGGGCGTGGCGGAGGCGCCGTTTGTGAGCCTTGACGGCTGGAAGAGAGCTAGTTGGGGAGCCGTTGCCCGGAGGCTCGGTCCGTCCTTCAGGGCCCTGCTGTTTTGCTGTGGCGAGGGCGCCGTTTGTGAGCCTTGACGGCTGGAAGAGAGCTAGTTTTCTTGTAGGTTCAGAAAGCAACGTTAGGCAGTGGAAGCCGTTGCCCGGAGGCTCGGTCCGTCCTTCAGGGCCCTGCTGTTTGGGCGTGGCGGAGGCGCCGTTTCTGAGCTTGGAAAGCTGGAAGACGGCTACTTTTCTTGTAGGTTCAGAAAGCACTGTGGGGCATTGCCGTGCGGTGCGGCAACCTTAAGCTGGAAACGTCATCAGGTATGCACGCGCCACTGGTTGGTGCGACACTGCCGGCCGCTGGGATTGCGATGCGTTACCCGAATTCGGCCGGAAGCCAGTGTTGAGTGCACCACCGTGCCGCATGTTGGACATGCATGCGAATATGTGCGACCTGCGAGCAGGCCATTGGCAACGCGAAATTGTTTGCCGCAGCCATTACCGCGGCGGTGATCGACGCGCCCTGTTGCCACAGGGCTTTGCACAGACTTGGCACAGTACGGGCAGATGTATATGTGCAGTCGTGGCGGTGCTGTGTCAGGCCCGACAGCAAGCTGCTGGTTCGATGAGTGGGCAGTGTCCGTTTTGGGACCTTCTGCTCGCGTGGAAGTTTGTCTTGCTTCGTGTATTTCCTGAATTTCCTTGCGAATGTCCTCTAGGATTGCTGCGTGCCGGTGGCGGGTTTCGCGTTGGCGCAAGCGGGCCAGGCGTTGATTCGTGCGATGAGCAAGACGGCAAACGAAGGCAAAGGCTGTGCATGCGTTGCATACTTGTGTGCCGTCTTGAGTGTATTCACGACCTTGTTGCCAAGCTGTAAACTCTGTTCGTGGCTTGCGTTCCGCGCACATGGAACACATGAAAACAGACCAGCGACTTTGACTGAGCTTCGGCCGCCATCACTGTGGAAGATGTTCACTGCAGGAAGGGTTCCAAACTCACTCTCTCCCAGGGGTCGGCGGCAGGGGGCGTAGCCCCTTAATATGAAGGTTTTGGTTGATGTGAATGATTCGAACGATGACTAAAATATTGAAACAATGAATGTTGTATGATGTTTTATGATATTTTTTGATGTTGTTTGAAATGATGTTTGAAATGATGTTTAATGATGATTTATGATGTTTTATGATGTTGTTTGAAATGATGTTCGGCATGATGTTTGATAATGTGTTGTGATATTTTATGAGGTTGTTTGAAATGATGTTTGGAATAATGTTTGATGATGATTAATGATGTTTTATGATGTTCTTTCAAATGATGTTTGACATGATGTTTGATGATGTTTTGTGATGTTGTATGAGGTTCTGTGATGTTTTTTGATGTTGTTTGAAATGATGTTTGGAATGAGGATTGATGATGATTTATGATGATTTATGATGTTGCTAGAAATGATGTCTGGCATGATGTCTGATAATGTTTTGTGATATTTTATGAGGTTCTGTGATGTTTTTTGATGTTGTTTGAAATGATGTTTGGAATGATGATTGATGATGATTTATGATGTTGTTTGAAATGATGTTTGGCACGATGTTTGATAATGGTTTGTGATGTTTTATGAGGTTTTCTGGTGTTTTATGATGTTGATTGCAATGATGTTTGGAATGATGTTTGAAATGATGTTTGAAATGATGTTTGATGCTTTTGGGCTGGCCACGAGCTACATCGCAGCAAGCAGGACCTGTACCTTTTACTATGTCATCAATCGATCTGTTGGTTGCTAGGATGGATCACCTATAATCCAAACCAATCTTAGATGTTTCAACTGTGCATAGATGGTGCCGGTGCCTACAGCAACAAACAGCAACAAACAGCTAGTATCAGCTAGTTAGATCAAAATAGTCCTATCATAAATCATCAAAATGGCACAGTGTAAGTTGTTACTGGAGTTCCAAGGTTTACCCATCAAACCTGGGCAGTTGGGTTCCTTTGACCACCTGGATTCGATTAATAAGCCACTGGTTGAATCAACGCGGTTTATATGGGTTTTTAATAATTTCAATGGGGGAATGTCACTGAGGATAATGCGGGCCTTGAAAGCCCCCAATACCCCCGAAATGAATAGATACCAGGGTTTTTGGCCGGCGTTCATTCTTCGGGGGAAGGGTTTCGTGAAGCACTGCTTGGTTGATTGGGGCGGAAGTCATTTTATCACCCCTCAACCCATCAGGGTTGATTCTATTGGAGAAAGGTGCACTGATTATGACATCCAATCAAAAGCTAGGAAGTTTCAACACCCCATATCTTTTCAATGCTGATACAGTAAGAGAGCCCTCCGCTGAGCCTGAAAAAATGCACCCCAAAACGGCACCCGCGCGCCTCCAGGGTCAAAGGAGGTCCCCCATCCTCTGCCACCAACAGAGTGGCCACACCCGAATGGACGTAGATCCTAAGGGGGACGTGACTCGAGGCTCCGAGGCCATCAATGTTTCCAAATGAGCTGATGGAGTATATGCATCAATAGATGCATTATTGGTATGTATGATATTTTGTAAATATAAATATATATATATATACATATACCAGCTAGGATGCTACTAAGTATCATTGCATATATATATATATATACATGTTGGTGTGGCCGCAGGACAGGTATTTTGTTGGTTTGTTGGGTATTCACAGCCCTTGTTTTGGCATATATATATATATGCATTTTTGCATATATAATATATATATATATACATATATCAATATATAAATACATGTATATATGTAGAGAGAGAGAGATTGTAATTTTTACAAGAGACGTTTCGAGATTTGATTGTATATAGACTTTCCATATTGTATGCATATGTTCAAACTCAGAAAGTAGTAATATGCAGTCCTATCATGGGTCAAGATGTATATGTCCGAGTATGTGTTGTATTTCGATATGAGGTATGAGTGGGGTGCACCCCCAAAATGATCAATCCATGTGTGTAACCAGATTTCAAGTACACATGGACTGCTAGCAATTAGATTATTCTATTAAATTAATCCCACGCCCTATTACTAAACGTACCCCAAACATTAAAAACCAGGGTCCGTTTTCAATTTCGGGAGATTTGAAGTTGGCCAATTTGATTTTTAATTGCTCCCCTTTAGAAAACAAATTAAAAATGAAGGTCCCATTTGAAGTTTTCACCCCCTAATACTAAAAACTACTAAACACCGGCGTGTTTTTTACTCGGGTCCATCCTTTAAAATCAAAAGTGTGTGTGTGTGAGAAGCCCTGAAGCAAAGGGTGTCAATACCAACAATCACTAGCAGGGGGTACCGGCAGATCACTTGGGACCGCTACCAACGAAGACACCCATTTGATCTGGTGATACAGATTGGGACGCCAATCTGCGTACCTGCAACATTACGGTTTTCAATTACGTAGACTCGACATTGAACTTCGTCAGCATTTTCGTCCTCATGGCAAGCGGCTAAGCCAAGAACCGCCTCGCCGAAGTTGTTTGCACATTCACATCAGTTATCAACATGTCATGCCGAAGATGCTCTTGTTAACTGGGATTAGTTTGAAGTCTTGAATTATACATGACGATATCATGACACTATTCATCTCATCTCATCTCATGTCTCTTCCTTCGGGGTGTTCCAAAGTGTGAGTGTGTGTGTGTAGCCCGCTATAGCACGCGGTTTTTCTGACGTACAGATAGCAGGGGGGCAATCTCATGTCTGCAGCTGATTGCCCAACGAAGAGGGCTGCATTCATGACTGATATGACTCTGGGACGCTGGAGTCACGTACCTGCTCTTGTTCAACTGTTGTCCAAGCTGTCAGTATCATGCTGTTTAGGTCAACCGAAGGTTTCAAAAAGATACAAGTACCCTCTGGTGAACTAACATAGCAATGAAAAATCACCATTCTTAATGGGAAAATCCACTATAAATAGCCATGTTCCATTGCTATGTTAGTTCACCAGAGGGTACAACTCTGATTTCATCACTTCAGGCTCCGCTGCCTTAGGCTTCGAATTCTTAGGTCTTAGCAAGGCGACCTGAAGCACATCATTCTCAAACTTCTCATCCAACCTATCACCGGTGTGTGTTTTTAAGCTAAAGTGTTAAATTCAAAATTAGGGAACCTTCGAGATCCAATGCTTGGCAATATTTCATGTAGATTTTGAAAGGAATTTAATCGATGTTGAACAAAAATGTAGTTTCTTTTTGTAAATTTAGTGTTCGGGGGAAGCTTCGCACCCTATACTAAATACTACTAGAGAACCCCCTAATATTAAAAACTCCTCCGGGTGTTTATTCTTAGGGGGGAGTTACTAATAGGGGGAAGGGATGATCTATAGAGATGTATTTAATTCCTGGCAGTATCTGGCATGTGTACTTGAAGTTTTCCGGTGCCATTGAATCAACCAATATTATGACTTTGAATCCATAATGGCCAAGTTTTCAAAGGCATTCATTCTGGAACTGTTTCCTGAAAAAAACAGTTATAAACAGTTTCCGGAACTTGGATCCTTCCAGTTTTTTCATCCCACCTCCCGCGTCGTATTTCAGCAGGTCTCGTTTGACTTCGGGCCTTGATCAAGGCAGGGGAGTTCACGGACACCACTTCCTGGCGTCGAGAAATTGTGAGACCCAGGGACAAATATGAAACAGCTCCAGGGACAAATTATATATATATATACTGGTTGGTGGTTGAGCAACCCCTATGAAAAATATGAAAGTCAATGGGAAGGATGACATCCCATATATGAAATGGAAAATAAAAAATGTTTGAAACCACCAACCAGTATATATATATATACATATGTGTGTGTGCATTCATATACATTCCAGTAAGTGTACCATGTAGATCATATAGACAAAAAAGATCTGCATAAACGCTATAGATGCATTTGTAGAGAGAGAGAGAGGCCACCGAAGGAAGGGAAAAGTTACAGGACCTCCTATATTTTATTCGGAGAAACCATGCTTTCTTCCCCAATCAATACATGTGTGATATGTTTTATTTATGGATTTATTTCATGGTTTTGGCTTTGCTGCGAACATGCTGCCAAGCTTTTGATATCCTTTGATGCTACGCCATCAATGGTTGGGCTATGGTAAGAGGAGTAAACAAGTGCCTAGATCACCAAAACAGCCATCCCTTTCTATTGCTTGGCTGCTAGGGATTTGCAGGGTGAAACATGGTGAAACCAGGAAGTCATCACCTCAAGCACTGCAACAAATACTTTCTGTTGGCTAAACAACCATGTAACAAGAACTACTTAGGGCAATCTTTAACGCTCCCAGGTCACCAGGTCCGTACTAAACATTGCGGGGAAGTGACTGGGGTGATCTTCAATGACATCATAGAACCATGTCATATCAAGAATGTTCTTTTTGGCAAGATAAAAAATGGAGCTGGTTTGCTACACCAGCTACCATCATGGAAAATATGCCCAGAATGGCCATGATGGCCATGCGGTCTACCTATTGTGGCTCGGTCGTAAAAAACACCTGTGGTTTCATCAAACAAACCCAGTGAGAAAACTCAGCCAGATTCCCTCCGCAAAATCATGCTTAAATAGCAAGAATATATGACTACAACTTGATTCGTATGTATTATATTGTATTAATTTATTTGCTTGTGTGTGTGTGTGACAGTGTGTGTGTGTGTTGTGCTACGCATAAACTGTATACATAACAATCATTTATCATATTATATCCTATCATATCCATGTCCCCTTCCAATCTCTCTCTCTCTCTGCATCATCATTTATCAATTCTATATGCACGTGTATCATCTTATATCCCATATTGATGTTAAAAGCATCAATATCACCTTGCCTTATCCACCAGGGGATCGAATCCACCGAGTCCACCGAGGCACCAGTTCGACCTCCAGTTCCGTGCCGTTCTCGGCCGTGACCCGCAGCCAGTGGAAGTCCTGCAGCCAGCGCTGCTGCCGTTGCACCGCCAGGAAGCCCTCGCCGCTCTGTGGCGTTAAGCCACAGACGCTGAGCAGCGTGGTGCTGTCGTTGGAGTCGTTCCTGGTGGGACCAAGGCTGGGCAGTTGCATGTCGATTGAGGTGTTCTGCAATGGTTGGAGGTGGAAGCCTTGTTTGCATTTGCAAAAACTGCAACGGTGGAAAGCAAGGTTTGGGACGGTCAACATTCGGAAAATTGATGGCGGCCCGTTAAAGGACGTTGGCCGACGTTGGCCGACGTCGCATCCAAGGAATTAGTGATATCAATCCTCTGCAAGTCGGAATGCTACCCAACTGAAACTCAGATAGATCCAACAGTTGAATGTTGAATCCCAACAAATTGGGAAGATTGATTCGCAATTCTGGCTGTGGAATTGCTGGATGAAAATCCATGATATCCCTAACAACTGATTAGTGGCAAACCGCATCATGTGTCTGCTGTGGAACAAGCCGAGAAGGCCGCTGCGGCCAAGACTCCCGCAACTGGCATTGCTGCTGTTGTCACTGCTGTTTGAAGCATTGGAATCGGAGTGGCAGGTGGTGATATAACCTCGCCCATCCAAGCTGCATTATTCAACCTTACGCTTCTGAATCTATCAAAGCATTTATTTGAGTGCCCAAAAATCTTTTACCTACCTAGGTATCTGAAAAACATACTGTACCATGATTTCAGTCACTGCGCCACTGTGTGCCTTTTCATTGGCACTGTACCATCTTGGTAGTATGAATCGTACAGGTATTTACGTGATTTTGGGGTATCTATATGCGCAACTTTTACGGGTGATGATGATGGCTTTACAGAACCACATGGTAGTATAGTTGCTGATTGCAAACGCCAAAGTAACATGAAAACGGACTCTGACTCAAAGAATGCCATCCGTAATTTACCATAGCGAGAGACAATTCCCAACTTATAATTTGCAGGTTGTCGCCAATCCGAACTTCATCCAAGTACCATCCTACAAGACAGAAGCCCACCCCACCAACTAACTGGTCAATATATCCGTTACATTGTCATTATTATATCCGGATAGAAATATCCCAGTGCTCTCCCATTGTATCTCCAATGGTAGTTGTGCCCACGATATCCATTGATTTTTCGCGGCGATTGGGCTTGGTAACAGTTGGTAACCCCACTTGATACCCCGAAACATGAATCTTCTCTGAACATCACTTACCCTCTGGTAAACTAACATAACTATGGAAAATCACCATGTTTAATGGGAAAATCCACTACAAATTGCCATTTTCAATAGCTATGTTAGTTTACCAGAGGGTAAATGACCGTAAGTTTTAGCCAATCAACAAGCTCTGTTATGGAAAAAAAGGCTCAAAATCCCCATTAGACCCCATTCTACCCCTTCATATCCATCAAAACCGCCCATTTTGGCTTGGTGATTCAATGTGAATCACTGATAAAAAGGTAGTGTGGTAGACCCAATAAAGAACCATGCCCAAAATAAATAATCATATATATATATATACACATATGTTTGGCGGACAAAATTAATTACTACCCGCAGTGGACATGGCCTGGCCAAAGTGGGTGGTCCCCTATCGGTTGTGAATGTGTTCGCACAAATTTGAACATCCCATGTCCACTCCCCACTACTTTAGTCTTCTGCTAATTTTGTCGCATACTCATACATATATACATATAATGTATAATATATATATATATGTATGTATGTGTGTGTATATGTATATACGTAAAATTATGTATATGTATATTGATGTAATTATATAGTATATCTATAAACCATCCCCAGTCATGGTAGGTTTATGCCAGGGTCGTAGCGACCTTCACCAAGCAACAGAGATCCGCCTTGTAGGGAATCCTCGGCTCCTCCTGGGGCCTCTCCATCTCCTCCGTCGCTTCCGCCCAGACGGGCACCGTGGATTTGACGTAGGGGTTCCGCTCCAAGACCGGCTCGGTGATGTGGAAGATCACCTAGTGATCCAAGGGCCGAATGCTGCAAAATGGCCAAAGAACATACCCCAAACATGGAGTTTTCTAGAGGAAATACATGGGAAATTCAATGGAAATGATGATGAACCATGATTAAAACTTTGATGGAAAATGGCTATAGTAATTAATCCCGACTATTGCCCACTGGATAGCTGTGCATTCCACTATCCCATTCCATCCCTATGTATCCATCGCCTGTCCGTCACAGGTTGACTCAGCGCCCCCAAGCCCGCTGCACCTCCCCCAGTGGCAGCCCGGCAAAGTTTCGCGGAATTTGCACCGGAGCCCCGGTGATGTCGAAGATGGTGGTGGTGGACAAGTCCACCAAGCCTCAGGTAGCGGCTAGTCGTTTGGGTTTCTTGGGATTCGTTTTTGAAACAAACCATGTGCAAATTTACCCATTTTTGAAACAAACCATGTGCAAAATTTGAAACAAACCATGTGAAAATTCTTGGTGTCTGATTTTCTGGTTTTTTCCTTGCACATTTAAAATCTGAATGATGAAAATGATGATCAACCATCAAATTTAGAAGGTATGCGGTATGTACCCCATTTTTAGACAACGCCATGTTTCTTTTTCCGAGAAATTATTCAATTGATTTCAATTCTAAGAGCTGCACATCTATAAATTCTTCCAATTTCACCCAGCTTCATATTGGAGGATTGATATAGATGGGACATCCCCCAGCAGCAACAGACCAACAGACCCCATCACCGAAAAAAAAATTGGTCAGGGATGCTTTTCTGTACAGACTGTATGATTATCCTCTGGTAAACTAACATAACTATTGAAAATTGCCATTTATAGCTGATTTACCCATTAAAATTTGTGATTTTCAATAGCTATGTTAAATTACAGTACCAGAGTCTACAGTGATCTATGATGATCTGATGATTTATGATGATCTCTCCATCTTACTGATCCCAACTGAGAGCCCTAATACTATTAGACAGGCTGATGGAGCTGTAAATCACCCAGCCGTGCGTCGTTTAAGTCAGGAATTCCACACCCAAATCATCCATATATAAGGTTTCTAATGAATATTTCAGGCTATTTTCTCCGCATTCATGATGCAATCATACCCAAATTCATAAGTGGTCCGGACACAGAAAATAATATATATACCCTCTGGTTATTTAACATAGCCATGGAAAATGGCCCATTTATAGATGGTTTATCTATTAAAAATGGTGATTTTCCATGGCTATGTTTAATAACCAGGTGGTATATATATAATCCAATCTACATAGCCCTGATGCCCAATAGGAGAATATCATCCCCTTGTGACTCACAGAGGCGCTCTGTGACACACTCACCACACCAGGCGGCTGTTCTCAGGAATTTCGAGTGAGTAGGACTCTCCGATATTCAAGCCTCGGCGCTTCGGCAGCAATTTCACAGCTGCGGGGGGGTACAGACCAGCATCGAAATAAATTCAGAAACACTTTAACATGTTTCCAAAGTTCATACTTGGATGTGCAGTTCCACTTGTAATGTTGTTATAAGTTATAAAGTTATAACCATAGCTTTTAGTTATAGGGGTTATATACCAACTTATGGTGGGTTTTGCATCCATGGTCGTACCTGTTTGCAACCTCTGGCCTGTACCCCTGATCCCCTGGCTGTATGACAAATCCACCCATGTTTGAAACCTGCTGGTCTCCCTGAGGCCCCATATCTCCTTTTGACATTTCTTTTATGACCATCTCCATCTGTCACGGGCGCCTGGCAAAGCATCTGCTTCGGTCCGCCCAGACATGCCGAGACGCTTCGGTTCAGGCTCACCGTGATGATGGAGTCACTGATGCTGAAAGTATGCGGCATAAAGACCTGACTTTTCGGATGCGATGCTGGAAAAATTTGACGTAGCGAACTGGAAGCCATGGCCCATGAATAAAGATCTGTTACATATCGATTTGCCGATAAAAAATCATGAGTTTCCATGAGTTTCCACCAAAAAACGAAGTGAATTTACCAGAGGCGCAAACTAGGGGTGGTGGTTTCATCATCACCAAGCGGGGATGATCGCGAGTGGAAAAAACAAGGAGTTGAAACTCGCTAGCGCCATATCCTGACAATTCCATTTTACGGCTGCCATGGGGAGGTCGTTGTTGGAACATGTTGAACCCCCAGGGAATTCTGTCAGAATGGTGGTTTAACCTGTGACCAGGGGGGAGTTGATTCCTGAAGTTTCACCTGGTGCAAATATCGAAAAACACTCCAAGACTTCACAGGGAACCCAAACATTTACATAGATAGATAGATAGATAGATAGATAGACAAACAGACAGACAGACAGATAGATAGATAGACAGATAGATAGACAGATAGATAGATTAGAAACAGAAAAGAAAAGAAAAGAAACTAGAATCGAGATTAGATCAGACTAGATTAAGATTAGAATACGATTAGATTGGGTTAGGTTAGATTAAGATTAGATTAGGTTATTAGGTTAGATATTACCATTAGATATTCAAATAAGATATTTAGATTAGATCATATTATATATTTAAGAAAGATAAGATAGATAAAATGGATTAGATAGATTAGATAGATTATATAGATAGATTGGTAGATTAGGTAGATTAGGTAGATAAATTAGATAGATTAGATAGATCCATTAAATAGATAGATTAGCTTAGATTAGATTAGATCAGATTAGATAGATAGATAGATAAATACTTTGATAGATAGGATAGGATAGGATAGGATAGATAGATGAAGTAGATGGCATGTTTTCTAACGATTCCAAGATGTCATACATGGCCATTGTTGATGATTGTAATGATTGTATCACTTGTACCGCTCTAATTGTGGCAAAGCCCATACCAAAAACCTGCAATTGGGGATGGCTATCGTCCCCAGCAAGTCGAAACATAATCATTTGTATCTGCATCTATAGCTATGATATCTGGTATGGAACCCCAATGCACCAATACATCCCACCAGGTTCCTTTTGGACATATATATATATATACATACACATATACATGACACACACACACACACATATATATATATATATATCTTTATATATATATATATCTTGTAATCTCAGGAAAGGATAATCTTGGAAAACTCACGAAAAGTTGAAAACTTAAAGAGAAAACGACCACTGAGAGACATCTGGATCCGCCGTGAAGGTGATCGTCAGGCGATCACCTGCTGGATTTTCGGTTCCATTGGCGAAAACGGAGATCAAGTAGAGCTCGTGATTCCTCGGCGTTAAAGTTACCCTCTGGCAAACTGTCCCATAAAACTATGGAAAATCACAATTTTTAATGGGTAAATCAACTGTAAACGGCCATTTTCAATATCAGCTATATATATTAAATTACCCGAGGGTAATTAATCCTGGTTGGGTGTGACAAAATGAATATTACTATAAAATAGCTAATCGGTTGATAGACTACCATAAACCAAGCATAAATCAACCATAAACGAAATTTGTTGGGGATGTAACCAATCGATGGCTCTTGCAAGACTACTCAACCAAAGGTTTCTTCAAAACGCACCGCTTCAAATGGAACTCACAAAAAAAAAAGAAAAGTTTATGCTTCAATTTTTCCCTGGTGCTTCTATACCACCAGCTAAGTTGAATATAGTCGAGTTCGTCCACAACCCCCGAACCGTTCGACCTGACAGGTGGGGAAAAATGTCTGAAACTACCAACATTCATCAACCAGATTGTTCAGGGGTTGGTAAATGTCCCAATTGAACATCACCCAAGTATTGGGGATATAATTTCCAACAGATATTTGAAGGTGATGTTCAAAATCCCCAAAAAGGGACATTTACCAACCCCTGTTGTTGATCAGTTGATCACCATGCATTCCATTGGGGAAAATGACCTTCCTAGCCATGAGACGGAATGGGGTAGCCATGGGTAGCCGATTTTCGATCGTAATGTGGCAAGTCTAATCGTAAACCAGCAATTTGGGGATGGTTTATAACCACCTCTTTCTGGTACTGTTGGGGATGGTTTACAATTGGCTTTAGCACATCTCTTCTGTCTAAGTTTATTTAACTAGGTACCCTCTGGTGAACTAACAAAAAGCAATGGAAAATGGCTATGAAAATAGTGGATTTTCCCATTAAGAATGGTGGATCTTTCCATTGCAAACTGTTAGTTCACCAGAGGGTATACTACGCATCTTTCATCTTCGATGATCTTTCTAGATCACCCGGTGCCCAACAGCGGTGTTGGCAGCTGTGTTTCACGTTCTGCTCTAACTCTGATCCCCAGACCATCAATTTCTGAGCTAACACAGCAGTTACCTTGCAATTTACCTTCACAAACTCCCACAAATCCCTCATCCCATATCCTGCCAACAAAAAAACGGATATGAAAGGGACAAAATAATACAAAATCATCATCAACTCATCTTTTTCTCGTTCCCCAAGAAATCCATCGCGACACCGCGCTATACCGTCTCCGCGGCCCCTCTTCGCCCAGCATCCCGGGCGTCTGAGCCGTTTGAGTCATCAGCGTCGCATCGCAGGGAACCACCGCTTCGCTCCTGGTCTCATCCACTTTGGGATCAGATCAATGTGGGTAAACCATGGTAAACCCAGTAACCCAGAGAAATTGGCATTTAATTCAAAAAATATCCAAAAACATGAAGTGATTATCACATTTAGATACTTCTAGGGGACCAGGCCATCAGGGTCTTTTTTTGGATAGTTGACATTGATGTTTTTGGCCTTCCATTCGCTTCATTGCACGGCTTCCCCTGTTCAAAACCCAGCCAGTCCCCTGTTCGGCGACTCCAACAGCTGCCAAGCCACATGAAGATCTTGAAGGTGATCAGCTGCAATCCTTGGTGGCTCACTTGTATGTATATATATATATATGTGTGTGTGTATTGTAGGTATATATATAATGTACAGTATATGTATATATATGTGTATATATATGTATATATATATATTACACACCTATTGGCTACAATTAATCAATATGAATTATATATATATACCCTGCTATATACACAATAATTATCCATCACTCAATCCCGTGAGATGGAGATGGGTCCCTTTAAAAAAGACGTGCGCTGAGCCTCCCTCGATGCTGGAGCCCGTGGGTGGATCCGTCGCCAGAAACACCGGCGCCGTGGCGTCTTGGGCCGTGGTCAGCGCCACGGGGAAGCGGAAGGCATCGCCTGGGGGTGGGTCCGGCCCGCCGGATTTTCAGTGAAAGATGTTGGAAAAAACTGGCTTAACTGAACCATGTGTTGTTACATTACCATTTATAACAGGTGAATCATCTATTTCTATCTATTTCTATGGTCCATTTTCAATAGCTACGTTAAATTGCCAGAGGGTAACTGGACATGTTGTTACCTTCTTGGATTTATTTATGAGTCATAATGAGTGATCCTCTTCATAAAATCCATAAAACCACCAAAGGAAAGCAATCCGGCTGTGGGTCGCTGGTCAGCACTGTGGCATTCACATCCAAAATTGCTGTTGCTGATGGATTTTCATCCCTCTTGGTATCTTCGGTCCTGACCTAGAAAATCTCTGTGTGTGTGTGTTTCATTGGGAAAATTGCCTACGAATGGACAGAAATCGGAGATTTTCCATTGCCATGTCAGATTACCAGAACATATCTTCTAGGACTTCTAGGCACCAAAGATCCAATCAACATCCTGAAGATAGTAATTTGGGGCCAATGCGGCTAGATTATATTACATGCGGCAGTCAAAAAAAAGATAGAAACCATTAGAATCACCGCTACTCTAGTAGGATATTGCTTTTCTATCTTTGCAGGCGGCTAGACTGGTGCTTTCCCTTCGAAAATAGGAAGCCCCTCGCAGCTTCCCAGCCTCTGAGACCCGGGAAGGGCGTTCCAGCCAAATCGGTGATGACCCCGGGCTCCACTTGAAGGCAGTGGTAGTTCCCCGGCTGCATGTTCTGATAGGGGTACCTGCGATAAAAACAGAATGAAGCAGGATTTCTATGGATTTCTAGTAGATCAGGCGGATACTATAGAAACTGGAGGGGAATTGGTTCTTTTTTGCGGGAAGTCTGCTGGATTTCTGCTGAATGTTCCTGAAAAAAATCAGCTGAATGTCACCCGAAGTCTGAGATACAAGTACCGGTATTAAGATCCTGGAGCAACGATCCAATTATATACTTTATGATGATATATGATATATGATGTCCATTTCTATAGTCTGATAAATAGTATGATATATGATGATCCATTTACTTTTGTCACCATCCAACGTGAGCCCTCAATAATATAAGAGCAAATCAATCTGCACTCATTTGTTTAAACGCATTTGTGCACACATGATGACCCTGGTTTGTCAGGATTTCCGGTGCTGAAACCAACAGGTGAGATGGTGATGTCAGCGATGACAACGTTGCTGTAAAAGCTATCTGGATGCTATCTGGTTTCTGCTTCTACGATGACATTAGGCAATTGATACCCTCTGGTAATGCAAAATAAAACACATTTACTGCAATTGAAGTTGATACCCTCTGGTAATTACATAATACTACATTATGGTTTGCTAAGAGGGTATCAATCTAATTAATCTATTAATTATTAGTATTGGTAATATTGTGGTTTATCCCCATACTATGTTCTATATATATAATATGGTTTGCTAAGAAATCACCCCATTTACTTCGACAATCTGTCCATTAGAATCATTAGAACCTCCATTGAGGATTTCCCAGCCCGCTACGTTTGCTTACCGGAGACTAACCCCAAAAAGGCCAAGTAGTGAAGTGCACCGCGATTTTCTAGCCCCATCACCAGTCCGTGGACTATGCTGAGGAGGCACAGGTAAGGCCAAAATGCGACTTGCTGAAAAATCATGAAAAATTGCCATCTGGCAATCTGACATAGTTATGGAAAAGGCAATGTTCCACGCGTAGGTAAATCATCTAGAAAGGGTAATTGTCAATATAGCGATATTAGTCTACTGGAGGGTAATTCAACACCTCCAGTCTTCGAGACTTTATCCAAACCAAGTGGTTTTTGCCAATTTGCCTATTATCGGTTTGTTTGAGCCTAGCGTCAAATTTGATTGTTTTTATGTTTTGTTTATCATAATTGTCCCTATTAGCATATGAGTGAGCACCTCCTTGACAAACAAACCCATGTTCCATATTGTTGCATTTCTCCCACAAAAAAAAAGAGCGGTAAATCCTCATTATACCCCCATTATGTCCCAATGATATGCATTCAAATAGCATCAACTTGCAGTTTTGGTGGGTTAAACCCCTATGAAAATCTACCAGTGAGCTGAACTGGGCACCGGATGAGGATCATGCTGCCCGTGACGTAGATCCAGGGGTCCTCGGCTTGACCCGAGCGCTCTGCATCCTCCATTTCTTCCCTGAAAATTGTGTTTTGTGCTGGGAAAGTCATCACAGTTGTTGAGAAAATCGTCATGTTTGGTGCTGGAAGTCCATTTGTATGTTTATGCCAGGGTAACTTATCAGTTTTTGTTGGATAAATGTCCGCATTTCTCTTGGTTCAATACTACTTTGTGGTTGTTAAATCTCCAGCAAACTCGTTTTCCGAACGGATTTTTGTATCTATATCCCAAAGTAAATCTCGATTTGCGCCGGTTACATATATAATATGTATATATTTTACATACCCCTTTTTCTGAAATATCCGTGACACACGTATATATATATATATGTATATGCAACTATGATATATCTATATGCTATATTAATCACTATGTTATGCATATATTATATGATTTATATTAATTGTATGACTATATATGATTATATATGTATCTATGAATATCTATATCACGAGTATCATTCTGTGAACATCTATATCACGAATAATTATCATTGATATACCATCTGGTAAACTAACGTAGCTATGGAAAATCACCATTTTTGATAGGTAAATCAACGAACTTTTTTTCTGGCCATTTTCAAGTTCGCAAACTGTGAAATTATTGGAGGGTATAGCCAGCCATTTGGGAATGGTAAACATCCCACCTATTTATGGTGATTTGGGATAGTTTATGACATTGTTTTACCATGTTTTACCCACATTGCACACATCGATGCTCCCCGTTATCTGTTACCAAAGACGTGGGTCACATATGTTTCTATTACCATCTAATATCATCTAATTAAATAGATCACGAATATCATCATCTACATATACATCTACATAATTTTATACATATACTACCCTCCAGTAAATTAACATAGACCCTGGCAGATATGGGGTTGGAAGATTAGTATGATCAGTTTCCACATAGATCCTTTCGTATCCTTTCGTGATTTTCAGGGCCTCAGGGTCTATGTTAATTTACCAGAGGGTAATTATAAATCATAGTCATAATATAATAATCACGAATATCATCATCTACATAATTGAATATGATCTGGGTAAATTATAATATTTCACTGACCTGAATTAAGACCATTTGGGGATGATTTCCCTTATTAACTATGATTCCAGTGAGGTCACAGTGAGGTCGTTATAATTTACCCAGATATGATTGAACTATCTTGTGCCGCGTCTCCGTGCCGTTGCGCACGTACTGCGACGGCAGCTCTGCCGGGATCTGCAGAATTGCGCCGTCGTCCGCGGTGCCGCACAAGGTGTCGTCGCCGGCGTCCACCAGGGACATCTAACGTCGGATTTGAGCAACCAAACATGGGAAAAAGATAGGAAAAGGTGGGAAAAATCTGGGAAAAGGTTGGAAAAAGATGGGGAAAAGATGGACATTTGTATGGAAAATATGCAGAAACATGGGGAATATATAACCAAGAGGAATGCAATTCATGGGGATTTCATACGGTTTCAGTGAGTTAAACACGACGGTTTATGATGGGATGATATGCGATGAAATGGGGTTAGTAGGGCTAGATCAAATTCATGATATAGCATGATCTTTTCAATGATCATGTTAATGTGGTCAATGGACCGATCAATATCTATGTCTATGTCGGCCAGCGAGGTTGTTTGATATGTGGTTCTGTTGCTCAATAGAGGGTCAACCGGCTAACCTTCCATTCATTAGCCAGTGGGAATCTTAACCTTCTACTCCTTGCATGCTTGCTCCACGAAGCAACAGTTTGCTGGTGGATCATGGCACGCTCCAGAAAATACGTGACAAACAATGATAAACGTATGGGTGCGTGGGAAATGCGCGATAAAATGGTCTAACATGGCACAATGAAATGTACATATCAAAACCTGAGATTTTATTCTTAATTACTGGGATAGTGAGTATCAAAAACATGTCCTTCCCAAAAGTGATACAAGTGACAAGGTGAAGCTGGTGCTCCCTACTTGGCTAAGTTGCTTTATAAGCAGTTGGGTTTATGGTAGATGTCTATCATCAGTTAGACCAGCTTGATCGCCAACTAACATAACTGGGGGGCACGATTGATCCCTTCCCCCTAATATTCAACACCACCCAGAGAGCAGGGTTTTGGAGGGGATTTACACTTACATGGGACCATCTAGGGGGTTCAATAGTCGGGGGATAGGATTAAACATGATTAAACATCATAAACTGTCGATCATTGCTGGTTGAATCTTAAATCCCATCACTAGTCTGGTTGGTTCAATTCCTACTAATTATATTATAGTCAAGTTGGTTGCGTTGGTTTATATTTGGTCAATTCCCACTATATCACCATTAAATTCATTAAATCTCAATGTGGCAACCCCCAACCTGACTCCCAAGTTGCCTGACTCCCCGACATCACTACGATGAGCTCGCTGAAGTACAAGGCGATGCGCTGAGTGTCGCTGACCGCCAAGGTGGCTGCAGCGTCCGGGATGCTACCTGGAGATACCAAAATTGGTGCCAAAAAAGAACCGAATTTTGGGGGTTTGACATGCTTTGACCATCAAAATGGGTATATCATCTGGTATATCTAAGAATGGTAGTTGATTAACATTGATTAACCATCAAATGTTGGGGTACTCTATTTTCACACCCAGAGGTTTTTCACACGGATCCCTTTAAAATGGCCAGAGCGGATCGCCGCGGCAGTCATCCCTTCTGATCGATAGGGCTTCTTGCGATGTCCAATATCAATATGTCATATTTTGGTGGTATAAAATCGCATTCTTGTCACTTGTATCATGCTGAAACCGATGTTTTCAGCTTCCAATCGGCTTCAATTCCCATTTTTCAATTAGCATTTTCAGAGATTTCCGGAACCAGGGCGTGGCAAGGCACTCAGGATCACTGGGGCAATGGTGTCATATTCGTTGCCAAAAATCGTCGAAAAGTCGCTGGTCAACTCCACACACTGCTCGCTGTAGCTGAAGCTCCTTGTTTTTTCCACGTCTTTCAATGGGAACTGCGGGGAGCATAGATGTACTTACTGGTGCTTAGTAGGGAATGAGGGAATGATCCACAATAACTATCAATAATCATCCCATTCCCCCATTCCCCCATTCCCATCCATTCCCTGCGAAGCACCAGCAAGAGTATGTAGATGTAACATGATATAACTCACTCTATGCAGACAGAGTTGCACTACAAAACACTACATGACATAGCAAGCCACTGGGGTTTTCTGCTCAATGCTGGGGATCCAGTAGCCATCATCGGGGTTCCCTAAGGTCCTGCGCCATTTCATGTCACAGATGTCCTCACAATCAATCAATACCGATCACTACCATGCCATGTCACGTAGATCGTGCATAAATATATATATATAATACTATATTATATATATAATTATATATATATGTGCATCTATATATATATATAGTACTATAATCTAAACTAATACTATACATTATACATAGTATACAATCTGCGGTCAATACTCCGTTGTTCCCTTGCCCTGCATGGCTTCAAATATCATAGCGCATCTTGAGTCTTCGCGCACACCTGTTCCAGCCGCCTTTTTGGGCCGCGCTGCTGCAAGGTGTACCACAAGCCATCCACGTAGAATTGCACATTGATTTGGTCCTGGGGCGTGCCAAAACAGAACTTGGGGCATCACAGCACCCGTCAGCCTGTCAGAGCTCATGGCGTCATAATACATCATCTGACATCTGGGTAGGGTGGGAGTAGAAGACATGCCCTGAACCTGTAGATAGTCAGATGTGCCGACATTGCATGATGTTCCTATGCACGGTTGACAAGATTCATCATCTTTCCCATCCATCCACAATCTATGACGTGCTTGGAAATCCATGATGACTGTAGACGATCACACCTTTCACGTCCAAATTTTGCAGGCATCAGATTAGCATGGTTGAACTGTCGAACCGAACTTTGCCAAATCTACCCACCCAAATCGATGTTTTTTTTTTTTCGCCAGGACATCTTGCTGCAAACCACCTGCATTTTCGATACCTTGAAACCTCGAGATGGCTCACCTGGATTGACAAATTTGATAGGAACCACCAAAAAATGAATTGTGAAATCTGAATTGTAACATACTGACAAATTGCTTCTCTATCTTCTTGGGGGTTGCTATATATCTCATTTTCAAACTCGAAAACATAACATGAATCAACGCTACTTTAAGGAATAGTTAACAATAATATCAACAAGAATAATAACAATCATAATAATAATCACAATAATAATCATAATTATGATAGTTATTATCATTATCATCATAGTTCCATATTTATAGTTCCATATATCATAGTTTGGGAATATATCCAGTTCCATCATAGTTATATTATTATTAGTTGATTATAAATTATAAATCATAGTTACCCTCCAGTAAATTAACATAGACCCTGCCAGATAGGGGTTGGTTCATATAAGTTTCCATTAAAAATTTGCGATTCTCGGGGTCTATGTTAATTTACTGTACCAGAAGGTATATATAACTTATAATTCATAGTTATAACTGTTATACTGATTGTCATAATTATAATATCTTCTAATTATAATATGAAGCCCATGAACCTCAGAAAAACCATAGTTGTAGGTATCATAAACCCAAGTGACATTGGAGTTGTTTGCACCAACTTAGCCAACCAGGCCACAGGATTAACCTTGCCGCTGGAGCCCACGATCTGGACAGACCTCCCAGCCGAGGAAAAGCCAGGGAAAAGGAAAACCCATGGAAAAGCCACAGTTTTCCTGGTAAAATCCTGGGAAAATGAGCTCCATTCCCACATTACATGGTAGGTGTTCCACATCGAAGTGGTAGCTTACAGGCATTGATCCATGCAAAAAATATTACCGATGGTTGATATATGTTTCATGGCTAAACCGCATGAAACGCCCATGAAAACATTGGTTTTGCTCACCATGAATTGCTAACTATGGGGCCCCATCCTGTTGATTGGGGATGATCAACTGTATCAGCTATCGTTTATCAATGTTGATATCAAGGATATCCACATTGATTTATCAATGTTTATATCATATGATAAACTATAACTAATTGGTGGTATACCTACCCCTCTGAAAAATTATGAGCTCGTCAGTTGGGATGATGAAATTCTCAATTGGATGGAAAAATAACAAATGTTCCAAACCACCAACCAGATAACTTATAATTCACCAGCCTGAAGACTTTGGCCATGTTGGGAGAGTTGGCCCAATCCAATTCCCATCATTCCGACGCGATGCCGCGACGTGAAGTTGCATTTATCCAGATTAATGATTGGGTGCAGAATTGTTTTTGGTATTTTTGTTTACAGTTTTGGAACTTTGAATTTTTTTTGGTTTTCGTGCCTGGTGTGATTTGTATGGTGTTTTGCAGGTTTGTGGTCAAAATATGTCAAAATATGTCAAAATATGTCAAAATATCATCAATTGCATCAATGGTTAAGATTGATTGATTATACCATTATTGCACCATTGATATTCTGTGCAAACATTGCATCAATATCATTAATTGATTATGGTATAATATGTTGTGTATTGAATAATTAATCATTTACATATATATATATGTATATTAATATTATAGTTACTATTGATTTACCATTAATTGATTATGGTTAACTGTGCATCTGAATTCAACATCCTTCAACCAACCTTTAAACTGCACCGAATTCATGGCCACCACAGGGATGCCCAATGAAACTTGACGTGGTGCCGTGGTGCCGGTGTCAAAATGTGACCCTCAAAGCCACCAAGTTGGTGGCTTTGGATTGACCAATTTTCAAACCCCATCACCCCATCTCATCATTCTCATCTTTGCCGAAGTTTCACCATGTTTCACCATGTTTCACCATGTTTCACCGTTTCCTGGTGGCCCCCAAGCTCGACCCATGCTTTCCAGACGTTTCGTACGTCGTGCCTTGCGTAGAGGGGCGTCTTCACATGCAAACCGATCCAACTGCCCGGTTTGTTGGTGCTGCTCCACCAACAGGTGGCTGTGTCGCCATCAAAGCCCAAATTCGCTTCGTAGTTGCCTGGAGAAAATTGTGAGCCAAGAAACTAAGTTCAACTCCAAATAAAACTATATAAACATTATATAAACCATTGTTTACTAGCTTAAATGGGGATTTCCTTGTCGAAGATCTCCTTGTGAAATTGCTTTCTCAAGGTTCCATTTCACAGTGTCAACTGGTTAAACATGTCAAACCCCGCTCTTGAAATATCTCATCATAGATGAAGTCGCTGAAGCCAACACGCCAATACATCCCCATGTGTAAGTGGCGAATGTTTCGCCCATGTTTTTTTTGGTATAGTTACCGGCACAGTGGATTGCAAGAGTGTTGGTCTTAGTTGTTCAAGTTTTTCAAGTGTTGACCGTCTCATACACCCCGCTGGTTATTGTGGTCGTCATTCCATCTGCCCACTGCTCACCATGGCATGTGCCCACATCTTTGCATGTCTCTCGCTATATACATGTACTGTATACGTTCCTATGCGTGTGTATATATATATATATTTTGGAAAAAAAAAAACATATATGTATGTATATATATATGTGTGTGTGTGCGTGTGTGTGTGTGTGTGCATGTGTGTGTGTGCGTGTGTGTATACATGATTATACATGTATATATACATATATATATATATAAACAATATATCCATTTCTAGCTTCTCAGATTAAGCGATTTTACCATGCAAATGTACCCAACTCACCAGTCGGTTGACCGCTTTCAGCTGCCAGGTCACTGTTCTCCCCAAAGGTGCTTTCATTGGCCTCGCTGCTTCCAGCAGGGCTACCCTGGATGAGGTCAGTTGTACAATCCTCGGTGACGTCGATCAAAAATGGTGGATGAAATAGCTAGGGGGTTACCTGAAAGGGCGAAAGGCATAGAAAAATGCTGAGAAAATATAAGCCCCCTATTAGATTCCAATCTATATAAGTGTAACAACAAGGAGGACATGCAATCTGGGAAAGACATTGCATCCATTCAGCGATTGAGGCAATATAGGATGTTTGTTCATTTACCCGAAGAGCCCACCAAAGCTATCCACAGCTTGGCACTGCACCAGGGTCAACGCGTTCATGTCTTTCGTCAACGCATCTGTTAAAGAAATCATGAGCATAAAGTTCCAAGACCCAACATCAGCTATGTGTGCTTCAACGAAATTTACAGCGTCCCCCCCTTTAATTCTGAACGAGCAAGTTTGATATAATCAGCCAAACTTTGGGCCTACAGCGAGACCACCCACGCTTCACGGCTTCAAAAAAGGTCCGTCTCCGAGCGGCAGTTGAGAGATAGAACTGCACTTCGCACACATGCCAACCATCTGCTCCTAGCAGGACAATTGATTGGAAACAACATGAAACAACTACTCGTGTTTGACAGCTGCTTCTCTCTTTACCCATCCCATTCACCCCATGGAATGGCGCCAAATGTTCGGCCAAAGTTACATCAATACAGATTTTGTTCCGATCAAGTCTCGGTGGGATACAATGATACACATAAAACATATTTCTCCATGTGTTCAGAATTACAGTAACCCCCAAAAAAAACTCCAGACACATATATAAACCATCTCTAACCATTTTTTTACTCAAAGAAAGGCACCATAAACCCTCCCATTCAATGGTTCAAAGTTAAAACCCCCATTAAAACATATTAAAACACCATAATTATGTCATGTTGATTTCACCATGTGAAGCCCCAAAATTCACCACCAGGGCCACCGTTTTTACCAACCGCCCTAGGCACCTGCGGCGCTGATGTTGGACGCCACAAGGCGCCAGCCCAGTGGCGAGGATCCGGTCAACGCGGTGCGCACCGTGAAGTCCTCCGCTGCGACGCCCGAGAAGTTGGTGCCGGAGACGTCGCGGATGACGCCTTCCTCGGGAGCCGTTGAGGACCCTTTTTTGGGGCGAACATGGTGAGTTTTGGGGATGAAAATGTCGGAATAGTATGGGGAGGATGAGTTTTTTTCATAACAAACATATAAAAGGATATGATGATGTGTTTTAATGTCTAAGTCTAAGTGATGTTGAAAAATAAGTACAAACATTCACGAGGTTTTTGGACCCTAACAAACCACATGGCAAACCGCAGATTTAACCATGGTATACCATGGAGCGTTCAGCACCCGCCGCAGCCATCAGCAAAATAAAATCGGGGTTTTATCTTTTTCTAAGAATAATTTTCAGATTTAAATAAGCAACAAACATTGGCTTTGTTTGCAACTAAACCCCCAATGCTTCGTTGCAAAACCATCAAAACCTAGTAAAAATCACCAGAACTGGTAGATCTCTTTGGGGTTTCCGGGTTTCCGATCAACCTTCATTGCCCACTGTCAGACTATATGGCGATCAGGGATGTCATTTCGAAGTCAGCTATTGCCGCAAAAAAATGGTTACTACTGGATTCACTGGGGGAAGATGCAGGTGTGAACATAGGCTACCAACAGCAAAACCAACAGCAAAAATCCACCATTCCGTACCCAAGAATGAGAATCCGAAATAATTGCTTGTGATTTGGAAGAATGTTTTGGAAATGTGAACGCCTTAACGGCAGGAATACACTTCAATCAATAAAGAATGCTGTACTGTACATGAGAAAAGTGGCCATTTCTGGCAGTGTGGGTACGCACGGCTCTCCTTTTGGGATGCCATTTGGCTGGGATCTCCACCAATTTTCATGATTCTGGGTGCAGGCGTCAAACTATATAAACCCCCTCATCAACAAGATGAGTCAGGCCGACGTCAAATCAACTGGGTACACAAATCGGCCCATGACAATGTTTCAGTTGGTGATGGCCATCCGTGGTCAATCCTAAAAAGTGGTGCCCCATAGTTAGCTAAGTTGGTTTATAACTCCAATAACTATGGTTTATGATACCTACAACTATGGTTAATGGGGTTTATAAACCAACTTATAACTGGACTGGGGGGCACCACCTTGTAGATATCATGTCAGAAAGATCGCGAGTCAATCTTCCCATTTGTAGCAAAGGATTGCACTCTTGAAGTGCCATAAAAACCACAAGCGTCCCCATGCGTTCCCCGCAGTTTGATGATTCAAGCCCATTTACAGTACCCTCTGGTTATTTAACATAGCCATGGTATAGATGGCCCATAGAAATAGATGGTTTACCTGGGTATTACCTATTAAAAATGGTGATTTTCCATGGCTATGTTAAATAACCAGATGGTATATTTGTTGTTTTTGTTGTTTGTTCTAAGTACTTGCTTTCTCCATAAATCTATATAAATCTCCAGTTCTTGATGTCCAATCTTGAAAAATTAGTGGTGTTATAAGTAACAAACCTCCTAGTTCTTGATGTCTTTTTTGCTGATCCAGATCTCCCAGAATGACCTGGTGCACTGGTCATCCTAACCAGCGGCTGGGATGAAAAATTGGTGCAGGTGCAGTCCAGCCAGGCGATGCGGATATGTGATGAGCACCTGAGATGCTGGAGTCTGCCCGATGGCCCGATGACAGAAATCCACCGGGTTTTGCTGAAGTTCTCTAGTCAGAAAAAAAAACGGCTACAAGGAAACAACCAAATCTTTGATTTTCCTTCTTGAAATGACATGTTCTTTGGATGTCTACATGTTCAAGCCTCTTGACTTTCCCACTCTAAAATTTGGATTTTCAGGGGTTCGGCACGCAATCTTAGACTGCCGGAGGACAATCTTGTGCAATCAGCTGCTTTAAAACTACCCGGATCAGAATACAATTCGATACCCTCTGGTAATTTAACATAGCTATTGAAAATGAACCATTTATAGTTGATTTACCCTGGCTGTGGTCAGCACATACCTTTGCTACTGGGAGGCTAGGCTGCAAAAACGTTGATGGCACCGCAACAAAAAAAGGACCACCTGAAGTCCTGAATCACAGACCGGGCACGGAAATCATTTGAATATATTGAACGCACCTAAGGTACACGTATGAGGATTGCTATTCTTACCCTTGGGCACCCCCATTTTTTTTGTAGGATATGTTCTTTCAATTTTCAAGATTAGGTCACTATAGACTATAGTGCCTATATTGGGGGTTGGTTTGAGATGCCTGTTTTGGTTTGTCAATACTTACCACTAACTATTTGAGGGGTCCATGAAGGGTGTCTAGATATTAAGCCTGGAATCATGTAACTTGATGGGTTAGGCACCTCAAAAAATAAAATGCACCCACAAAATAAAATGCTGGGGTCTAACCCATTTTATTTTCATTTTATTTTTATTTTTTTTATTTTAAAAGGGGCTCCTGCCCCCCCATTTTATTTTTGTACGCCGGACGGGGCTATGAATGGTGATTTTCCATAGCTATGTTAGTTTACCAGAGGGTACATTCTAGTTTGGTTCACCTGGACTGAGTAAGTACTAGTCTGTTCAAATGCACGCTATTCCGCAGATTTCCCCACCATGGTTGGCACATGACAGCCATGCTTCACTCCATCTGTGCTCAAGCGACTCGAATTAGAGAAGAGCAATAGACAGCAATAGTATGGATTGACAGAGACGCTAAACATATTATTGGTGTGATCATCTCAACAATCTAAACATATCATTGATAGTTGCTTTGAATTCCAACATTCAATGTTTGAATCGGTTTGACCATCATGTTCCTCATTGAAATGACCATCCTGTGATGTTTGCCCATTTTTGGGACCATTTTTGTTGCCCAGATCTATCAGGTGGAGCAAATGGAAAGCTGCCAGCGCTCACGCATTGAATCATGATCAGTTCCTTAAGAAAGACTCTAAGAACTGCATCCTACATATAACTGTAGAAATATCAGAATGCCATAGAATGCCATTCTGACATATTCTGACCGTACATTCTCCTCCATCTCTGTGAAATATGGCTTTACCATATGGTTTACCATGGTTTACCCACAAATTCCCACGATTTAAAACCAAAAAAAAAAAAACATTCTTCGGCATTGGATCGGACGAGGCGCCAAATTCTTGTTGAAGCTCACCGAATAGGTGTCCTGGACGGAAATCTCCACCTGGCCATGCTATGATGAAGTTGATAGATTCTGATAGCAGCATCGTGATCATAGGAACATAGGAAATTATAGGAATGTAACTAATATAACAATGAAATATGACAATTTGAATATCAATTTATGATAACAACAACGTTCACAATAAGAATTTCAATAACAATAAACTCATCATGGCAACAATAATGACAAACAATAATGATAAGACTAATAGCATCTACGAGCACCGTTATTAATCCGGATTTGGTTTTTGGCAAAGTCTGAAAGTTAGTCGGGTGATTCAACAAATTGCCTAAGAAAATCCGAACATGTGGGCTGGTTAGGATTTTGATGACTCATTCTATATACACTCCTATGATGGAGAGCATCAAGTAAAAATTGAAACAACCAACCAGAAACCTTCAGGCCACGTTTGACGCGTTCTCATCTCTTAGAAGCATAATGTACCGGGGTTGGTGCTGAGGTCGTTGTCATTTGTCCGTGCCTTTCTTACCAATTTTCTCCACGTCCTATGGGAAAACCAGCTGTTCCTGCCAATGAATTACCCCAAGGACATGGAACCGGTGACTTCTTCAAACAGCCCGAACAAAACCTGCTCTTTAAATTTGTATGGGTTGAATTTGCTCAAGCAACTTTTTAAGTTCCTTTAAAAAAAAAGGCAACAACTTGAAAGCAATTTGAACCCCATAACCAATGGATCCATTGAAAGAAAAACCTCTACCGTAAAATGTGGCTACGTGTTTCTACAGTCAAAATATGGACGGCAAGTTTTTGCGCCATCCAATTCGGGAACCGGAAACCGTAGTGCGTGATTCATCCCATTTACAGGGTTGGTCTGATCCCCATAATATATATATATGTATACGCTACATCTACCATACAGAAACTCGAGTGCACCATTATATATATATACGTATATCCCATCCATATCCCATTTCTATACTATATATTAATTAATATCCCATTAAATCCAATTAATATCCCAGTGAAATCCCATTACATGAGTAGATACCATTATATCCCATTAAAAGATTAAAATCCCAATGGGATATATAGATATTAATAAGATGGGATTGAAATATGGGAATAAAAGTTGGGATATTACCCCACTATATTCCATCTGGTTGGTGGTATACCTACCCCTCTGAAAAATATGAGCTCGTCAGTTGGGATTATCATTCCCAACATATGGAAAACAAACAAAACGTTCCAAACCACCAACCAGTGATAGTAGCAATAGCATCGTGATCATAGGAACATAGGAAATTAATTATAGGAATATAACAATTAAATACGACAATTTATATCAATCATATCCCAGTATATCAGTATATCCCATTATGGGAAATACCCTCTGGTAAATTAACATAACTATGGAATTTCACTATTTTTAATGGGAAAATCCACTATAAATGGCAATTTTCAATAGCTATGTTAGTTTACCAGAGGGTATATTCATATCCCAACCTTTTGTCCCATCCTCCCCTTGGGCAAAGCCACGGCGGTGTCATCGAAGGTTGCCGCTTGGCCGCAGACGTCGTCCGCGCCGCAGTCCTCAGGTGGAACAGGGGTTGGTAACTGTCCCATTTTGGGAATATTGGACATCACCTTATAGTAGCCATTATAGACCATATACCTAATGGTTGGGTGATGTTCAATGGGGACATTTAATGACCCATGTGGAACGACCGCTGAACGACCGACGCCGAACGACGCGGACACGGGGAACGGAGGTTCCAAACGATGAAACGTGCTGCTGAAACCATCATTTCACCATGAAACAGTGTCATTTAACCATGACGAATGGTGCTTAAACCATGAAAAATGCTCGTTGAACCGGGAAAAATGCTGGGTTAACCATGACAAATTGTGGTTTAACATGTCTTAAACATTGGAAATGGATTTAAAAAGACACACAAATTCATGCACATACCCCATGTATATCCCATTTATGATTAGGATGTCCGTGGCTAAAACGCGTGAAACCACAATTTATCCTTTATTGATACATATATTTAATACATTTTAATATTAGTACATATGTTCATATTGGGTTGCTCACCATGAAATTTGATGATTTATCATTCACCAGCTCCAAAATAAGGTCATCATGGGATAAATATAATTACTTCCCCTAGACTAAGCATTGTTCTAGTGACGTCACGTGAGGTCCTTACAATTCACCCAGTCCCAGATATTTAAATGTGCAAATATATGAGCCATGATCAACATATTGTAGGGTGGCACGGTCATCGCCAAGGGAATCCAAACAGAATGGGTATAAATTTCCTTACGAATAGATTGATGGCATTACCATGCATTACCTTAATATGGATGCAGCATGGCGCATATAAATAGATAGATGTATATAATCTATGTGATATGTGTGTGTGTGTGCGTTTGGCATCATCCATGGAATTCATAGTTTCCCATAATCTTCCCACTCTATTGCAGTTTCTTGTGCGAGTAGTATGGGAGTAGTATGGGAACGGGGTCCTATCATTGGGGGTTCCCATAAATTCCACTAACGTCACATCATATATATATAATTAATCGGATGTATTGTTTTTTGATGGTGCTCATGATGATGATAATGATACTAGTGATACAATGTGGTGATACAATTGATGATGTGATGACGATGACGATGACGACGACGACGACGAGGACGACGACGACGACGACGACGACGACGATGATGTTGACGATGAGGAGGAGGAGGAGGAGGAGGATATAATGCTATGAGATATGATGATATGATGATATGATGATATGAAATAATGACATATGATGTATGATAAATGATATACTTTGAAGTTGCTGGCTGTTGTGGATATATCGGGTAATTAACCCCTGACTGACAGTTTCAACCCCTGGAAATATTATTCAACTGGAACACAACCTTGACTTCACACCCTAGGTCTGACATGGACCTACCTACACCAAAAAACTGGCACCCTGCTGTTCACATCCCAAAATCAACAATTACCCTATTTGTACATGTTCATTCATCTAGCCATTCTTGATTTTGGTGTGTTTCTTCCGAACTGACCTTCATTTTTAGTCATTTACGGATTTACGGTGCTTTAGTGAGGTCACTAGATGTTGAAAAATCCCTAACACACCGCCCAGCATCGATGATCTGAAAGTTGCCTTCACCCGCCTGAACCCAGTCGTTGAAGGTCAGCAACACCTGGCTTTCTGGGATTCCTGGGATCGAGGAATCTATGTCCAATCTGAGTGCTTAGTGTGGTATTGGGTAAAGTCAATATGATGAACACGTAGTAATAGAATGTAATAAATATGTATATATATATGAGATATATATATGTGTGTATCTTTTTGGCAACCTACAAACTGAACAAAAAAAAACCTCCCCATGTCTAGGTTCCTGCTGCCCCCAGCTCCGCAGCTTCGCCTGAAAGTTGGAGGTGCTGACATCCACCGAGCCATTTCTCGGCACTGTGGACATCAAACTGGGACCCGTGGAGGCCGCTTTGGCTGTCACCTGTGCGCCCCCCCGGGTGCCCCAGTTGGATGGGTGGCGATTTTGGTGGTGGTGCGCCCCAAGAATCCTGTGATTCAAAGTTCAACCCAAATAACTGGAATATACATGAATATACTCTACTAGACTGTATTGGACTATATAATCATATTGGATTAAGTGGGGTACTTACCAACTGGGGTGACGTTGTTCCTTGGCTATAGGCTATAGCTGTAGTGTTTCCAAGCCTGCCCCTGTTTGGATTTCGAATGGAACATCCATGGTTTCCTGTTCAGAAATGATCTACAGCTGGAGGATTTAAGCCATATCTATGTCAGCTTACTGGAGGGCAACTACAATCAATATGTATATATATATATACATAACTATAAATATAAATGGATAAATAAATAAACATATATATATATATATATATGTACTCCAAGGCGAAAATTGATGGCGCAGACCGCATCTTCCGGCCAGTGGGTAGATGGCACTGGCCAAGCGCGGAAATCGATCCGCCTTCTCGTGATTTGTTTCTGGACAATACACCAAAAAAGTGCAGACTAGATGGCTTAAGAACTGATAGTTGTAGATTCTTAATATGACACACACACACATACATGCATACATACATACATACAATATGCATATATATATAATATATATTATACACACACACGCACGCATAATTATATAATATATATATATAATTATATATATATATGCATGCACACATTATTAAATATTAATTACTAATCTATATCCACAAATAATTACTCATTTCTTAAACGATCCACACATTATTATATAAATAATTACTCCTCTATATAGAGTGTCTGGTTACATCCCGCAACGATGATCGTCCAAGCTTTCAGTGGCCGAGTCACTGGTGTGTCCCAAGGCACATGTACGGCCAAGGATTCTACACATTGCTGCAACACAGTCGCCGACGCCGTCCTGGGCAAGGGTTGAGCTGAACAAATGTGGAACATGTGGGTTATATCATGGAAATATGCTGGAAATGAGATTTAATGCGCTATAATGGAGATATACTGGGATATCATGATGTAATTGTGGAACATCTATGAAAATCAGGGTTGCTGAAAAGGGGAGTGAATGTGGCAAATGAGAGATAAAATAGCTATATACTTTCTCCCTCTTGTGGCTATCATTTACCTGTAGTGGGCTGGAGCAACCCTGATGGATCTGATGCTGTTTCATTTCACGCGGCTTCGTACTCGAGTCCCCCAATGTCTTCGTAATATTCTCTCTCTCCTGTACAAGGTGGTGCCCCATAGTTAGCTAAGTTGGTTTATAACTCCAATAACTTGGGTTTATGGTAGATATACCTATACTTAATGGGGGTTATAAACCAACAAACATCACTGGGGGGGCACCACCTTGGGCTTGAGAAACTCCTGAATCTCCCAGCTTGGCGTTGATTCACCCTTATGAAAATTGGCTCATATCTCCATTGAAGATCCAGTTCTTGACTGGGATATGATTGGTTAATGGTGATTAATGGTGATTAATGGTGATTAATAGTGATTAATGATGGTTAATGATGGTTAATGATGGTTAATTGACTGGTTGGTGGTATACCTACCCCTCTGAAAAATGATGGAGCTCGTCAGTTGGGATGATGAAATTCCCAATATATGGACAAATATAAAATGTTCCAAACCACCAACCAGTTGAGATTGCTGAAATCTCCATTTTTGGTCAATGTCTTCATATTTCATGCAATTTGTGGGGCGAAGGTGAAAATCCCACTTTTTGAGACCTTGCCCGCCTTGCCAAGATGTTGAAAACCACCTCTAAGAACAGCTCCGATATCTATGGCCATGTGAGTAAATCAACCGTGCCTACGCCAAAATTGTATTCCTTGGTGCTTCATCCCGGTAAGTGGATCGTAATCCCAGTTCTAAGTGAACTAGCCCTACTTAGCCCATTTATATTCGGGCCTAATAGTGGGATGAATCACTAAGACAACCAACTGGTCCATTGCAAGCCCTTTTCTGGCCCATGCCGAATTTTCGAAGCAAACACTTTTCCTTCGGTCCAGATACCAAATAGTTCCAATCTCTACCAAACATGGTGATTTTTTTTCATATATCTTCCACAGACAGTCGTGAAATTGATCGGAACATCACCATGGTATCCGTTGAATCCATATGGAACATAGCTATTCACTTGGTGGTTTTTCGCCTACCCCAACCTGAAAAATGATGGAGTGAGTTCGTCAGTTGGGATGATTTTCCATTCCCAACTGAATGGAAAGTCATAAAATTCCATGGTTCCAAACCACCAACCAGCTATCAATATGGTGATTTTTTTTCCATGTATTTTCCATGGGTGAAAAACTCTCATCGACTCATCCAAGGCGCAGCTTCAACTCTCTCGGGTCTTCCGACTGAAGCGGGTCGCTCCGGGAGAGTTTGGCCACACTACCTGGGCTCGTCTTCCCAATGGAAAATCCAGTGGAAAATCCATTGGAAAATCAACACCACTGCAAGTGTTCCCAATACCCTCTGGTAAACTAACATAACTATGGAAAATCACCATTTTTAATGGGAAAATTCACTATAAATGGCCATGTTCAATAGCTATGTTAAATTACCAGAGGGTAGATTCCCCAAATTGAAAATCAAATGGTGAAGTCTTGGAAACTCAACTGCACACAGCTGGAGAAATTATATACCTCAACCAACATGGACCTTGCCATTCATGCTGACAATTCTCAGTTCGTTGAGTAGAATGAGTAGAAGGTAACGTAGCCTGGTAGCCATCAGGCTCCCTAAATGGTGAATTATCCAATGAAAGAATATAGGCCATTTCTTTAATATATACCATATGTATCTTATTGTATAATCATGTGATTGTGTGTTCGTCTATATCCTCATGAACTAAACGTTGTCTCAAAAGATTTCCACATATGAGGCAACAACTATTCCATGGGTGTGTCTTGAAATGGGGTACACCTGTATACCCCCGAAACTAACAAGAACAATTGTGATTAGCCTGGCTGGCTTTAGGGCTAGCCTATTTGCAATGGAGCCCCACCCTGCTTGGAATTGGTTTTCAAGTGTTTTTAAGCCATCTTAAGTCAATAGAATTAGGAGATGTCTACATTACGGGAACAACTAAGGAAGATGTCACCAACCAACTAGTCTTAAACACGTTCAAACAATGAACTTTCATTATCAAACAATGGTCTGCTGGTTTGGGCTGGTCCTGATTTTTTTTTAATTCACCGACCCAAACCAGTGGGGGGAACTTAGGCAACCTATTTAATATCGGGAAAAAACATTGGCTGGTTGGTGGTTTCAACTATCTTGAAAAATATTAGTCAATGGCAAGGATTATATAGGATTATCCCATACATTGTGGAAAAATAAAAAATGTTCCAAGCCACCAACCAGAATTAATATCATGTTTTTTTCCCAAAAGCAACTTCATTAAGAAAAAAACTAGAAGAAAAAAAAACATGTGCGAAAAGATCACTCTGGCAATCTAAATAGCCATTCAAAATTGTGTTCTTTGCTCGGCAAAACTTCATTTTCAATAGCTCTGTAACAAATTGCCCGCGAAATATTCTGGCTAGGCTAATTACGATTCACAAACCTGAAAATGGTTATACAATGGGAATATCATGGGAAATATCAAGTAAACTAACAATTAGATACAATTAGTAGATCGTTTCACCATGAGTTTTCCACCTCGTTTCGTAAACGTTTACGGAAAAACTCGCCCCACCCACGTTCAGCGCCCGGTCAGCCCAGGCTGCTGCACTGCACCGGAAGTGGTGAGCTGAAACTCAAGCCGTGCGCCAACGTCAAATGCAGCTGGAAGTAACTGGGGGACGAGCTGAGACCTGGCGGTGGACTTGACTCACAAAAAAAATATAGAAACAGGGAGGAAAAAATGAGGAATTAGCATGAATTAACATAATTTCACTGGGTTTTAACTCGGAGTAACTTGGATGAACTGAGTTTTAAAAAAACTGGGCTAAAGAAAAGGCTCCAAACCTGGGGATGGAGGTATCCCAATATTTTTCGAAAGTCCTTGCCCCGTAAGATGAAAAATAACAGCAACTGGTTGGTGGTTTCAACCATCTTGAAAACTATTAGTCAATGGGAAGGATTATCCCATACATTATGGAAAATTAAAAAAATTGTTTGAAACCACCAACCAGACCAGTGTTCTTGTTACTATTATCAGGCTGTTGTCATATATTATTGCTAATTATTCTCATTAATGGGACCCATTGGGACTTGAAAATGGATGGATTCAATACCCAGAGTTTCTAGCGTAAGGAGAGGCGATTAACGAAAAAGAAGGTGGATTGAGATATTCCAAAGCTGGGGTGTTTAGCCAGCACAATGCAACGATCCTGGTCGGCTTAACTGACAACCATTTTTTCATGGAGATTGCAGAAACAAGGAAAGTGAAGCCGCAAATTGGTTGAAATAAAACTGCCAATACCCAAGAAATACCTGACTTTCAATGCAGCCATGCAGATTCCAATCGCTCCGGCTTGTTTTCATGGCACCCAACAAAGATGGAGGCTCAAACAGCAAACGGGGATTCGATGAAGAACAAAGAAACTGGGCCACTAGAAATGCGCTAATGTGGGTAAAACAATAATAAACCATCCCCCAAATCACCATAAATATGTTTTTTTGATGTTTACTATTCCCAAATGGATGGTTTATTATGGTTTTACCCACATTACACACAAATTTGTTGAATCGATTTCCTAGATGAGGGGAATACTTCCGATGGCACCCGGATGTGAATATGGACGGATTTGGGGTGAACGGCTTGTGTATCAGAACTTCCTTATCATTTGATGATGTCAACCTTTAAAATGTGGGGAACCCTTGGAAATCCAGCGAAATGCTCTGAGCTTTGCTTGGATTATGAGATATTATGAGCAAGCAGCATGGAATTAATGAATATCGAGAACACTAGGGATTCCCTCCCTGACTCCCTACTCCCCCTTCCATCTGATTTAAAAGGAGTGGTCTGTATTTGGTCCACATTCTGAAGTAATTCTTTCTGGGAAACAAGCGACTCCAGCCATCTGCCAACTTCAACTCGGTTGTCCTGCCTATAATATGTGTCACGTGTTAAATAATTCACAAAAATTCTATGAATTACCCATGGAAATTAGGCTACTACCAATGGTTATTCTATCTTTGCCTTTGCCGGCTTGGACTTTAGAATACTTTAGAATACTTCTTATGCTTAGCTGGTTAGTAACCCAAGCCTCCAGCAATCAGCTCCATGGCAGTTTGAGAAATGGTGGGTTTTCCAACCAACCATGCAGCTGATGACGTTACGGTCTAGCCGGGAAAAAAAACAAGCTACTTGGTGGCTCATCCCACGAATCGCAAGTGGCTTAGTTCATCCTATCAGTGGATTCACCAACCTTCTCCCACTGAAATAGCTGGGGTGAACTAATCCACCTACAAATTCCAGGGAGCAAATGGTTCAAGTCGCCTGCGGCCGTCCAGAGTTCCGGCAAGCTTTCGCTGACTGCCAGCAGATCTTTCCTCGGTATGATTGTGATTCCATAAATGGGTGGGGTATGCCCCCAAAATGGGCATATTTAATGGGGAAAATGGTGATAAACCATTGGATTTTGACTAATTACCCTATTTGTCGACAAACCCAAATGCTGTGCCAACAATACCCATTGGAAATCCATTAAAAGATAAATCGTGATAAATAATGACAAAATGCGAATAAAGCAAAATTATAGCAAAACTGAACTGGCAATCACAATTGATACCCTCTGGCAGTTTTTTTCTCACATAGCTGACATAGCTATGGAAAATAGGCAAACCATCAATTTTCATTGGTCATGATCCATAGCTAGGAATTATTTGTAACAAATTACCAGATGGTACCCAAACAGTGTAACAATATGTAGCAATGTAGCCATCAGCCTGATCCACTCAGAATCATCAGCCTGGCAGAACCTGGCCCAGTTATGCCGCAAGAGGCTGTTTGTAATTACCGACACTATCCAGGGAGCCACATCACAAATCTTCAAAATTTCACCAACTCGACCAAGTCTCAGTTGCAAGTCTGTCCCCTGTGCCACCTGAATGCTTGAGCCCACCATGCTGTGAATCAGCAGAGTGCTGGCGTTGGGCATTTCGATCTCCGTTTCGTTGGAGACGTTCACCGTGCTGTTGGTCTCATTCGTCAGGGCCTGAAACCAGCCGATGCGATGGGCTGTGGTGGCTTTTATCTCACTCAAAGATGTAGGCGTTCACGTACCATACCCTCTGGTAAACTAATGTAGCTAGTGCAAGTTACAATTTTCAATAGGTAGATCATCTAGAAATTGGTCATTTTCCACAGCCATGTTAGTTTATTGAAGAGTACAATGCCATAAAAGGGATTGAATAGGTATAAACGGTACCGTAAATGATTACGACAGATACCCAAAAATCTCCCGCCAGAGCAAACATGTGGATTCAGTCAAAGGAATTGCAACGTGAAATACTTGGGTTTGTCTGCAAACGGCGCCCCCCAAAAACCACTGGTTAATCATAATTTTCCCTAGTAAACTGGCCAATTTGGGGTATCCCCGTGTTGGATACGCCCTCAAAAAATCATATTTTTACCTGCATCAAGTGCCCAATAAATCTCCAGTACTCCCATTATATCCCATGTAAACCATAAAAAACAAACCTTGCATAGCCCATGCTGAAACTGGCCATGACCCTGATCGCTGGATGTGGGCCGGAGGGGCCTCGAAAATGACGTTGCGCGGATCATCTTCGAAGCTTTCTGGAAACGACAAATTTGTGGTGTTCCTCGGGTCCAGCGCTGGTGATCGCCGCATGCCCCATATAAAATCAACTATCAGATCAAGGCTTTTGAATAGATTCCCCAAATTCAAAGTTCTTGTCCAAAACAACAAAAACCAAAACATATATAATCAACATATAACCATATAACGAAACCTTTTCCGCCTAAACATGACAAAAACCACATCCTTGGATCGTTCCTTTCCTCCAGGCGTCGTCCCGTTGGATCCAAAGGTGGACTGCTTGTAGAACTGCGGCAGCCGGTCGTCGAAGTCCGGCAGCTCCGACACCTCCGGCAGATCCTCCGGCAGCGGCGACGTCGGCAGCGGCGGCAAGGCGCTGCAGTTGGCGCAGGGGGCGTCCTCCAACGTGTCCTGAGGGGGGCCTGGAGGGCGAGGGACCGAGGGATGACAGTTCTAAAAAATGATGAGGGTCTCTATCTATCTATCTAATCTAATCTAATCTAATCTAATCTAATCTAATCTATCTATCTTTCTATTTTTCTATCTATCTATCTATCTAGCTAGCTAGCTATCTATATATATATATATATTATATATATATGTGTGTGTGTATCTCAGTGTGTATCTGTTTCTGTTTATCTTTCTATGTTTCTTTATATCTATCTATTTGTCTATCTATCTATCTATCTAGCTATCTAGCTATCTAGCTATCTAGCTATCTAGCTATCTATCTATCCTATCTAATCGAATCTAATCTAATCTATATATCCAGTCGAATTTGAACGAGAAATGAGAATGATTATATTATATATATATATATATGCTTGGAATAATTTGTATGGCATATGGCATGTAATAGTAGAATCAAGGGATGATATTTCTATGCTATGACCATGATGTACGACCGAGCCACAGCCACCAAGACCGAACCACAGCCATCAAGACTCAGAAAACCATGGAGCCACAGCCACCGTTTGGAACCGCTCGTTTATGCTAATTACATCTAATTACCCCTAGTGCTAGATGATGATGATGATGATGATGATGATGATGATGATGATGATGATGATGCTATATGTATGAATAAACTGCTAGTTCTCCCTGCATGGGCCTCTGAAAAGGGATGACAATTGGGCATACCACCCTAATTGCGGATTCAGTGGTGCCCTACTTTCAGACAAGCCTATATGGATACAAAAAGGCGTTGTCCAATCGCCATTTCCCCAGAGAAAAAACATGTCTTTGAATCTGGTCGGTGTCTCAACCTGTCACCTCAGGTAGTGACTTAGTCTCACATTACTTGATGGATTAAGGGGGTTCACCCAAATAGTAGTGGATTGTCAACCTGAAATCACCTGGTTGATGAACCAAGGGCCTCCCAAACAGTGATGGTTTGCTTCGAAAATCATATAATCCTCCAACTAAACCCAGGGCCAACAGGACGTTCCAAGTGAGTGAAACGAGAAACGTGGTCGCCAAGCGCCAAGAATCGTGGTCCGAGGCGTTGGACTCGTTGGATTCGTTGTCGGCATCGGGGACGAGTGTCACATCGTAGGGATACAACCTGGCGGACGAACTGGGCTTCAAGCAGGAGAACAATGTGCAACTCAGGTCACTGAATAGTCATGAATAGTCAAATTCCATGGAATTTTGGGCATTTCCAAATTTCCAGGCAGTCTTGGACATCGCAAGCTCAACCACCATGAACAGCAACAAAGCTGCTCTGGAATTCGGATGGTTTAGGAACTGGGTCAGGTTCAAAACCTGCCCCTTGACTTTCGGTCATCTCGACTCTTTTCGTCTTAAGTTTGTTTCCTTTTTGGGAGGAGGCAGGTGTGCATAAAATCCGTTTGGGTGACCAATGCCTGAAGGAAGCAACTCAAGTGGCTCGACCCGCCATCCCCCATCATCTTTATTCACAGAATCCTGAATCCTGCCCAAAAGAAAACAGAACACCCCATGGATGGTGTGAAAATTCGATCAAATCCAAGTTTTCTGTCAAGGCAACTCGATATATCTTTCGCAGGTGGTGCCATTTTCTTCCGAGTCATTCTGCTCGTTGAAGCTCTGAAATCGGCACGACAACTCCGCAGGCTCTGGAAAGCGGTCTGGCTCCTGGAATCGGAAGATTCAAGGACCAGTCTCAGGTAACAACTGCTTCAGAGATCTTACCAATCTGCAGTAAATATTCATTTATACATATATATATATATATATGTATGTATATATATGGCAGTGTGTCAAAACCTTGTACCCCTGGTGAACATCAAAATAGCTGGTAAATGGATGTTCATCCCCCTGAAAATGGTATTAATAGGTATTGATCCATACCCATATATCTATATATATATATATGTGTGTGTGTATATGTGGACAACCCACCATGTATCATCATAGGAACCCTATAAATATCTATAGATATGGAGAGCCATGGGGAAAAAAAAACATTTATAGATCATTTCCTGAGGAGACCATGGGCTTTCTTTCCATAGGCTGTGTCCATGTTAGCTCACAGGGTGCAACAATCGTTCCACCAGCTGTGCATTTTTTCCAAATTTGACAGTTATAAGTTGTAAGTTATAACTTATATTATAAGGGATATTATTTGGACATGTTGTCATTTTGATGTCGGGATACGTATGATAGGGAGTGTTTGAATACAAAGCATCTACAACATTCTACAACTAATCTGAATTGTCGGCCATTCTTGAGATATTTCAATTGACTAACCAGTGAGGTTGCTGCAGTCGGCCCGGAGACAAGCATGCAAATACCATGTAATGATGATAAGCAATGGTAAATCATTACCATGAGGACTTTAAAAATATTAGATACCATGTAATAAAAGCATTACCCAGTAAATCATGTTATCCTATTTTAAAAATACCATAAATGATCATGAAGATAGGTGGATTCTTTAAAATAGGATAAAATGGGACAGGACTAAACCTCAACAGAAGGCAAATGGATAGCTCCGCCGTCGTTGCCCAGCAGATTTTGAAAAGAGATGCCTATTACTGAGTCTTCCAAGTTGGCCAGGTCAGAAAGTCCATCCCAAATGAAAAAAATGGAGACAAATAATAGATCCAAAGTATCTATATGGTTTTATTAGTATCCCAAATGGTGGATGTTCTATTAGTATCTATTACATGCTATTACTATCTGATTTTGCTACCTTGACTAATCTTATTTCCGACATAGGGCAACCACAAAAAAAAATCGGCCACAATTTCCAACGTCGGCAACCCAACCTGAAGAGGCCCATCCAAAATCCCAATCCATTGATGGATTGTTTAAAGAGAAAACTGTTTGAAGCAGTGCTGCAGCATTAAAACAAGGGGCTCCTGCAATTTTTCTTCAACCAATGGTGGGAATTCCCATGGAATGACAATCTAAAGGAAACCATGGCTGGAATAAACATCATATATAGAAGTTTCCTGAAAATGGGAGGTTTCTTATGCCTCAATATCATAGTCGGTGTCCTGCAAATATTCCCATGATTTGCTTAAGATGCTCCAAAAGGAATAGGATATATTCATATATTCCCTATAGATTTCCTATAGATATTTAATACCCCTATAGATATATTCCCTATAGATTTCCCTGTTATCCCAAATGAATATTCCCTATATTTCTCTATAGATTCCCTCTTTTAGAGGTGGAAAGAACCGGGAAAATCCCATGGAAATCCCATCTCCTGTGGGACAATCTCCGGCGCAGCCACGGGTTGGATGTCGATATCCCAGCAGCCCGTGTAGCGTCGCATCTGCGCCTCGCCCGGGCGTTGGGCGTTGGGCACGTCCTGCAAGAAGAGGCACAGGTGGTCCAGGCCGTGTAGGTGACCTGAAGGCCATCCCGAGATCAATGGAATATATATATATATATGTATGTATCATGTATATATATGTATCATGTATATATATGTATCATGTATATATGTGTATGTGTGTGTGCGTGTGTGTATACTGTATATGTACATGTATGTGTATATCATGAAATTTTATGTGTTTATGATATGATATAATATATATATATGATATAGATGAGTGTATCTGTATGATGACACAATGGGCATTGAAGCAACAAACATGATGGTTTGATGGAATTTAAGTTGGGATCTTAGGGAACATGGCATGTTTTGTGGCTTGCTACCAGGCCGCTTTCCGCTCAAGATGGGTGAACTTCGGTTCTATGTTCGTTGAGGGGATGCTAAACAGTATAGATATGCAAAGATCGAATGAGGTCTCTTATGATATCTATAGATATGATTCATACTCATACAAGCTATTACTAAGATATATCAAGTTGTATCCCGATATCGTACAAGTATATCAACGTAAGATCTACATGTTCAGTAGTCATCAGAATGTCTTAGACTATTCATATCCCAAAACTCCAATTACAGAAAGTGGAACATCCTGGAATGAGTGTGAAGTATGTAACTGAATGAGTGCTCTATTATAGGATCTATAGGTTAGCGAAGTTGGTTATCATGCAAAATCACTAAATCGCTTAAGGAGTTATGGGGCGATTTTGGGATCGTTGGAAGGGTCCCTTCCCGCGCCGCGCCTTTCGTAACGAGGAGACACCGAGTCAGAAAGGCCATCTAAGGGAGATGTTTACCATGGTGTTTACCCCTCACCAAAGCCCAAATCTGTAACTCATTACCCTCTGGTTATTTAACATAGTCATGGAAAATCACCATTAAAATAATAGGTAAACCATCTATAAATTGGCCATCTTCCCATCTTCCATGGCTATGTTAGTCACAACCAGAGGGTAACTGTTAGGGTAAAAAGCTCTGCAGCTTTTTCAATGGTCCAGCGACTCATGTTCCGTGGAGGCGTGTAGACCAAGGTGTCCAACGTGGCTTCGACATCCTCTGCGTAGCCCTGGAAGGTGACCAAATTGCGCTCGCTCTGCGTGAGGATGGCGCTACTGGACATGACCATGCCTCGAAATGAGGGGAACATGGCGCCATGTCAACCATGAAAAAAACAACGCTTTTAAAAGGAGCCTTTTGAATCATCAGTTTTTTACCCCTCCCAAAAAATGACAGTCAAAAAAACATACTTAAGGGAGAACAAAAGGCTGGAAAAGCCGGTCTTTGCATGCTAATTCTGTGGTTTCGTGGGAAAATTCCAGTAGACCGATCTGAAGAATCTTCATGATGAACTAAACAGAGTTGCCTCCCATATTTAAAGGTAGTTAAGCTCCAAAAAATACCAACTGTCGAGACCCACAAGCATGTTGATGAGTTTCCAAAGCTAAAGGTCCTGCACATGTGAAAAGTGAAAAGGAAACATGTTGGTTCATAGCTTGTCCTCATTTTGACCACCCATGCGGTGCATTGATATGCTGGAAAATGCAAGCAGCAAGCATACCGATCCTAGAACCCAATAGATATACAAACAGGTACGCACCCATAAACATGACGCAATCATCAGCAAAGCTAGACGAAAGGAACCGAAAATGTCGCTGAAATCCCTGAAGCAGCTGCTGATATTCCCATATTTGGCCATCACGCGCATCGTGAAGGGCCATGCTGCATCAATCCTGGGCGGTGCACCACTCATCGAAGATCAGAATGGAACCCAAGAAATCATCATCATTTTCTCGGAAGAACGGGTTATCATATCATGTTCAAACACCTAAGAGTCTTTCCCAGGCTGTTTGTGTGAATCGATTTTTTGAAGAGGGTAACTCTTTACAGAAGGTGGAAGAGCATGCCAGGAAGATCCAGGAAGGAAACCAAGGCAATTGATCGACATGGTGACACATTGTGACACATTGTAACTGACTACAGCCCCCTTTCATCCAACTTTCATAAATAAAATCAATGGTTCAGTCGTCACCGTTACCTTCATTCTTGATATAAACAGTATGAATATAAACATGACGAAATCTTTAAGCGCATAAGCTGGGCAATCCTATGCGCATTCTTAGTAGGGAGAAAAAAGAGTTTCAGCAAACAAAACAAGACGCGAACTTTTCCTGGTGACCCTCTGTGAAGCCATTGATGACTGATGACCTATCCCAGTGACCATGTTTTTTGGGTCACAATAAACATCATCCCACACTGACCCTAAGTTGGAGTTGTTTTTGGCATGAGTTTCGCCCCATGAACATAAGATTAAATCCCCTCAATCCACCGTGTTTCCCACTTAAGTGCCCATCTTCCATGGTTAACAAACCCGTTGCTTAGTGGTTTTGCCTCGGATTATCTGGGATAAAATCCCAGTTTTCCATACATGCTTAAACCATGTTGAACCCTAATTTGTTCACCTTACCTCACAACCAAGCATCCTCCCCAGGTGTTGCTGATTTATAAGACAATTCAACTATTATATCTACCATAGAGCCAACGGGTATTGGAGTTATTTGCACTAACTTAGCTAACATGACCTGGTTCTAATTTCATATACATACATGATACATGTAATACTTATAATTATAAATGTGTTCTTGTTGAATATAAACCTGTATAAACCCATATAAATATCATAAATATCAATAAATTCGATGTTCTCTTGGTAAATTCACGTAAAATTCATCTCAAGATGCCCAGTTTTAGGGCAACGTTCTCCCGGCCCAGGCACTGTGGCGCGCTACGGAGGTCCAGATCCTGCACCCGAAAGCAGCAGAGCGCCTTGGGCGTGTCCTGTTGGACCAGGAGCGGCAGGGCCCAGGGATGGTCCACCGAGAAGATCACTGGGGTGTCGTCCTGAGCTGAAAACATGCTGAAAACATGAAACTGGTTGGTTAATAAAACCAGTGGTTTATATATGGTTAATAATGGTTAATAATGGTTAATATACGGTTAATATATGGTTATTATATGTTAATCATTTAATATACTGTTAATAACGGTTAATATTAATGGTTATTATTATATGGTTAATGATCTTGAATAATATGGTTTATCAATGATTACTGGTTGGTGGTTGAGCCCTACCCCAACCTGAAAAATGATGGAGTGAGTGAGTAACAGTTGGGATGATGTTCCATTCCCAACTGTTTCTGGAAAGTCATTCAAAATTCCATGGTTCCAAACCACCAGTGAAAACATGGTGGAAAAAACGACCAAAAAAGACATATGGATACCATGGCGATGGTTTTTCCCTGAGAATTGTGTGGGAGTTCTTCGTGACTTTTCTGGGTGTTCTATGGGAAAAAATTTGACTTTTTGGATTCAAAGTGGGTCGTGGAGTTTGTTTACTGATTAGAAATCCCCTATAACTGGTTCAGGTGGTTTAGTTTGGAACATCTGAACCCGGAAACCATGGTTTTGTTAAAATCAAAATCAGAGGTTTCCTGCAAATCGTCCCTTTCCTGCTGGCGGCTGATCATCGTCCAAACCTCTAACCCACAGAAACTAACGGCTCAAAGGGATCCAAACATCCACACGTCCAACCACGTCTGAAAATGGGTAATTATACCGTATACCCTACAACTGGTCATTTGAACATTCGATAATTCATTTGATGTCATTTGTAGATGATGAGAATTCATTGAAATGTTAACCTCAATTTCAAAGAAATCCATGTAAAGAATTTGCTGATGCTTGGGCTTTGGTTGATGGGGTTTGGTCCAGCCCAGTGATGCCCAGTGGCAACGGCTTCAACGTGAACAGTCAGAGACTTGGAAGTACAGGTGTCATCCGCTGGCACTGCCAGTTCCGCATCCTGAGTCCGATCCGATGCCTGAAATTCCCACTAGGCGACCGGCCACTCCCTCTACACATGTTCCACTGGTACATCCATGTGACCGGGATGTAACGGCTCCCCAATCAAAATCAAAACGCCAGGCATCCCATTGACAGATCTTCAGTAGGATGGAGCTTGGATACAGAGAGCTGGTGCTAAAGTCCTGACGAATGATGGATTTACATGATTCACCTCACTGGAGGTGAGGGTCGCCGATTTTCAGACCCAAATCTGGTTGGTTTCCAGCTGCTGAAAGTTTAACTTCTAGTGGTCATGCAATTATTCAATGGATTGGTTTAAGGGAAAATTTACAGGAAACCCCCATATTTAATGATAAAAACAGTAAAAACCCTGGTTTCCGGTTAAGATTTTCCCGAACAAACCAATCCATTGAATTATACCACCAGTTTCCTTTGAAAATGGCTGGGAACCACGAAATGTAAACGCTGGGGGGAGCTGAAATCCGAAGGATCTAAGCCTGGAATATCCGGTGCCCTACCTATAGCAGTGATCCTCCAAGTGGGGTTGATGCACGTTGCGAGGATAACATTTTAAGGGCAAAGATAGGCTTGGGCCATGAAGGGCATACTCCTGGAGAAATGCTGCCTATCCCGTCGTACAAAGGCATCTATGGATTCCCTGGATATCTATGGATTTTTCTATATTAGGTTTGTCCAAGAATGGACCATATAACGGCATATGCATACCCCCATCCTATATAGGACCGAAGTTTTCATCATTTTCCCCGTACAGAATCCAGTTCCAGTCCTGTTTGGGATGACGAAACTCCACGTCCTCCAGGAAAGTCTGCAAGACCGCCACTGAGCCTGTTGCTTCCTGGGCGGCTTGAGCCTAATGCCTTGACATTGCCTAATGTTATGACAGCTATGTTCAACATATTTTGAAGACATGTGGGAAGGTCATGATATATGCCCAAGTTAAATAGCCCATAGGCTTGCTAATCCGGGGTTGGCATTGCACGTGAGTCGTCCTCAGGAGTGCCCTATTGCCATCTGTGTTTACCGGCCATTGAAAGGCCGCCATCAATGTCCACATTCGTCCCTCAGATGCAAGCACCTTTGTCTGAGCAAAATGAATACATGTGAATACGCTTCAAAACAAACCTGGAAAGCTTCGCCCTTTCTAGAATGATTCCCCCTTATAACTACAATTTATCTGGTTCAAAAAAAAGTTCAACTTTAAAAAACAAATCAAGACCCAATCCTGATTTCAGCCCATTTTTGGAGATGTTCCCATATGTTCCCCCCAAATCATCATTCCCAAAGTTGATGTTTGCCCATTTTTGGAAATACTTCCGCATTTTTTTCGCATGTTGATTGGTTATTCATAATGGCAAATAGTGTAACTATAGTGGCTAACAATTATAACAGTTGATTATAGATTATCTACGCCATCCTTTTTTTTGCTCCAAAACGGCTTGCCGAAACCGTCCAGCGACGATCAAATGCGGCGAGACGTACAGGACGGAGGCATTCATCAGCGGCTGCCGCAGGGCACCATCCTGGCGAGATGAAGCGCCAGGGAGATAGAGAGTTACATCTATTCCTTTAAAGTAGCCCAGTAACGTCGGTAAAACAAGATCCACCATCCCCCCCCAGTCACCATTTTTATAGGATGGTTACCATTCCATTAAATGGGTGGTAAAAATGGCATTGTTTTACCCACATTACTGGGTTATTTTCACTTTGGGGTTCCATATTTAAAGTGTTGTTGGTGGGATTCTTCCATGACTATGGCAGTTTGGCTCCCAAAGCTGTCCGGCGATGAGATCTTGAGGTACAGCATGGGTTTCTGAGCCGCAAAAGCAATTCGGAGCTTCCCCTCATGGCCAAACCTCGGCATGGGGCACAGCACGAATTTGGGCCATGGCGGGTAACCTTAGATAAAAAGGAAAATGTGATGGAAAATCATGGAAACTGCAGGGGCTACTGAGCTAAAGATAGTTTCCTACTCAATCTCATTTCTGCTGGCTGGCGACCTCAAAGGGTGGTCCTCCTGTCCTTTCAACTCCTCTGCTTCTGCAGTGAGACCCACTGGAATTCGAGCTTGAAGTACCTTCACCTCAGACGCATATCTTGCGCACTCAGAAAACATCAGAATGTTATGATCGACCTGCACATTCCTGCATTTCAATCCGAAATTTAAGCGATGTCCCATCCTTCCTATCCCCAACAAAAATGCCATTTCCCATAATCAAATCATGCAAAATCATCCTGCTAGGTCCCTCAAGTTTCATCCGGATCCTTTTTTGGGGTACGTGGTTTTTGTTGGACCTGCTAAGCTCTAGAAGGCTCTGGAAAACCCAACAGCAAACCTCCAATATTGGATGCTTTATATATATATATTATTTATATATATATACAGTATGTGTTATACTTGTACCACCCATTTCCGGTGAAATTGTGCTTCATTGGCTTTATCACATCACTGTCCTCTAACTATATCCCATTCATCCACCATGTTTCCCCCTTACATGATCTTTAATCAAATCCCAAGTCCACAGTGAATTGCCAGTGTTTAACAGCCATATTTCACAATTATAATAGCCATATAGTAGCCATATAGTAACAGTAATATGGTCCACAGTATGTCCACAAATTTATACCATCTGGTGGTTCATTCCGCCGTATAAAGAGGATGGCTTCACCGACGAACTAAGCCACAATTCCTGGGGTGAACCACCAATTGGAACTGTTTTTGGATATGATCCCATTAATCCAGGAATTGATGTTAGGATATACTACAATATTTGGATATATCCAATCCAATGTATTTTAAGATTGTTTTTGGATATGATCCCATTGCTGTTAGGATTATATTACAATATATATGTCCCATGAATCTACCATCTCTCCTGTAGTTTATACTTCCGATTTTCCATGAGAAAAAGATATACCCTCTGGTTTAACATAGCTATTCAACATGGACCATTTAGTTCGATGATTTACGCGGATTTGCTCAAAATGGTGATGTTCCAGTTCGCTATGTTAAATTTGCAGAGGGTAAAAAGATGTAAAAAGTCCTGATTTCTGCCATTTCCTCGGCATCCAAGTGGCTTCAAAGCCCAGTTCGCCCGTCAGGTTGCCGCCGCCGCTCACGCCGCCGTCCGATACGCGGACCACCACCTGGTCCTCGCCCACGAACCACTCGGGCGGTTTGTACAAGATGCGTTGGAAGGAGTCCTGGGGGACAGGACCTGGGGAATGGAACAGCATTCAATGTGGATCTGCACATACAAATAAAATGTATATTATATATCATATATATATATACTATGTATAGGTTAAGGCGGTTAAGGGATCACTTAGAGCTATATATATATAATTATATATATATTCCGTAATCTGTATTAAAATAATAGCAATATGTTTTCTTCGAGCATACTATTGAATCTGTCACATATTATGTAGAGAGATGAGGTTTGGCAATGGACACATGTGGATTCCCGTTGCCATGTGGATGCTGACCCCAGATGCTGGCGGTTGTGGGTCATTAAATTTGGAACCCCATTTTTGGACGGATGTCGGGAAGGAGGTGTGTTGATATTCTACCCTACAACCAGTGCACCGGAAAATAGAGGGATCGTTGTTCAAGAGGGATCAGGTGGTTACGTGCAGCTGAAAAAATTGGCATTGAATGGCACTCATCCACTTAGAGACTGTCCTTTGGTAATCATGGGCTGAAAAGATTCCCCATCTACTTCTGGTCGGAGGTTTTAACCATCTTGAAAAATATTAGATATATTAGTCAATGGGAAGGATTCTGAGTATAATTATTATAAAATAAAAAATGTTTTACTCGCGGCACTCCGAAGCAAATAAAAAATGTTTGAAACCACCAACCAGAATCAACCAGACTTCGATGATTCTCCCATTTTTTCGGATGCCAAGAAGGCGAGTTCCGGGGATTTACCAGGGTCCTGGATTTGCTGCAGGGTCCCCTGCAAGCGAAGGTAACGACTGGGATAGGGCGGAGCAGGCACCTGCTCCCGCCACAAAGGCTCACCCAAGGGGAACAGCAACTCACCAGCACCTGCGGTGTTGCAGAACTGGTGGTCCCCACGTAATCAGATTGTAAGTTATAACATGTGATAAGACGTTATAGCATGGTAATATATGGTAATCATGTGATACCATATGTAATCATATAATTATATATATAATTATATATATATAATTATATATATATAATTATATATATAATTATATGTATTGCAATTGTAATATGTCCTCACCCATCCTCACCCTACTTTGGCCCCCCTTTGTTGGGGACATCAATCGAAACAACCACCCTTCGCCTGTCTGAAAGGTCAAGGTGAAGACCGCCTCATTCTCGGCCCGCCAGCCCACGACATCAGGATCTTGAACTCGAAGCCCGCGGAAGGGGAAGGACTCGTTGTTCAACATCTCCTCCGTCCAAAAAGGTAGATCCGAAAAGGCCGAAAAGGGAAATCCCCATGGAAATCCCATCGGGTTGAAATCGCTTCAAATTTTGCTGGGAGAATCATGATGAAGATTGACATGTGGTGCCCTAATTCCAAGGTTTTTTTATTGGTCAAATAAACCCAGAATTCCTAGCCCTCCGCACGGATTCCCATCCTTGGGTGGCAAGTGAAGCCACGAGAGGTAGGGCATATCGTTCACCGCTTCCACTTGGATCGTCACGTCTTGGATGACCATCTTCGGGTCCTCCTGGCTGCCCTGCAGGAAGTTGGTGTAGCCATTGTCAGCCACGACGATCCTCATCTGCACCTGAGATGCCATGCTAGAACCCAAGCCGCCCCAAGTCGATTTCATCGTTTTACCCTCTGGTAATTTAACATAACTATTGAAAATGGCCATTTATAGTGGATTTTCCCATTAAAAATTGTGATTCTCCATAGTTATGTTAGTTTACCAGAGGGTAGATGGCTTTATCATTTGGTATTTATTTGGTAAAGTTGGTATTTTAGTTTGGGGCAGGGGATGCCTGAAATTGTCATTTGACATCGTTTGACATCATTTGACCATCCATATCTTTCCTACTTTGATTTGGGTACGGTCCAAAAATGCGCTTCCCAATAATAATTGAATTATTGATTATTTCATACTAAAAAATAGAAGCAAACAGACTAAAATCATCTAAATTCTGTGGTCTTCCAGGAGTTAAATTTTGACCCATTGACCCATACCTATTTCCGATCCCATCACCATGAAACGATCCCCTCCCAATGGCCAGTCGCCTCACCGTTGAAGTTCGAGGGCGGCGTGTAGACCAGCTGCCGCAAGCAGCTTTGAACTTCCTCCAAACCTTTGGTCGCCCCCAGATGAAAGACATGTCCCTCAGATTCCCCAAATCTCTCATTTGAGGGGGGCAAAAAAAAGTAAAACATATTAAAGTCAAGGATTTTCGACAAATTCCTTTGGAGATGTTCTCCTAAATATCTGGATTCTCATAGATCTTCCACATGGTTCCACTGGGAAAATACGAAAAGTCACCATCCGACTCGCAAGGAAACTGGGTCGCATCGCCACTTCCGAGCGCAACTCGCAGGTCTTCCCAAGCTGCGGGGCGGATTTGGGTTCGCTGGAGATACCAGCGCAGGTGGTGCCAAAAAGGCCGGCACGGCCAGGCTGCTTGGAGCCTTGACAATGGATCCTTAGAACACAGGGTATCAGAAATGGATGGATGTTTTTTTCGAAAAAACTAGAGGCATACAGGCAACCATTGTTTTTCTCAAATCTAAGAAATATGTGCATCTATGTGCATCTAAGTATCTTCTCGGGAAGTATTTGGACCCATAGGGAATCAATGGATGGAGTGGAAAAAAAAGGAAAGCACAAAGGAAAACAAAAATGAGAGATGCAAATAACCTTACGGTCAACATTTGGGTACCCACAATATATACACAAGCCATGCCTAAATAGACCCTAAATCTGGTCATATTCGGTAGAAAACCCTCGGCCGCCAATCAGGGCCCAGCCACAAGCCCACAGAAACAGAGACCTGGAGGTTCAAGAAAGTTCCGCCCATCTCGTCCGCATCGTCTGTCAAGAGAATGCAGGTTGGCGCCTCCCAGGCATCTTCCTCAATGGCAAACCACCTCAGGGCCCAAGGTGGTTGAAAATCGGATCCATGTTGCTTGGATTTTGACACGTTTGGCCATTCCTTACAACGTGGGGCCCTCAGTTATAAGTTGGCTTATGAACCCACCCCAATTATATTAACAAACGCCATAAACCCAACAGTTAACCGAATTATCAAATCACCAACTTAGCTGTCAGAAATCAGCAATCCCGTTAAGTCATATTACCATCCAGTAAATTAACATAGACCCTGGCAGATAGGGGTTGGAAGACTCGTTTCCACTATAAATTGGTCATTTTCAGGGTCTATGTTAATTTACCAGAGGGTAAATCCGGGATTTGTTGCTTAAATCAGCTCTCTCTCCATCCCTCTTTCTGGGGCCCAAAAAGAGAAAACCCCACCTGGTGTCGCTCGGAGAGCCATCGCATCGTTGCAGCTGCGGCAGGTCGTTGGTGGCCTCAGCACATTTGTTACACACATTACACATTTGTTGCGGACCTATATGTATGATTATGTATGCATATATATATACTGTGATATACTATGGTATACTATGATATATACTATGATATATACTATGGTATACTATGATATACTATGTATATTGCAAATATAAATACGCGTGTGATCGCGTGTGTATATCTGCTGATTTACATATTTGCATATATGTGTATATGTGTGTATCTGCGTGTACGTATCATTTGTTCCCAACGGTCCTCCGGATCTTTCTTCGGGATACACTGGGATCGAAAAAGTGGAAGTATTTTACGGGAACAATTCACCCACGGGTGTGTCTGAGGATGGGGTAAACCCATCAAATGGCTATTGAATGGGAAAATATAGAAACATGATGATTAACCATATTAAAGATGTTCCCCTCAATTTTCAGACACACACAGCTTAAAACTGATGGAATCTTATGATGAGGTCATGTGATTAGTAGAATCTTATGATGAGGTCATGTAAACAGAGCAGTTTCACATATTCAAACTTGTATCGCCTTGACTAGCTGCCTAGCCCCCGAGATAGCTAAGTGGACTTATAATTTGGTCAACTGTGGTTCATTGGCGATATAAATATAGTTAATGGGATTTATAAACCAACTTATGAATGAGGGTCCTCACCTTGTAGCTATCTGGCAATATGAAACACACATGATCAGACCCATGCCCAGCAAAATCAGCAAAGGCACCAAACATTGACATTGAGTGCCCACTCCCATCCCAATGTTTAATGCCTTTATCCTAATGGATCCCATCTCTTCATATCTTTTCGGATCCCATCCTGGGATTAGCTCCGCCAAGTGGCATGCATCCACACGTGCAGCACATCGGAATCCTGGGACTGCTGGTGAATCACCTCCCCCAATGGCCAGTGCAACTGTTCGATAATCGATATATCCTCAGGAAGATGCAGAACAGCCAGATTCCCATGGTAAATGGATCATATTTGATCATTCTGAAGTTATTTTTTGGGGTTTCAACATGATCTCAACATGATTTCAACGGTGCTACAGTTGCTACCAAGGCACATATCCAGCCTCCACTGCAGCCACCTCCTCTTCGGGCACTGCCGGTGGGGTGGGCGCAGGGATGGGTGCGGCAGCAGGCGCAGTGACAACGTGGCGCACGTTCATCAGGATGCAGTCGCCTGCGGCCCCGATGGTGCCCTGGCTAAGTTGGCTAAGTTGGTTAGAGCAAAACATTTAATTAGATGGGGTCTATGGTAGGTATATCTGTCTATACTTCATAGGGTTTGTAAGCCTTGTGTATGTATGTACGTATGTACGTATGTACACATATGTACATATGTACATATGTACGTCTGTACGTCTGTACGTCTGTACGTGTGTACGTGTGTACGGGGGTTATACTACTCTTGATATTTTCCCCATCTCATGTTGTTTTTTTCTAAATATGTATTATATTTATATATCTATACCATTAGAGTATAGTTGCCCATTGGGGTTCGGCTTTATGTATCCCATGACGTTGGTAAATATCCTGCTTTTCATATTGTTCATGTTGTTTATGTCCATATTGTACATGGGTCTGTCTGAAAATAGGGAACCCCGAAATCGACTAGTGACTAGTTCATCACCACTTTCCCCAATAAAATCAAAGTTTCATGATGTTTTTTCCCGCATCTTCCACGTTCAGTGATTCAGACACATCCCTTTAATGTGCTTGGCTCAATCCCTAAGATATTCCCTAAAATTAGCTTGAACAATCTCTGGATGAACCCAGAAGTCCCTCGGCCCCTCAGGGTTTCGGCCTAGCGGTGCTAAGTCAGCATCCGTCAGGCAGATGCTGAGAGTCACCAGGCTGGAGGTAATGGCGGAAGGGTCGGGCCTGGCGCAATGGAACTGGTGATTCCATTTGATTGTAAATTTTGATATTTAGCTACAATAATTTGGAACTATAGAATCAATATGAATCAATCATAATTTGGTTGATTCTTGTTATATTTTGAAGATCTCTCTACAGTAACTGGCCATTGTTAAAGATTATTGAAGACTTCTCTGACTGGAAATGAGTTAGAATTTAGATATGAAGGGGATATACACCAACCATTGTGACGGAGATACAACGGTCTCATCTCAGCCAAATTTCCATAATGAGTGATACGAATGCCTATGATTAACAGGGTAGCACAATCCATCTGCAATTATCTACCAATTGGCATTTTAAGTAGAAATTCGGGATTGACGCCACACTGTGTGGAAAATATTTGTTTTGAATGGGAAGATAAGATATTGAATAAGATTATCTATAAAGTATAGACTCTAGACATATGTTTATATTTTTTGATTGCTGAGGTACAGACTAGTGCCCGGATAATATGCCGGATTCGAGACGCATTTTGTCAGTGGTCAATTCTCAAAAGTTGGCCTGAAACCCATAAAAGCTGAACAAAAGGTAATGCAAGTTTATACAAGTCAAATGAATTGGATGTTGTACTATTCACCACATGTTTCACCATCTAGTGTTCGAAAAGAGCTGCACAATTCCTAACCAAGCCCCGACATGGCAATTTGCAAATGCTGAAAATCACAAAAATTCCAAACTTCAAAGTCATGGTGTTTGGATGTTTTTTTTGGCCTCCGTTTTCAGCACAGCTTCCCGGGCAAACGAGGGACTTAAAAGTGATACCACTTTTCTTCAGCAAGCCGTTCAGTTCGCGGGCAGTTCCTTTCAAGATGGCGCCACTGGCATGCCAGTCGTGCTCAACGGCAACCGTTCCACTGCTGGCTGTGATGTTCCTGATGACGGCGCTCCAAACCGCCATGGCTAGGTTTAATGCCTAGATAGCAAGTGATGTTTGAGATCTATCTGATTCGATCTGTCTATCTGTATAATTCTGTATGCACATGCAGAATCATGCAGATGTAGTATGGACACGTGGGTTGCAGAAGGGAAGATCTAAATCACCAGTCACCAGTCGGTCTCGCACTGCTTTGGATCCGAGGCTGTGGCTAATGGCAGTATTCCAAAAACCTCTTAAGATAGCAATCTTTGGTAACGTCCAAAACAGTCCAAAACCATCCAAAACCATATCCTTTTGACTTAAAATAACCCCACTTGCCACCTTCCAATTCGAAACCAAGAAAGCCAGCATGTTTCATCATGTTTCCGTGCAGGTGAATCACTTTCACCATCATTTCCACCACATGTTTCCACAACCACCGCCCCAACCGCGCCAAGCGTCAGCGTCAGCACCGCGCTGGACAGCTCCGGTTCCACCGTCACGTCACGGATCACCAGCACCGGCTGCGGCGCGGAAGCGTCGGAGGTGGCCCAGTGGTACAACGACGTGGCGCGCAGGCGCGGTGCCACCAGCGCCATCTCCTAGGGCAGCTGAGGGTTGGAAGGGGCAAATGTGATGAAAGGTGCAAGGATCATCAAGGATCATCAAGGATCAACATGTCGAATAATTTTTGGGGATCAAAATGTTGAGCTGTTTTTGTAAGGGATCAATTTTTCAGGGTTGAAATTGTGGATTGCCAAGTTGGTCCAAATAAAATGAATTATGAAATTCGGAGCAGGTAAGTCATGATCGTCCAAGTGAAGTGAACCGGCAGGTATACAGGTAAGTTGGTGTGCAAGTAGGTTATCTATGTTTGGATGGGTGAAACTAAAGCCATTGTTAACTAGGGGAGCTCATCTTGTGAGCTGTGAGGCCTATGTTCACTGGAATTATGGTGTTGCGGGATTCTTTGGCCTTTTTGATGTGTCTTTGAGACATCTCAATAAATTCTAACAATTAACTTTTGGTTAGGTGTATGCAACGAGAGACCTGATACAAGCCATTGACATTCATATGTTCAATTAATTCATGTAATCTATGTAATCCGAATAATTCAATATAATTCAACATAATTCACATAATTCACTGGTGTGGTATGTGATTCGCTGAACAACATCTACCCAACTCTAATCGCCTGAAGGGTTGTTTTTCCACGTTTTGTTGGACTGTAGATCCAATAATTAGTAAAACTAACAATCAAATTGGTATATATTGGATTATATTGGTATATATTGGTATGTTTTTGTATTAGCACCTATAAATATCCCCAGTAAGATCATCAAATCCTATTTTGGAGGCTTGCTATGCTATCTGGTCCAGGCTCCATTTGGAGAAGCGCTTCAGATTGAGTCAGGCCACCAGCACACCTGGGGAGGATCCCCTAGGACCCGTCATGACTAGCCACGAATGGAAGCTTGCTAAATAGGCTATCATACAGTTACCCGGTTACCCGCCCAAAAAGAACCAATGGGATGAGCAGCTCATGGAACCATTCCTGGAACCCCGAAAAGGCACAAAAATCAGCTAATGCCTTCAGGTGCCACTATAGGTAGCTTTGGGATGAGCAAGCCTGTACAACCAGCCATTTCGGGGATGCTTCCTCACCATCATTTTTGGTGAGGTCCTTGGTTGCTATGGTCGCTATCATCGCAACATCCCCGAAGAAATAAAACCCCAAGACTATCCCAACTAGCGTTATTCCTGCGGGTATCACCTCAATATCATCCCAGAACACACCGCAGTATTGTCCCAAAAATGGCCATTACCCTCTGTTAATTGAACATAGCTATTGAAAATGGCCCGTTTACCGTTTATAGTTGATTTACCTATTAAAGATAGTGATAGTGATTTCCATTGTTATGTTAGTTTACCAAAGGGTATATGCCGTGATCATTTGGGGATCCCACATCATTTCGCCGACCTCAGTGTCACTGTATCCAGCTGTGCTCCGCAGTCCATGCAGCTGCTATAGCTCACTGAGTCCAACGCTGCTTGCAGCGCGCTCGCCCTGCCACGTAATGCAACGATATGAGGCTCCGAGGTGGGAAGAAGCTGTAAATCGCTCCTCAAGGAGAAGGGATTGCAGTGATTCAATGGATTGGTTTGAGGAAGAAGATGCTGGAAATATACTGTTTCTAGCACAAACTATAAGATACTATAAGGGCTTAGAACGGTTTCTGGAAATGTTCCCATCATTGCGGGTGATTGAAGAAGTCGGATAAACTCAGAACGGGAAAATCAAGCGGGAATAGAAAACCAGGTGTACCACCAAAGATTATAGATTGGGGTTCAAGATCACTGAATTAGGGTTCCAACCGCCAAGAGTGGCCGATATTGCCTGATATAATAATGCAGGATATGACACAACGCAGGTATGAATCACCATACCTAAGGGGCTCTCCTCACCAATGGCAGGCCTCGGTTTCCACTCAGAGAAACCCTGGGTGAACTCCCCAATATTTGCAGCTTGAATCCCCAATCTTTGGTTCAACATGTTCAACAAATGGGTGTACGGTACATAGATGTACATAGTAGGTCAAGAGTGGGTACCCCAATAATGATATTGTTACTTTAAGATATACATAGATATACCCCAAAAAATGTGTTTTTTTGGGGCTTAAACGGTGACCCGTCCCCAAAGCCCAAGCCCAGCGTCAGCACGCCGAAGGTGACGAAGCCGGTTTGTGAGGCCAGACTCAGGTCCAGCCACTCGTCCTCGTCATCGTGGAGGATGGAGAGACCTAAAAGCCTCGTTTCGTGGACGTCGCCGAAACGGGGGCGCCGGTAAGATGAGAACTATGGATATGGATAAGATCCAATAAGATAAAGTTGGATAAGGTTAGATGATGTTAGATGTATATATATATATATTGATGCATTAGATTACATTAGACTGGATTGGATTGGAGGCAATTAGACTACGTTTGAACGGATTAGAGTAATGTCAACCCCGGATCAATAAACCATGGCCTACCAACTAGGGGGGTACTCCTCCAGTAGTCATTTCATCTAGTACTTAAATGGTACCCTCCCAATTAAACAGCCGTTTGAGCTTTATTCATTCAGGGTTGACATGATGTTTCTGGCAGCGCCTTCAGCCATCCCATTGAAGCCCATGGAGATTTACGCTCTGGTCAACATACAAAAAGATCAAAAAGCTATTGAAGCCATGGCTGAAATAGTTGATTTACCGAACTTAAACCTGGTGATTTTCCATAGTTATGTTTGTTTACCATGAGATGTATGATTTTCCCAATCTCAAGCATCATTGGATTTCGTGCACGTCCTTGGACGGGGTTGCTATGAATTTTCCAGCTAATCATCCGAGATCACGTGTGAAATCCAAATGAATTTCTGGATACGAAAACAAAGACTCGTGGTTGGTTCAAGCTTTGTTTGCACTTTATCATCCGACATATTTCAGGTTTATAGACTGTAGACCCCCAAATGGTAAAGTCGGGTATGTTTCCAGTTTTGGTGGTCTACCACATGAACCATCATACCTTTGATGTTCATCCCCCGACCTATATGAAAGCATAATAACTACTGGTTCATCCTCGTGAAAGTTGTGTGTGTGTGGCAAATTTTGGTAAAACCCCATTGATGTTGGCTAAATCCAAATGTGTACAGCTATGTACAGCTTAAATCTCCATGTTCGCACCATTTTCGTTGGTATCTGTTGGTATCTATCCATAGTTTTCTTCGTTTTTGGTCAAGTCCCCCAGCGATTCCGCGATTCCGCGCCCTACGGATCCCTACGCGTCGGACTACCGAGGCACTGCACGGTGCCCCCCTGTGGCGCAACCTGCTGCAGCGGCGTTGTTGCAGAGCAATCCAAGGCACTGCCGCCGAAAAAAAGCAGCGCTTCCAGGGGGAGAAGCCATTGCCACATCCTGTCAGCCAGGAAAATGGGGCATTTTCCCTGGTGTTTAGTGATGGATTTGCGGAACCATTCCAGGAACCCATAGGAACCATGATGAAAAATGAACGACTTCGTGGGTTACAAAATTCCCCGAGTCGTGGGTGTCCCATCAAGGATGGCTGAAACATATTCCAACAGATGTATATGGAGGTTTCCTGAAATAGGGGTACCCCCAGTCATCATCCATTTATAGTAGGATTTTCCATGAAATAAACCATCCATAAATGGGAGTACCCCCATTTATGGAAACCTCCATATATAATCGTTTGTAAGCATGATTAAAATCTCTTACTCAATGTGAGGTGCGAGGGATCTTGGGTCATTGTCCCACAGATCGGGAAGAGTTTGAAGCTCCGAAAGTTGAAATATGATAAAAAATAGCCAAACATAATCAAAACATATCGAAAATAGAGGTTAAAAAACTTGAGCATACTTGGGCCATTTGTTTTCAACAGCTCAAAACCCCTTCAAGAACTGGTGAAGAGGTCTCATGTTTAGGCTGTGATGCCCGAGTTTCGGGGGGATCACCATACAAAACCTTTGCATTTGATGGGGCCTCCCAGCATTCCACCTGGTACTCAACCAGCTCATCATTTCAGTTTCATTCCGCTCTGCGAGCCAGGATTCAGCGCGAGCAGCAAACCATGGGGCGGTGTCGCACGCTGTCCCCTATGCTAATTGATCGCGATGTTAAGATGGTTTAGGAGATCAGCTTCATTCATGTTTCCTATTGAAATGGCAATTTGTGGTCATTCCCGAAGACAAACCCATACTTTTTGAACTCTGTCGATTGAGTATGTGAGCATAGGGCTCATCTGCTGACATGTCCTCGGTCCTCAACGTTACGTGCATAGTCGGATTCGGACCAGTTTAGTTGGTTATGCCGTGCACGCCGTGGTTTGTCTTGGTCCAGTCCGTTGGCAATATTCTTATGAAGCTTGAGCCACCGGAAGTCCGAGTTTGGTTTTTATGCCCCCTGTGGAGTCTTGAAACCTGCATGACTCATCCACTCATATGGACATGGATCAGAATTGGATACACATGATACTTCAATGGGAGAACCTACGGGAGAGTAGTGCTTTTTCTTTTCCATTAAACCAATTTTGGGAACGAGAGTGGAAGAGTTTCGTTTCGATTAAGAAACGGCCATGGATTTTTCTGAGCCACTGACTTACATGATTTTATGAATCCAAAACTGTTTGAAACTAGTATCCCCCAAAAAATATGAGCAACTAAACTTAACATCCCAATCAGGAGGATTTTGTCCGTTTTTTGGCACGTTGAGCAGGGATACAGGGGGTCGGGATCGAAATGGAGTATTCACTGACAGCAAGTTTGGCCAAATTGATATGAATACATGTGGATACAGAGTTGTATAGTGATTTGTGTGTATATGCAACTAGCATCTACATATCCAAACCACAAGAGGAACAGTGGCTCAAAACTCAAAGTGTCAAGCGCACTCGGAGTGATACAATGTTTATGAATTTCTATGTGTGCATCTATTTATGCGTTGCCTGATCTGTTTATTTGTCACCCTCTATCGGGTGGAGCTACATTTGTTCGCACCTTAGGCAAAGAAACTCCCAGATCCCAAGCAGCCTCTTCAGCTACACTTGTGGCACGCAAGCCACATAGATAGAATTGTATGCATACATGTATGTATGTGTGTGTGTGTGCCACATGTAGGCATACACGTGCATAAAATAGACACATGGAAATATTTCGGAATACATAGAAATACGATGTCCTCGAACAACCTTCCTTCTATTAATTCTTATATGCTGTCTAACCGGAGGCCAGTGAAAGACCTACGCCCTGCCGCGCCCTCAAAATCCTGGAGAGTTCAGGTTTGAGGTCGGGCGTGTCAACGTCTGATGCCCCTTTTATGTGGGCTCAGCTGTTCACCAATACACCAATACACCAAAACAGATCCACATTAGATGCGGAGAAAGTGAAACAAATGTGCTCATGGCTTCTTAGAAGTGTCATATATATATATATACATATATACATATCCGGACATATGACTACAATCGTTACCGTAAATCAGAAAGTGAAATAGGCAACTGCTATACTATCATAGTATCATATTATCAGATTTGTTGGGATAATCCCCCCGACTGACCAGATCAAACGCCCATCATATTGTGGTGACCTCTTCGCGTACGCGTTCAGTCGGCCTGCAGCTGCGTCCAGCTGAACCGAGGTTGGAACCTCAGCGATACATTCGATCCCCAACGTTGGAAACCTGGAAGATAGAAGGGAAACTATATCGAACTACCATCCTGGAAGTGGAAAATTCAGAACTGATCAGAAAAGGGAATTCCTCATCGGATTGTCGTACTCACTTCAGCGATCTGACATTCAGAAAACTGGGGATTTAACATGATTTAACCAGCAAAATGCCGTCGTTGGCTGCATGTTTCCCTGGGATGTCAACCGCGGGGCCGCACACTAATCCCATCCCCCAATCTGAAGTACCCCTGGGCCTCACAATGAACAAATATACTACGTTTAGGGTTCCTGAATGATCTTGACCCATGAAATGGTTCCCCTATGTTCCCAACATAATTTACCCAACTTCTCGGGGCCATTTCGGGCTTCACCCATCTTCATGTCACCTTTTGATTTCGCGCTTCTTGGCTCTAAGGCTGGAGTCAAAGACACCTACCACTAAGGGACCCGCCTGTGTGGCGGGCCGCATCACATGAGCAGCGGCGCTATCTCCCAACCACACCCTGAAATTTCGACATGGAACCTGGAAAACTAAGGCCCCAAAGATGATTTTCATTGTTGGATAGGCCATCTTCGGTTTCCATGCCAAAATCTCAGAGCTGTGCGGATAATAACACAAGTCTTTAAACACGCTATTTATGACTCACTCATGCATAATGGCGTGCAATGATGTAAATGATACTAAATGATAATCCTTCACCATGTTAAAGTTGATTCATCATGATTCTGCTCAAATGAAATTTGCCTCCTTCAAGGGAGGTCTCAGGGTTCTTTCCACCGCAGGCCGCAGATTTTGCAGCAGCACCAACTTGGACACCGGCTCCGCAACGGGCTCCGGCACGGGCTCCGGCAGGGGCTCACCGCCCTGGAAGACCGGCATGGCCGGGGACGTCGCAGACGTCGCAGACGTCGACGTTGGCAGCGCAGGGCGCCGGGGGGGGAGCAGCTGCACCAGATATCGACCGCTGTCGCGGTTGAAGGCAATGACCTCCCCCAGACTGCCTTCCTGAAATCCGGAGATGGCAAGAGAAAATCGTATGGTGCCCAACAATTGACGATTACAGTAAATGGAATTTCTATAGTCTCAAAAGAATATGAGAGCAAGAAAGCTAAACTTCAGTACAGGAATGGATTAAAGAAAAAATTAAAGTAGGAAATATTGAAGTTTCAGCAAAATTCAGCACCCCCTCCCCAAAAAAAAACATGCAAAAGTTCATGACAGCTTCCCAGTTTTCCCATTTTTAGGGGAATTCATGGCTCTCACCCAAAAAAATAACTCAGTTTCCCCTACCCTCCGGTACTTTGACATAGCTTTGGCAAATGGCCCATTTATAGATGATGTCCCGCTCAAGGACTGTTCTAGGTAGGTGGTTTTGGATTTTCTATTTAAGTACTGCTTTCTCACTGTAGCTCTGTCAAATGATCAAAAGGTCATCCCTTTTTCGGCATCCGATTGTTTCATATTGTTTCCAGGGGTCCAGATGCCGTGCTCGTTGCAGATTCGAAAGCCGAACCCAACTCCCGGCGCGTGGTTTCCAGCTGTCGCGCTGTTTGCGCAGCCGCAGATTTTGTGCATACCAGTCGTCTTCGTCGTCGCTGTCCTGGGAGAGAAAGATATGGCTTTTCGGATCCATGGGAACTAAACTTGTCAACCTGAAACCGATGAACTCCATGGTATACTTATCGCAACTTTGGCATCATAATATTTCAATCAAGATTCAAGTATGAAGATATTGGCTAATCTGATCTTATCAATAATATTTAATCATAAACGTGTTTTGTAAATAATGGCCATCACATCTCAAATCATCTATAGGGTCACTTGGATCACGGCGATCACGCCCTCCCCTTTTTTGGAGGATGTGGCGTGGTGGCGTGGCGTCGGTCAGAACTTGGCACCAAGACTCCTCTTTCCAGCCTAAGCAGGAACGCATGGACCAGCGATCCTCCACTTCAAAGACTTCCCGGACCTTCTGAAGCCCTGCAGCTCCCTCAGCTGCAGCGCCTGCCACTAAGAGAAGGGAAGAAAAACACATGATGTCTTGGGGTGCTGACACTAATCCCTCTTCCCTATTCTGACTACTAAACGTACCCCAAATATAAAGAACTAGGGTTGATTTCCAATTTTCGGAAATGTCAAATTGGCCAATTTGATTTTTAATTAATATCTTTTAGAAAACAATTTAAAAATGAAGGTCCCATTTGAGGGTTGCACCCCTAGTAATAAAAACCAATCAAGACCGGGGTGTTGTTCATTAGTGTCCGTCCTTTAAAATCAAACATTTCAGTGTTTCTGAATTAAGTTGTTTAACTTAATAGTAGGGGAACCATCTAAATTCCAATTTGTTGGCAATATGTTGAAAAGGGATGTTTCCGATTTTGAAATCGAAAACTTTATGTTTTTCCCCACCTGCCAGGTGAGGGTCTCTGTCTCTAGATTTTCTCCTCCGGCAGCCTCGGATTGCCAGAAAGAATGTCAGAGTATATGCCAGAAAGAATGTCGGATAGAATGCACTTCCAGATGATATGTCAGAAACTATGTCAGAATATGTCAGGATAGTGTGTCAGAGTGGGGATCACTCGAAGAAAGTAAGTAATTGTATATAATTGTATGTAATTGTATTAAGGTTTTCAATTTAATTTTTAGTTTGAGCACGCGTTGGCGGAATTTTCACCGCAGCCACTCAGCCACTCTGGTAGAGTGACTGGACCAGCCACTCAGCCACTCTCTCAAAAGTAGAGTGACTGAGTGGCTGGTGCAGCCACTCTGCCGGACTATTTCAAGAATCCGTATACGGAATTCAACAACTAAAAATTACTATTAACAATAATGGTGGGTCATGTTTGATCCATACTGCGGATGGTAGAAATCCTGTTGATAGGTGCTTTATCCCAGAATTTTGTTTGGGTTTTAACCATCCTTTTGGTGGTGCAGGATTTCGCAACCATCCACCGTATCACCTTTTTTTGTCCACCCTTTCTGCGATTTCCAATAATGTCCTTTTGGTAAAAATAGAGGGGCCGGTTTGTTATACCATCTATCATCATGGAAACCTGTTGTTTTACAAGGGGTTCTTCAAACCCCTCTTTTTTCATCAACCAACCAATGGGAAAGCCGGACATCTGCCAGGCGATTTCCGGTCGAAAAATCGCACCTTTCACTTTCTCCGCCGCCACGGTGAAGTCCAAATCGTCCACGATCTGCTTCAAATTCTGTGCTGCTTCGATCCCGCGGGCGGCCACCTCTGGAGAATCCCCAGGGATCCCGGAGGTGGATGTCCCTGTCCCAGCCATGATGACAGATACTTGGAAGCTCACCTTTGGGGAGGTTGTTCCGTGCTGTATCCAGGAGGAAAGAAAGAAAACGCGGCTGCTTGGGGTGTTTAATGATTTTAATGTCAAAGTGAAGGCATTAAAGTGGATTCAAACCCATTCGCCCATCTGTTTTTTTCCTGCAAGTGTCCCATTGCCGGTAAAAATCAAATTGTTCATGCGTTCCTCACCCTTATAGCATTCTTCAAATAGATAGGAAAGTCATTTGCAACTATTGCTAAAATCTCTATGTTTGGATCTTTCTGGAGGTTGCGGCAAAGTGATGCCCTAGTTATAACTTGGTTTCAAACCTAATCTAATGTGGGTAAAACTCTTAATGATAAACCATCCCCGAAATCACCATAAATAGGTGGTATACCCGAATGAGTGGTTTATGATTATTTTACCAACATTACCATCGACCCCACATACATTGGCTCTAAACCGACCTGGCCGCCGCCTGCCCGCGCCTTGCTACACACAGCTTGTCCTTCGATCTGTAGCCGTGCAGCCACGCTGGCAAAGTCTGGGTGCTGAGAGGCGAAATTGCCTGGCAATTTTGGCGATGTTCGGGATGCCCGTGATTCCGAGAACCGTAGATTCATAATTCATATAGATTCACCAAATGCTGGATTGACTGGGAAAATACCCAGTCAATCCGACTCAGCACTTCATAAAATTTCTGGATCTTCGGGATCGTGAGATCTCAGAAATGTATGGAATGGATTACTTGCTTGTGCTATACGTAGGGAATTTTCGGGAATGATCCACTGGCTAAGTATATCAATAATTTCAATAATAAATAATCCAACCCCCAGCAACCCATCCAGCAACCCTACGTAAAACGCACCAGTAAGTCAAAGTATGTCTCACTATACCATTGAAATAGTTGACTTTTCCCATTAAAAATTGTGATTTTCCCATTAAAAATTGTGATTTTCCCACTAAAATTTGGATTTTCCCGTTAAAAATGGTGATTTTCCCATTAAAAATGGTGATTTTCCCTACGTAAAACGCACCAGTAAGATTCAGACTCTCCGACTCTGGCCTGCTGCTTCCTTCGCTTGCACCGAAGCATTGTGGCACGCCGACCTCACAGCCGGCACCTGGCGTCGATTTGGACCTGTCGATGGCACTGAAAAACTTTTTACAACAGGAAAAACATAGAAAACAGCATAACAAACATAGAAAAACATAGATCACCAAGAATGTTGGATGTTCAATCATGTTCAATAGATTTCAATAGTGTCTTCTCCCCCTTGCCTCATCCCAGCCCGGCCTGTGATGCGATGACCACCTGACTGATTCCTTGCACCATCGCCATGCGTCGTGCGAAGGAGCCAATGCGTGGCAAGCCCAGAAAACTGACCACCAGCCCCGCTGAGAAAAGACCCATCGACAGACACAGACCCCGGGTGGTCGCTTGGAGCGCATCACCCGTGGGGCCACAGCTGAAGCCAGGGCAACTGGTCATGGGACGATTTAGGCCCAGTTGCCTTAGTTGTTACAATCCAGAAATCAAACATTGCAATTGAAAATCCCCCATTTTAGATGATTTTACCATTAAAACCTCCATTCATTGGGGATTTTCCACTGCCACGTTTGATTACCAGAGGGTGTATGTTCTTCTCATCTGCCAGAGTTTTTTTTTACTTGGCGGAAAGAAAAGGCATCGAAAATCCAATCAGACAGATTCGAACATGCTCCCAGGTGCTGGGCCCAAAACAGGCTCTCCGCCATGTCTCCGAAGCCGCCGCCGCTGGCGCATGCCGCCGCGAAGGCGAAGGCGGCGAAGGCCTCGTCGGGACTCATCGGGACCTCGTCGCTGGCGTCGCCTTCCTGGAGCTCCTGGGGCGAAGGGATTCGACAGTTGAAATGATGCATATTTATATGTATATATATATATACCGTTAAAATGAAAGTTAGAATGCCTCCGCGAATTCCAAATATTCCTCCCCCTCAGTTAGAATGCGGCACGCGCACGGCAAAAAATCATTCAGTTAGAATGCCTCCCCACCCGGGTTTTAAGTTTTTTGTTGTTTTCGGAAAACTCTTTGCACAAATCCCTCACTTAGAATGCCTACACACTATGAATATCATCAGATGTTAGAATGCACTTAGAATGCTTCCCCCTTGAAATTGCTTTCTACCAGCATTTCAGCAATTAGAACGCTTCCCACTTGAAATTGCTTTGCCAGCATTTCAGCAGTTAGAATGTTTCCCCTGAAATGGCTTCCTACCAGCTATATATATATACATACAAGGATATACCATATATAGTCCTATATCTCATAGACATTGGCCGTTCTGCGCGAGTCCTGATCGTAGTCCCGTCGTTTCTGCGGGTTGGACAGCACAGCCCAGGCTTGCGCGACGCGTTGGAAGGCCCGGGTAGCTTCGGGGTGCGGATTCTTGTCCGGGTGCACCAGCACCTGGGCGGATGGAAAAGGTGGAGTTGATGTGCAAAAATCCTCATGGAGCCAACAAAGATGGTGGATTTCTGTGGGATTTGCCAAGGTAAATTATGGTAAATTGATGTAAATTAGTACTTGGCATCAGATTTACCGAAAGTGAGGATTTGCCATGGGATTTACCAAGTAGAACCAGGGAACCAGGCTTGAACCAGGAGACAAAACGTGATCAAACTGGGTGATGGGACAACCTAACCGATGATTAGTGAACGCCAAGCGTAGGATATCATAGGATGATCAATATGATTATGAGTCTGATGATGCAATGAAATTGGTGTGATGATCCTTGTTTACAAATTAGTTGCTACTAATAGTTTACTATTGATAGTTTTACCATATTAGTTTTGCTGTTTTACTTTTATAGTTCTACTATAGTCTATAGTTAAACCAGCTTTTTTTATATGTAATATAATAATATATATATATATATTGGGACTTCAACAAACTCTTACTATGAGTAATATACCAACTGTACTATCTATCGCGCCGCTGCGAAAACCCATGTCAACCAATGCCAGGAATTTAAGGAACGCGTTAGGGTGCATCCAAATTGGCTTGCTAATGGATTTAAAAAAAACGTGCAAATAGCAGGGTGAATCTGAATGGATATTTGTGTTCACTTGGTTCACTAAGTAGTTGACTAATGGGTAAACCTAATGAACTAGTGGTTTATCATGGTTTATCCATATTCAACCTTGACAACCTTAGCCTGCTTAGGAAGTGGCATTTTTCACCACAGAAAATACCACAGTTATATCTGGAATATCCCCAGTCGGACTGGCGATTGGAAACTCTCAGGAGTACCATCCAGGAATACACTTGATGATAGTGACAAGTTTCATCCCAGCAACTACCTTCAATATGTTTCCATATGCTTCACAAAGTACAGTGAAAAAATATCCCAAAGTGGTGAAAAAACTCCCATCCCCCTGATATTTTTCACACCCCCTAAACGAAACCATGGTTTTTCATAGGAAATGTCCACATGTTTGGGGACCAGGGAGGTGTTTCACCATTTGGGGGATGGGAAAGTTCATCTGGGATATGATCTCTGAAAGGATTTTTGGGGTCAAAACTTCCTCTGTAATTTGAGTCAAAAACCTGAAAAAACCAGGTAAACACTGTAAACACCAGGAGTTCCTGTTTTTCACAGTTCCCTGGCAGACCCAACGACAAACAGCTTCAATTTATCATGACTTAGATGATGAAAAAACATAGGGATGTGACTAAAATCTATCTGAGTCCTGGAGCTTGCCGGAGACCGTCCCATCGAATCCATCAACCAACCATGACTATTTCGGGGTCATCGTAGACGCCATTCAAATGTGAGGTTTTGCCAAGAATAAACCTCTGGGGATGGTTAAAATGGCGAGTTTAAGCCTCAGACTTGCGAAAAAAAATTGCCATCAGAGAGTATTCCCACCATTGTCACAAAAAGAAAGAAAAACGTCGGTGAAATATCCCTAAACATTATATTGCCATCATATCACCATTCATAACTGACTAAAGGGAGATCGCCATGGTCTTCCCACTTTACTGGCTTTAAACCATCCCAATACCCTCCAGTAAACCCCCATAGCTATGGAAAACGACCTATTTATGGATGATTTACCTATTAAAAGTGCTGGTTTTCCACAGCAAACTGTTGGTGTCTGTTAGTTTACCAAAGGGTAACCAAGCATTGAGAGGTCCAAGGCACCGATGCCTTGAGGTAAGACCGCCTCAGCTCCGCCACAGTGGCATCGCGCGAGGCGTCCATCGCTGCGTAGTGGTCCTTGGCACCGAGGATCGCTAGCACCGCCAGCGCCGCCTCCTGCGACAGCGGCGGAGCCACGGCGCCCGTCATGCTGCGCACGGCGCGGCACCCGTTGCGGGTGCGACTTATTGGAGGCTTGAGCCAGACATCTCAGCGGAATGGCTAAATGGAACTCAAACCTAGTGAAAAAGAGGAAAATCCACGAGAGAGAGAGAGAGAGAGCGAGCGACAGATATACATATATATATATACAATTATCTGTTTATTTGTCTATCTATTCATTTAGTTACTTATTTATTTAATTATGCATTTATCTATTTATTCATTTATTTATTCATTCATTTATTTATTTCATTCTATACATATATATAATATATGTTTATTTATGTATTTATTTATTTATTTGTTTATTTCATTCTATATTTATTTATATATGTATGCATTTATACATATTATATTATGTGTATATATATAATGAATATGCATACACAATGAAAGAGAGAGAGAGAGAGAGTTTTGATCATCAACCAAGTTGCGTTCTTCTTGAAACTGCGACAATCTGGGTTTCAACCACTTGGAGTTTGATACTCAGAAGCTGCGCATGCATCTGGAGTTGGGGTTGGAATCTCCTGGGATATCTTGGAATCATTTCTGACAGCGGCCAGGCCGTCATGTTTCTGCGGGAGCTTGGTTTGCTTACATTAGATCCACGAGGGCGAAATCTATGTTCTATGGGACTGCTCCCTCTCGAAGTAAACCTGATTAGATTATATTAGATCTGAGTTTGGACTTACCATTCTCATTCTCATACCCAGTGACTTCACATGCGCAAGTTGCTGTGTTTGAAGCTGAACCTCCTCATCCTCATCCCAGGGGATGGCATGGGCACCCAACATGAACTCCAATGTTGCTTCCCAAGAGCTTAGATACCGCTTGAAATTGCTTGAAATATATTCTAAATATTGTATGATATGAAAACTTGTTGCTTGGAACTTGTTTCGTCTTCATTTCACCATGCTTGGAGGTCATGACGAATCGAGCGTTTTTGACTGGCGTTGGTAAAGGGGTCACACATCTTCCCCACTTACTTCACAAAGCCATCAAGTTTATCAAATTGTCCCCCTAATGAGATGTAATGAGTAATGCAGAATTTGTCTAACCCTATAGTCAATGGATTGGTTTGTTCGGGAAAATCTTCACCGGAAACCATTGATTGTCCCATTAAAATATGGGTTTTCCGCTCTCATTTTTCCCTTAAACCCTTAAACCAATCCTTTGATATGGGCTTACCGACTCGCCATGCTTCAACCTATGTGTTTCCCTTCAACTCGTCCGCAACCTTCGACGCCCGCGATGTCACATTGGGTCACCAAACCGCCCCGCCAAAGGAGCACAGGCCCTTGCGACCTCGGTGAGCTTCCCCACTGTAACTCAGTAAATATATCACTTTGTCGTGTGTGTGTATGTATATATGAATATATGTATATATGTATATATGTATATATGTATATATGTATATATGTATATATGTACATATGTATATGCACACACATATATATATATATATAATTCAATAATACTATATTAATATATGTATATTATACATCCCCACACTACCCCAAGGACGCTGTGATCACTGCTCCTGCGCGTGTACGTGTCCCCGAGATGTGCCATGTAAAATACACGGAACATGTGCAGTGTTTTTTATGACTGGACAATAGAAAATCAGCCCAAGTTCCCAAGTTCGTTCGTTCCGATGTTTGCCCAACTTCAGGTGAAAAATATTGATTTTGCCATGGATGACCTGAGCTTCTAGCTGGTCCCCTTCGGCAGATGCTTGAGGCAAACCTGGCACTTTCACCAATGACCCAATGACCTCACCACAAGCCAGAAACCAGTCCAGCAGTCCAGACTCAACAATTTGATGGTCAAGTTATGATCTAATTTAGACATAACATCTCTATTGTTGAGGATTGATTGTCCTCAACTTAACCATGATTGTGGCGCCACAAGTTGCAAATATGTGCGATACATCCCAAAGACAATTTAAGGCCATCAAGTTGACGGTCTCCCCAACACCAAACATCATGTAGCTGTGCGGATGTGAATGGCCCGCCACCCCATAATTGCAAATACAGCGAAATATAGCGAAATCAACTTCTTGAGTTGTCCATCGTTGCCCTCAACAACATGGATAGTTGATTTGATTTGAGCCTGAGCTGAGTTGATTTGATTTGATCTATCTATCTGATCTAATCAAATCAAATCTATATAGTCAAATCAAATTACCATCTGGTTATTTAACATAGCTATGGAAAATCACCATTTTTAATGGTAATTTTCCATAGCTATGTTAGTTTACCAGAGGGTAAATCTACAGTATATATATATATCCTATTCTGTTCCATCTATCCTATCCTATCTACCCGGCCATGTTTACATCCAGCCCATCGATCATTCCATATCATTCCACCTCCCAGAGGCCCTTGGCATTCTGCGTCACGCCATCAGGCCTCACCATGGCGGTTATCCCCAAAAGAGGACGGTTGCTGAAAAAAATGTTTAACAATCCACCCCCCAAAAAAAAAGGTAAACTTCTCAGGTTCCTGAAGTGATCCGATAAATTATCACTCAAAATTAACTTCATTTTTCTATATAATTCATAACTGATTATTTAGGCTGGATCTCAAAATTGCTGAAGCATTGGAAAACTATTCAGGGTTCCGGACCCGGATCCAAATTTATTGGATCCGGCCCAACTCCACTTCTGAGCGAAAGTTCAGTCATCCTTCGGTCTCTGCCATCTTAAATCAATAGCTAGATACTGATCTTACAGGGAAATTCAGATGAGATTTGATTTCCATCAGTATTGATTTCCATTTCAGATGGCAATTTCAGATGGAAATAGTGTGTATGGGACTTAATTTCCATGTGAAATGGCCATCTCCCAGTGACTCAGCGGTGGGGACCTTCGATGACCCATGGCCCTATGGCATCCTATGGCCCCATGGATTCAGGTGTCACCGGTATCAGGTGATTCGCAGATCATGGCTAGGTGTTGTGGTTAGGTGTTCAAATTGTTCAAGGGAACATTTACAGGAAACCAGAAACCATGTTTATTTCCATGTTGTTCCCATCAAATATAAGGCATTCCCGCAGGTGTTCCTTTGAACCAATTCTGGTATTCTTCAATCTTCCTTCATGCCTCCCACGATTTACCAAGAGTAGAATGAAACAACAAGGGGTCCCCAAGAACAGTGATGAATTCTAGGTCCATTATGCGCGGTAGCCCCAGACAACTCAACGTCAATACTCATCGTGGGTTGGAAGCTGCATGACCAAAAAAAACACGCCATGGTTTCCACGCCATTGTTTCCCTTGAATCAACAGCTACCCCACATCTCCCAAAGATGAACAGCACTGAAACATACTAGCTATCCATCCATATCCATCCCACGGTTACCCTCTGGTAATTTAACGGTTTGCTATGGAAAATCACCATTTTCAATGGTAAAATCCACTATAAATGGCCATTTTCAATAGCTATTTTGACATAACCAGAGGGTAACCCAGTTCTCTCATCTCCTGGCCCTGAGATCGGAACGGTCCCGTTTCGCTCTGCGGTTCCAAGGGACCGCTGGGACCGCTGGGACCGCTGGGACCGCTGGGACCGCTGGCGCGAGCGGCCTCCCAAGGCAAAGAACATGGCTCGTGGTTTCCACCCATGGCAAAGAAATAGTTTTGAATACACTCACACATATATCACTATCTATCTATCTATCTATCTATCTATCTATCTTTCTATCTATATATATATGTATATATTAACATTCATCATGTAACATGTTTCACATCATGCATCATATATATATACATATATATATAGCAATTATCATGTAACATGTTTCACGTTATGTATCATATAAGATCACATAAATGTATACAACATATATCATAATATATCATATATATATATGAGATAGAGTTATGACATGGAGTAGTCCAAAGCTACCAACTGGAACGGATCCCCGGGGTCCTCCAGGGCGTCTTTGGATTCCACGGGAGCCACCTCAGGAGCTCCCCATTTTGAGATTGGGATGTCATGTTTTAACCAACGAACGAGTTAATGGTGGTTTTGTTATAGTTTATAAACCAACATTCACATCACTAAAAGGGCCCCATCCTGTAGTGTCTCATAGTGTCTCCCAGGTCTTTCGGGACAATACCACCCCGCTTTCAGGATGATACCTTCGCGCCGGATCCTGTGCGACCCTCTGGGTTTCCCAGGCCCGTTTGCGCTTGGGCTTTCGCATGACCGGGAAGCTGGAGAGTTGAGGTGAGTTTTTGGGGTATATGCCCTATTTATCCCTATTTCATGGCAAGTTCCGTGGGGAAAATAATGTCACCCATACAGTAGGATTTGGGCGTACCCTATTTTCAGGTAAAATTAAGAATATCAATTCTTTGTGTGACTGTCAATCTTATAGGGATGAAGGGGATGATGAGGAGGCTCAGGATGAAATTAGGACGATGATGATTACTACTGTGATGAAGGTGGCAGTGTCAGTAGTACCCTCTGGTAAACTAACATAACTATGGAAAATCACCATTTTTATTGGGAAAATCCACTATAAATGGTCATTTTCAATAGCTATTTTGACATAACCAGAGGGTAACATGCTGTTGCTTTTCGCTGCAAGCCGGAGCTGCTGGCGAAAAGCATGGTTTTCCAAGAGCTTTGGAGGGACAATTCCCATCAATTCCCCCCCTGGAAATTCCAATCTTTGGTGGCTTACCCTCCAGTAAATTAACATAGACCCTGGCAGATAGGGGTTGGAAGATTAGTTTCCATTAAAACTAGGCTATTTTCAGGGTCTATGTTAATTTACCAGAGGGTAAATCAGATCTGAGCCATTTTGGGGATGATTCCCCACAATCCTAACCATCATAACCATCATAACCATATTACCCTCAAATCTTTGGTCACTTGGGTCATCCCGGACAGATCTCCGTTGCCAGCCTGTAATCCCAGCATGGGTAGCCATAGACCCATTCAGAAAATCGATTACAATACTTATCAATAGAGTTATCACTAGGGTTATATATATATATTATATCTATCACTAGTTCATCCTATTATTTTTAGAAGTTCTCCATTTGCCAGGTTTGAGTCCGGGTCCAAACCCGGTCGCCTCCGCATTTTTTGCGGAGGAATCATCGTGTTTTCGGATTGGCTGCGGCAGCTTTTGCTGGGAACCTCCTAAACCCTCCGTGGCTGGACAGTTTGACGGTCATCAATTCACACTGCAGAAACAAAATCCTTTTGGAAAATCGGTTTTTCCCTACACTTTTCCCATGCGAAATGGCCAAGAGGCCCAATTTCCGGACTGCTCAATGCCATTCTTAAATTTCCAGGCTAGAGCTCGAGGTGACCGGGCCTCACCCAGCATTTATGTCTTAAGGGGGGATGTGATTACCTTATTTCATGACCAAAAAATGAAGGCGTGAACTGGCCAAAGGATGATTGTCCTCCTACACAGTGAGGGGCATCATCCCGGCTCATTTTGGAGATGGGGACATACAGTCCCAGCACGCTAGGTACTGTGAGTCAGGCCCAATTTGTAACTAAATCATATATTCATTGTGAACAATGTCTAATGACCACAATTACTACCTATCCATAATTTCTTGTGAATTATCCAGTCTATTGTTAACCATCAACATTTCCACTTCAGAAATCCTAGTCTCATCCCTCATTTAATCTTTAGGGGTACCCCAAATCATCCAAGTCATGAACGACCATTTTAGTATAGGTTGACCCATGGTGACTTGGGGTACCACCATTTTAGGAAACCCCGTATTATAGTATATATATATATATGCTTGTACACATAATATATATATATATCCCCATATATCATCAACCATATCTTCTTTGCTCGCCCAGCTTTCTACAGCCTACCACCTGACACCACTCCGTCATGCGTGGCGTTACACTCAGCTTCGGCTGCGGCTGTGCTTTGCAGCACCTTAGGTATGCAGGGACACCCTGGCCTAGGGAAAGAAGCCCCTAAAATCATAAGTGTTTCCATAAATGGGGAATTGGGAAATCCCCAAAATGGATGGTTTATAAATTTACAACAGAAAATAAAAAAATAAAAACATGATTTGGGGGTATAGCGTAGGAGACCTCCGCATTTCCAAAATGCAAGTATGTAATATAGATCGATTCATATATTCGTTTGTCTATTTCATGGTGGCCCTTCCAAGCTATCTATATCAAACTTTCTGTACTCCCCCCCCCACCCCCCGAACATACATAGATCCCGCCACATAGGGGGTTTGGAAGACTACTTTCCTCTTGGCATGGGCGATCATTTGAGCCGTTGGGGTGATTGGAAAGATGGTTACAGTTCCCAGGCCTTTAAAATGCCAATATGCTGCGGCACCTCCCCTTTCGGGTGCGTGATTTTTGTTGGCCGCTGGGGCCTGGGGGTCTCCTGTGAAACCATCGAAATGCTGATGGTTGCGAAATCCTGCATCACCACAAGGATGGTTGAAACCCCAAAAAAACATGGGATAAACCACCTACTACCCTCTGCTAAACTAACAGTTTGCTATTGAAAATGGCCCATAGAAATAGTTGATTTACCCAGCTATAAAATGGTGATTTTCCAGTTCGCAAACTGTAAATTACCAGAGGGTAACTGCAGGATTTCGCAACCATCCACAGTATCATACTATCGTGGGGTCAACCTCTGGAGATCCACCACCTTCTCAGATCCCCCCATTTTGACCGGTCAAATGCCAGGAACCAGTGGAACCAATGGTCACAGGAGACATTTATTTGAAGCATTTTACGGTTAAGGCCAAGATAGGCCAAGATAGGCCAAGTAGAATCCCATTCAGCTCCCTGTTGAATCTCGGTGTTTCGCTTCGGCGTCTGCGTCAAGCAACTATGTTTCGCGGCAAAAGTGAGAAACTTCTTTCGACAGGCCATCGACCCCGTTGAGAGGAATCCTGGTGAACTGCCTGAAACAACGGAGGAACTTGGCAAAATTGGACCCTTCGGTGAGGTGCTCAGATTCTCTCGGTGAGGCCTCCCTGGATCTCCTTGGAAAACAGGGCCAACGGACCCACTTGGGCACGCCTCAAATGCACATCCCATGGCTCAACTACTGCGGTGGGTTGGCCCTGAACTAGCACCATTGCGAAGGTGCCCTATTCCATGGCTCATCTGAGATAAATTGCAAACAATAGATCTTAATAGATCTTATAGGAATATAGTAAGATAACAAATTCATGCGGATTTCCTCATCAAAACATCATCATTCACCAGACTTTTTCCAGCTGACCGAAAAGTTTGAGGCCCCAAGTGCTGCAAGCATCGCGCAGACCTCTCAGTGAGTCCCGAATTTTCTCCGTGGCATCTGAGCGCCAGCGGATGTGCACACCAACTTGCAGCAAAAAAAACAATTGGACACATATGGTTATGGGTCCAAACCCTCTGGCCAATGAATGTTTATTCATATGGTTTTTTATAGGTCATAGGTCTTGACCCATCCCGATATTTTTGGCTACTGGAAAAAAACAGAAAAATTAAAAGTAAAATCCTATACTGTCTATGCTGAAGTGGGCAAATGACTCTTCTATCTTTTGGTGGGCTGCTGTCATGGCTAAGAATGGCGAGCCAAGGGAAAATTATAACAAGCACCAAGGGGACTACGGCCAACATATCACCATCCTGGCAATAGACATTGATAGTCATCAGCAACCTGGCAATGGAAAAAGAGTTGCATCCATTTACAGCTGATTTTCCCACTGAAAGGTTGCAATTTTCATAATTGTCCGTTTCCAGGTGTGATTGCCAAAAGGTATTGTCGCAGTTCCTAACGCCGTCAGCATGCTGGTGGTGCGGTCATTGGGGACCCTCCTTGATCTGCCACGATCAGCGAAAATTCGCCGACGAAAACGCTCCCAGCAAGTCTAAATACTTGGCCCAGCTCGGAAGTTTCAACTCAAACAATTAGTTTATGGCGTCTGTAAATCAGTTCGTATAGCATCCAAGATGGTTGAATGGCAAAATATGGCAACATATGGCAACATATGGCAAACGGCGGCTTTCGCCTGGCATTCCCCCAACAAATCATTGGGGTATTGATGGATCAGTTTCCTCTTGGATTTTTGTTCCTCGAAACCGCCGAGTTGGTTGGGATCTAAACATGGAGAATGTCACAGGCCCCAAATCTATGGGCTCGGTCAAGCTCCGGGCCGGGGGGCTTCGATTTGAACGGTGGCGGATCTGGACCAACAAACAAGTCATTGCAGGCTGCCATGTGAATGGTTTAACATGGGAATTCACACATTGTTGGGACCATCTATAGAAGAGTGTTTAAGATTAGGGGATGGGATTAATATGGATTAATGATTAACAACCCCGCAGCTTACGACCAATTTCAATAGGAATTAATCAGTGTTTTGGGGATAACCCGGTAATTAGTCAACACCGTTTATTCATCCGGGGTTGACTATCACCAAAAGAAAATGAGATGTGGAGATGCCTCGGCAGAACAATGACTTTGAATTCAATACACCTAAATTTATTTCGCAACTTGCTTCAACTTGATGTGATATGTGTCACTTGATGGACGTCAAAAACCTAATCAAAAATATCAATACTCATGTTTGGATCATACAATTCTGGTGCAGGACGGCTTCTTGAAAATTGATATGGTTCTTACTCGGTCCTCCGTCCTGTCCAATGTTGGATTTAAGCAGACAAATATTGAGCTTCAGAAATAGCTTCGGAACATCTGGAAACTCCCCAATGATCCGAGTACAGTAGCAGCTGGCGATCTGAATTCGACATGTTTCTGTTTCCTGACATATCTTTCCACAGTGCCCGACTGCATCATCGAGGCACAAACCATTTTAGCACCACTGATTTAAAAAAAAAAAAAATGTGCCTGAGATGGGGTGTGCCCAGATACCCCCGAAATGGCAATCTTACGGAACATGATAAAAACCGGTGGATGGAACGGGTGACCCTGGCTGGCTTTGGAGGGATCGTGATATGAGGCCCACAGGGCATCCCTTGGCTGCTGGCAAAGTCATGTCAAGGGGCAGCTCTCATGGTTCATGGCCGTCAAAAAATGGAAACATATTTTGAACACAAATTCAATAATGTGTGTAAAACAACCATAAACCATCCCCCAGTCATCACCAGAAATAGGTGGTATAAACCATTCCCAACTGGGTGGTTTATTATGGTTTATTATTGTGTTATATCACCACATTGGCTGAGTTGGAATGAACAAATTCCTCTGGTCGGACTGGCCACCTGTGCGACCTCCAAAAGCCCATGGGATTCCATGGGTAACAGATTCACCACCGGTTAGGTCCCAGAACTCTGCGAATTTTCTCCGCAGACATGGGACGCAATGCTGACTGCAATGGCTGACTGCAGGCATAAGCACGGGCTCACTTGATGACCATCATGGCCGCTAAGGATTTCTCGTTCTGAATCTGTAGTTCTAACTTGTCCATGGCCTGAACGCGGCTCGCAAGTTCCCGAGGCAGAAGCAGGGGTTTCATCCATCTCGTTCGGAAATTCGTGCTTGGAATGTCCAGTTTATCTTCCACGTGGCCAACTTTCCGAGGGGTCAGGTCTTTCCCGGAGTGTTTCATTGTTCTGCCCTCTTCCGAACCGTTGATTCTTGAAGAACTGCATCTTTATCTTAATCTGGCAATGGGTCAAATTTCGGCACTCCAAGACTTGTAAGGGTTTAGTGCCAAAAGACTACAAAACGGTTCTTGGGCTAGTTGGATCCCGATTTTGCGGGTCACATTTCCAGGTGAAAAGGCTATGTTCGGTCGACTGTCGAAGGGTTCGAAGTTGTTTTGGTTTATCTTCACATGATTCTGTTCCATTAAAATTGCAATTGTAGGGGCATCCCGATTTTCACACCCATCCCATATCCCATATATCGCTGAAAACATTCCACTATCCCAGTCCGAATTGTACCAAATTGGTAGCCCGGGCCTGTGATCTCTACATTCTTCTCCAAAGGTTTGGTCGTTAAAATTCCCCCATGCAATGTTGTCCCCTTGGAAACAATCGAGGGGCCGGTTTCATATACCACTTATATATACTTATTATATTATCTTATATTCATTTACTGATTGGGTGTTGGGTGGGAGCCCTCTGTTCATTGACCAGTGGGCTCCCAACACTTCTGAATGATGGTCCAAAATCCCATGGAAAATCCGAGAAAACCCATGGCGCCCGAGTTCAACCTCCCCATTCCCAACCGAGAAAGGCCTTGAGGAGAAAGACCTTGAAGTTATCTTTGGAAATAACGCCCTGCGCATCTGCACGTGCTTGCACGGCCACGTGACAGGCCAGCCTCGATTAACATGATCGATCTTGGATCAGGATGATGGCAATGATTCCTACAACGATTATCATTATTGCGATTAATAATGTTTAATGAAGTGCATATGTACATATTGTACATATATATATAATGACGTGTACATATATATATAATGATGCATATATTTAGATATATCGATGGTGTATATACGTGTATATCGTATATCAATGCATTGTAAATATATTGGACTGTTCATATTGGTATTTCATGTTGTTGGTAGTACGACTACTCCTGATCGTACCTGGGTCATATACAAATATGATCAAATATGCATCTATTGTATATATGTGTATGTACTAGTGTTGGATAATATTAAGAATCGCACAGCTGTCGCAAACCCAATGCCACCCACCAAATAATACATGTTCACTCCCAAATTGGAGGTTTCTAACATTGGGCGTACCACATTAGCGATTCCCACTACGATTAGATAAGAACTGATGATTATGAAAAACAGTTTTCGCTAGTGACTGGAGAATTCGTATTGGATAATAATAGGCCTAATCATGCAACATAGTCATTCTATGTCATTCTTGCGATTGGTGTGACTACTAAAAATCTCAGTTTCTCTCAGCATCATAGTAATTTGATTACTACTGGACCGACTTTTAACGTGAGCATTACTGGCCCCTGGCCATCCCATTACCCATGGTATTTCTATGATCCGGGGGATGAGCATCCACATTTGATGGGAACTGCTACACCAAATCGATTGACCCTTGCACCTTTTCGGCAACCACCACAAAAATAAATGTCAAATGTTTAGTAGTTCAAAAATCGAGGTAAAATGAATTACTGTTCTATCTTCCGGGTCACCGCATGCTATCTGGAACTTTGCGGCTACCTCCCCCGGAGGTGACCTCTGAGCATATCTCATCCCCAATGAAATCCATTGTACATCCCCATGATCAATGGGAATTTCAGGATCCTAAAATGGAGGTACTGTACCATATAAGGCCATGTTTTGTGGGGATATTCCCTAAAAAATAGGCCTGAAAATCATTGGCCTTATATATGGTAGGTACCTCCGATTTAGGTTCCTAAAATGGCCATTGACATGAGAGCCAGCAAACTAAGACTTGTTTTAGAAAGGTGTCCATCCTCCGTTTTTGCCAGCTAAATACCAAATGGTTGATACCCTCTGGTAAACTAACATAGCTATTGAAAATCACCATTTTCAATGGGTAAATCCACTATAAATGGCCATTTTCAATAGCTATGTTAAATTACACCAGAGGGTAAATCATCCATTTATGGTGACCTCAACCCACATGTTTGAGACGGGTGGCCTGTCACATACCACTCTCAAAAATATTCTATCCGCATTACATCATGGTATCCCTGCGGAATCCCCTTTGTATATTATATATATATACACATCATGACACCCCCATTATTCTCAGTAAAGCAATAGTAAACCATCCTAAATTTTACATTTTTTATGGGCGGGAGTCCAACTATCAATTTACATGGGTGGTTTATCAATCATTGCTTTACAAACATTAATTCAATTTACGTCATGATATCAATCTGGGTAAATTATAATATTGCACTAACCTGAATTAAGGCCATTTGGGGATGATTTCCCTTACTAACCATGATTCCAGTGAGGCCGCAGTGAGGTCGTTATAATTTACCCAGATCAATGAAACTTGCGTCTTTCATAGCTGCCACATCCCTATGCAATGCCTTGGCGTGCCGTCGCCAAGTGGCTCTTGGCCCAGGACCTGCTTGAGATCTTCGTGGCTGATCAATCCCGTGCCGTGGAAGTCGAAGAAGTTGAAGAGCTCCTGACGCGAACGCACCGAAATTTCAGGACCTGGAAGACATAGATCTGCCTATGTCATAATGTAAGATAAGTAGGTAGGTAGAAACATAGATAGGTAGGTAGATAGGTAGGTAGCTAAGTAGGTAGATAGGTAGGTAGCTAAGTAGGTAAATAAATAGGTAGCTAAGTAGGTAGATAGGTAGATCAGAGCACGTTTTAATTATATACGAAAGAAAGCGGCTCACTAGTTGCCAAAAAACTTCTTCATTGCAGAAAAAATGAGACTGTATCTGCGAAAAAAACTCTGGATTTTGATTGTTTTTGCCGACCATCTATTGTGTGGTCAAGAAACTCTTAGTAGCTCCTTGGCTCTCCATTGAGCAGCGAACATGGATACCCAAATCGCTCCGAATTGCTCCCGCCCAACCACTGGATAGTCATTCTTTAATTACGCTGAAAAAAATCCAGCCATTTGGGCCATCAAAAATACCACTATCCCATCTCATAAAATACTAGTTGGTTGAACGGGTTTCCCGGATATAGGTTATTTCAGTATAGCCAGCTAGTACAAATCCTTATTTCACAACCAATCAACAATCATTCATCAATGCTATCCCCATTAATGTGGGTAAAACATGGTAAAACAATCATAAACCATCCCCCAGTCATCACCATTTTTATAGGTGGGATGTTTACCATTCCCAAATGGGGGGTTTATGACATTGTTTTACTGTTTTACTCACATTACCATCTGGTTATTTAACAGTTCGCCATGGAAAATCACCATGCTATTAATAGGTAAACCATCTATTTCTATGGGCCATCTATACCATGGCGAACTGTCAGTCATAACCAGAGGCTACATTCCGACCATATTTTGAGGGTGAAATCCTCAGGGAAAACATTCCGGCGCTTTTTCTCAGCTGCCTCCAGCACTTTCTCAGACTTCACGTGCGAAGGCTTCAGAGTTGCCGCCAGGAAATCCGTCAGTTGGATCTTGGCATCCTGCATGGGGTTTTGGTGTCTAAAAAATGCCGCCAAAATGCTACAATTTTGGAAAAACTCGGAGGAACCATCGGATTTTGCGAGGTACCCCTATTTTCTGAAGCAAAACTACGTCTTGGTTGCCCAAGTTGGCTGTGAAGCAATTTAAATCCATAGAATCCTAAAGATATCTCCATCATAAACCGGTAGACCATAGCAACCACCATGTCAACCATTTATTTTAAAAAATCAGCAGAGCTTATATAAGTTTACCACGATTTCGTATTGTTGTATTGTTGTTTTCCTGCTCTGTTTAGGGGTTACTAGCTATAAGCCATCTTAGTCAAACATCTATTGGTCAATTGAGATAATCAGCCCAACTTGGATGGAAGACAAACAAGTTGTATGAACCACACACGAGCTTTTGGGCGATTGGCTGCGACTTACCTACCTATACTGGTTGGAATGAAATTCCACCAGCACCCCGGCTTGGACTTGTTCCTTTCACAGATCAACACAGTAGTTGGATCCTCAATCTGTATCCATACCCGGCTGGTTGATGCCGCTTTCGTGCACCATACCCCTAATTAGATCTTATTGGTCTTGATTGCGTCGCCATTTCAATTCATATGCCCCCCTTAATAATTCAACACTTGCGGTTTCTGTCCATACTCTCTTACTGACTGCATCCAAAAGTGCGGGTTCATGGCAGCACCATCTGTGTTGGTTGCATCCACGCTTGCTGGGCTGAACTGAATACCCATCGTTTGATTTGCAGTACATCTCCGTGTGCTTGTGGTGCTGAACAGAATCCAGAACTCTGAAGTGAAACAACATGGACAACCAGCTCAGCTTCAGTCATCTGCAAACAATTCGCTCGTCGTCTTCGCTTACCCTCGTCGTGTTTTGTTTGTAGGTTGTTTGAAGGGCAAATTAGCGGAAACCATGGTTTTTCAAATCAAAATAAATGTGTTCTGCCCAAAATAATTCATGAAGTAGAGGTTTTCTGCTCATATCCCCTTGAATTCTGGGAGTATCCCAGCCCCAACCCCCCTTCCTGAGCGGCCAGTCCTTATCTGGGTCCAGCGAATCTAAGACGGCATCAGTTTCCTGAGCAGCCAGCTCTGCGATCCACATGGGTCAAGCCCCATGTGGGTCTTCGGTTCTGACCCGTCTGGGTTTGAAAAAGGGTGAGTTTTCCCATTTATGGCACTTATGGCAATTTAAATGGGGAAAATATATGGGAACATCAGAACATCATGATTAACATCTGGGGGCTACACAATTTTCAGAGAGGCCCATTTGAATCCAGTTGCTGGTCCAATGGCCAAGTCACCATTTTAGACATCCGCACGTCACTCACCTTCAAGGCACGCCGAAAGTCATCCCGGGAAATGTAGCCTGACAGCCAGACGACAAGCCGAACCACGGCACTGCGACTGGAATCATTTATACCCTATGGATCGAAGTACCTTCTCAGGAAGTAATTAGGGCATGGCTTCATGCGTTAAGTACGTTCTGAGGAAACATTTGAATCCAGTCATTTATAGATATGTTGTAGTTATACTGACGATGAATAACGCCACCAGCTTTGGGACCGGCCCACATGCATCAGATGATGGGCCGCTTTCTCAAACAACCATGGCTAACAAGAAAAACAATCTACTTCGATCTCCTTGGAATTTCCAAGAAAATCCTAAAATCTAGTACGCTTCCACCAAGATTGGGGTTGCAATTATTTCCACTTCGATTTCCTTGGTTGCTTCACAACTAGGAATTTCCACGAAATCCTCAAAGGCCGGCCGAGAAAACCTGGGAAAACCCAGGGCCTGCTTGCGTCACGTCCAAAATGGAATACACCTCCAAGGTGGAGGGGCGTGACTTGATGGGAAAGCATCAATGGCTAGGGTCCTCGCCCAAAGGTACCCTGCATGAAAAAACAACATGTCCAGCGGAAACATCATGAATAAATGGATTCTATGGATGTGAATGTGAGATTTCCCATGGCCAGGCTAGATTCGCGGAGGGTAACTTAGTATTTTTGCTTCTCTCATAGAAAACAAATCATCAACGGATTTGTTTAAGGGAAAATCTTAACCGGAAACCATCGATTTTCCTCTTAAATATCGGATTTTCCTGTGAATTGTCCCTTAAACCAATCCATTTATCAAATTTATCACCTACTCTGCCAGGTCGTCGAAGACTCACCTGCCGGGTCTCCTGGTTGATTCACCACACTGACCCGGCTGACCCCAAACTCCCCATTCAACGTCACAAAAATCATGTCTTTGAGTGGTCACTGACCATCATGGCTAATGTTCCATACCTTCTCTCCCATTACGCCCCCCCCCAACTATATAACATAGACCCTGAGAATAGCCCAGACCAGTTTCGGAAAGAATTGTCTTCCCACATGAATGGCAGAGTCGATTTAATGTCAGCTGCAGGGTGCAACAGATAAGTCATATTCACGTACCTTCGTAATTAACCACATAATCATGTATACATATATATATACACATACATATGCGTGTTATAGGCTATAGGCTATATAGTACTATATAGTTTATATCAGCTACATATGGTTTTCCTTACAAAATCTTACAAGTATATGATCGATACCATAAATCGAACGCATCAATGGCACCTCCATAAGTTCCTCCACATCCCTGGGCCGTGCTTCGTGCGCGGCCACTGTTAGGATGGCCTGTTCGAAGCCTGGAACGAAACCAACGACTGTAGCACGGAAACACGGATACAAATGCTTCATACTTCCAAGATTCCAGTTGGTAAATGATCATAAATGCTCCATAACTCAGTGTGGTTCTTTTTTTCTTACCGGTCCCAAATGGGAAAACCTTGGAGAACCCCAAAAATTGGGGACCAAAAGCACCTGGATTCAAGCCATCCGAGTCAGGCCTGTCAGGCCATCCGCGGATTCCGTGGGTATGCGTGGATGGGATCGCTCTCCCGAAAACAAGAAGATGACAGAGCAAATCTAGAATAAAACATATAAAACCACAGCTAGGCTACTAAGATAATCCTAAGCGGAAAAACTTAGATCTTAGTCTCTGGATATACCTTCTCATAATCCAAGATACCTAAAAATGGCCAGTTTGTAGATGAATTGCGTATCAGAAATGTCGTTTTTCTATCACTATGGCAATCAAATTACGGAGGCCTTAAGGTGAGCAATTTACAGATAATATGGTAGATAAATCTATGCTATTACCATGGCAATTAGATTTATAGGTACTATAACCCCCATTACCTATAGAATCCTAGGTGAGCTACTGATCCATTGACCAAGCCGCACCAGGGCCCCCAGGATCCAAAATCGAGGAACGAGAGAAGCGAGAGAACGACAAGATGCGCTCCACCAGACCTTATCCATCAGGATGGGTTAACATGTTGGTCAGGTTTTAAAACATATGCATACAAATAAATGTGTATATGTAAATATCTATCTATCTATCTATCTACCTACCTACCTACCTACCTAGCTATCTATCTATCCATCTATCTATCTATCTATCTATCTATCTATCTATCTGTGTGTGCGCGCATACGTATTCACAGTATTTTGTTCTTTGTATACCAGTGAAAACGAACGCAAGAAATGATGTGTATATATATATATGTCTGTGTGTGTGCGTGTGTATATATATACACATATATATATATATGCCTAATAAATCAATATATAAGTAGACAAGTATAGTAAACATGTGTCCATTTGCGGATCCTGGAATTTTGACTTGCTCTCACAGCTGTTCAAATCCATGGTACCTAAATCCCCCATTGTTGCGGATGAAATCCCCATCTATACAGTATGTAATTAGGAAATGTTACGGCTTACTCCCCTATCTACCTAGTTATAAGCCCATTGTCTGTGTAGTTAACACGGCCAAATCACCAAAGGGGAATTCTAACTTTAAGACCTCATTATTTCCATATGATTCCATATCGTTTTAAGTTCGTTTTTAACTCCATCTCAGTAGTTCGATGCATCCATCTTTTCAACCCTGATCTATGGATTGATCTGGAGAATCCATTTACAAACTATAACATACTATAACTATTAACATCATTATCTACTAGTACCCCTAACTGGCTAAATCTAGTCATAATAACCCCCATTAGATGGACATTATACCCCCATGAATCTCATAGATCTATGGCTCAGTTCATATCAATGCCATATATCTGGCCAAATTGATGAATAAACTCCGTAAATGACTTGGTATATACACTGGTCATACCAGAACTGGTTAATATGGATGAAATCCAAGAATCATCTGGCTAAATCCTCAATTCTTGCCGTTTACATCCCATCCCATGCCGGGCCAGAAAAAGGCAGCCCTTCCCCACGAGGCTCATCCCAAATGGATTAGTTCACCCCAGTTATTTCAGCGGGATTTTTGTAGGTTTCATCCACCTATAACTAGGGTGAACTAACCCACTTTTGCATGGGATGAGCCCAGTCTATCATCAGAAAAATGGCAGATAACCATTCTCATCTCAATGGAATTACAGGAAACCCCTCGATGGCAAAAAAAAAACTGGTTTCCGGTGAAGATTTCCCAACAAAACCAATTCATGGATCATCCCATCTCCATCTATCTCCATCGAACCGAGCTACTGTCCAACTTCTCCGTCCTGGGTTCCGTTTTCCCATGATGCGGCGACTCGCCCGCCGGCTGCAGCCAGGGATGTAGCAGCGCTTCGGCGGCGGTGCAGCGGTTTAAAGGCTCCTTGACCTTGGCGTTTCGCGGCGAAAGATCCATGGAAAAATGGGGGTGTCACCCTGATAGATCGATGGATGATAGGTAAGTTGGTTCAGTTAACTCTTGTTTTTTGATGTGGATCCATAGTTGCCATAATGATACAATAGGATATTAAAGATGTCATGGCTGTCACGGGGATATAAATGGGATACACATGAAGATCTCAGAACCAAGAATTGGTACTTATATGGATTTACGAATGCATGGGATGTTTTAGGGGTATGGGTATGGGACATACATGATCCAGACGAGACTATATCTCTCTCCCCATCGCCATCTCAAGGCTAGCATTTTCTCCCTCCAAATTGTAAATGGCCATGTCCACCATTCAAAATTGGATGTTGGATCAAAACTGGAAGATAAATAAAAATGTATAAAGCCCAAATCAACTTGGTAAGCTGGTAGTGGTACTGGCCATAACCCACTTACAACTTACAAATGGGTTAACCCAGTGAGGGGACTAATTGACCAGGGTTATTGACTAGGTACGAAGGAAAGACCTTCCAAATATAGAGGTTTTAGACTAACCAAACATTGGCCCGCTTGGATTCTAGTTCAGAGTTGTCGGCTTACAGCCCAGTTCTGTATGGAACACCCACGCTTACATATTTGTTACACAGGGGTTCTCATCGTATTATCGTTAGATATTGATAGATACTGATAGATACTGATAGATGTTGATAGATATTGGTTATTCCACTGCCTGTACATACATACGTGTGCTTTCCTTTGGCCACAATTTCAGGAGGTTTTGGTTTACAGAAACTTTCACAGCTATGTGAAGACCGTACTGATCGACCCCACTAAATTTGAGCGCCGGTTCATGACGAATCTTGCTCCGCAGACTTGTTCATTCTATACTGGTAATTACAACGTATACACATGTCTATCGATCGATCTATCTATCTATCTACCTATATCTGATCAGTTTGAAACTTTAGCTGAGCCCTGTCTGGTGCTGCAAATAGTAGTAGCAAATATGTCATGCCGTGTCAATGTTACAGGGCATGCATAGGAGTGGAACGGACTGAGCATCTCCACTGAGTTCGATAACGCCATGACGGGTCAAAAAAAAACAAGCCGAACAAACGTTGGGAGATCCAGGCCAAAAACAGCAAAACAAGAAGAAACATGGAAACTCTACCGACGGGTTCAGTGGACCGGCAAGAATTGTCCCACAGGCAGACCACAGCATCCAACAAGAATCCAGCGATATGTCACATTGAAGTACCCGTCCCGAAGCTTTAGACAATTTCCATCAATTTCCCGGATATGCCGAGCCCAAAAGGGCCATATTGAGTGGTGAAACCATCTCCGTTCCACTGTTTTTTGGGTTCCATGTTGAACTCAGGTGGCGCAACAAAACCGAGAAGACAAATTCAAATCACCGAAAGAAACCCATAAGAACCCCATCTACAGAGTTTCACAGCCCAAAATGCAGCCCAAAAAATGGCGCCAAAATGGTATTTATCTCATATTCCGATATATCATCCATCGCGCCATCCAATTTCTACGCTTACCTGATTACCCGTGGTTGGTTTCAAATCTTGCGATTCCATATTTTGGGGGCCATGAACCCAGCTATGTTGATGTACAGCAGGGTACCCCCTGATGGCATATCATCCTTTTCCTATTCCAAAATTGCTATTTGTTGGGTCCCCTTGTTTAAGAAACACCCCTCTGGCTGAATCATAAATAGTCCACCAGCCTGAAAAAAAAGGGTCCACTGGGGGATCATTACCCCTACCACCATGCAGGGACGCCATGGCGGCGTCATTATCAATTCAGCCAAGCCAACACTAGTTTCAATATGTTCGAATAAACATAACCCCAACATTGAATTATTGAGCTTAACCTGGTTACCGGTTTCTGTTGCGAAGATGATCCCCATCACATCCCGATTACATCCCATCATAACACTATGTTTATTGGTTAAATGGCATGTCAAATCCATATGTTTTCATAGTTAAATCCCTTTTTCCCGAATGCGTAGCAAGGGTTCCCCTTTCACTCTGGGGGTCTGGGGGTTTGAGAGTGTGTTCGCTCGACGTTGCGTTTACGTCCGCAACCGTCCGCAACCGTCCGCAACCGTTCGCGTAGCTTAGTTTCGCATGGCAAGCGTGGCACTTTGTGACATTCCAACATGTTTCATAATGTGTCAAAAGCATTCAAAAGCCGTATACTTTTGCATCGCTTTCAGAAGATGAGTTGCAGTTTTCGTGGCAGGCGCAGCACTTTGGCGACCTCCATCGTCATTTCGCGTGGCAGGCGCATCACTTTAGACGTGTCGCGCCGCGTGTTTTTTACGAATCGCAGTGTCATGGCTGCGTCAAGTGGCGACACGGTGCAAATTGCGTGGCAGGCGAGATGTGCTGAAACTTGACGGAAACCTCGCACAAAACATCGATTTTGAGGCCGCAAATATTGAGGTTCATAAGCAAACTTGTATAGGAAAATGAAAACGTCGATTTTGAAGCTACACAATGTGAAAATTGGAGGAAGTCTCGCACGAAATGCTCGTTTTGCCACGGGCTTCTCATCCTTGCCCTCAGGGCCTGCGTGATGTCCGTCGCCAGGCTAATCTCGACGCCTTCAGGAAGCGGCCGAAAAGAGCTCGGTGTGAGCAATAAAGGCACCCATTTGTAGACCGCCTCCTTGTCCGGCGCGCTTCTGCAAGAAGGGTTGCTGCGACTTAACGGACACGTTCGCCAATTTGAGCAGCGGCGTTTGCAATGTGATTTGTGCGTGCTTGTCAATCATGGTGATTGCGGTTGATTTTTACAAATGACTATAATGTGAGAAGATATGATGTAAATAAATATTAGCGGATTGCATCAGCGGACCATGCCTGAGGATTGCCATTGCAGTCGGGCTGTGCTCCAGGCCCTTTTCCGCGAAGTAGACTTTGCCGCTTTCTTTGCCTACCACCCCGGCAGCCGCGCCAAAGGGGAAAAAGCGACCGTGGTCCATGAAACAGCAAATTCAAGACCGAATTCCATCTTAGTGGCAATTCATGAACTTGAACACGCGCGGCAATCGGCATGGAAAGCCATGACAGGCTAGCAAAAGCATCAAAACATATCAAAACTTAATGCCTATGGCTACAAGGTCGATACATTTTTAAAGATAGGCTATACCGATGTTTTGCCAACACAGGGACGGCCTGTAGGCGTTGAAAGTTGCAAGGCCAGCCAGTGCATCGCCATGGATCGATCCAGCGCGGTTTCGAGTTGGACGATTGAAAATCGTAGCTGTACAAAGGACAGCCCAACTCCCGACTCAACCGACATGGATCCAACGGCGTGACGCAGAGCACCGTCTTGATGTACTCCGGGAAGCATTGCCCCCAATCGTCGTTCACGGCCTGCTTCCCAGTGAGCCGCTGGGTCGACGATAAGGGGCCTCCCTGGGTCGACTCGCGGGTCGTCATGATGAATTCGAATTTCTGGCAGCAGGCCGAAGAACAAGCGAGACACGCAAGAAACAGACGCCCTTTCAAGCAGATCAGCGCGTTCTCTTTTTTCCCCTATCTATCGATCGATCTATCTATCTATCTACCTATATCTGATCAGTTTGAAACTTTAACTGAGCCCTGTCTGGTGCTGCAAATAGTAGTAGCAAATATGTGATGACACCACACTCCACTCTCTACACTCAACACTTTACACTTTACAATCTACACTCTGCACTCTACACTCCACACACTACAAGCCACACTTTACAACTTTCCACTCCACACTTTCCACTTTACACTCCACACTTTACACTCCACACTTTACACTGTACACTCCACACTCTACACTCTTACACTCCGCACTCTACACTCCACACTCTATTTACACTCCACACTCTAACTTTACGCTCCGCACTCTAGACTTTACACTCCACACTCTACAATTACACTCTACACTTTACACTCCACACTTTACACTCCACACTTTACACTCCACACTTTACACTCCACACTCTACACTCCACACTGTACACTCCACACTCCACACTCTACACTTTACACTCCACACTCCACTCTTTACTCTCTACACTTCACACTCCACACTTTACACTCCACACTTCACATTCTACACTTCACACTCCACACTCTATACTCTACATTCCACACTTTACACTTTACAGTCCACACTCCGCACTCTACACTGTACACTCCACACTCCACACTTTACACTTTACACTTACACTCCATGCTTTACAATCCTTACTCTACACTCTACACTTTACACTCCACAATCCCCACTCTACACTCCACACTCTACACTCCATACTCCACACTTCACACTCCACACTTTACACTCTACACTCCACACTGTCACGCTCTACACTCCACAGTCTACACTCCACAGTTTACACTTTACACTCCCACTCTACACTTTACACTCCACACTCCACACTTTGCACTCCACCCTCTTCCGCATTCCACAGTTTCAGTGCACAGGTACGGTAACAGCGGGTTCGTGGGCTGCATCTTGTTTTTTGCTGGTGAAATTTCATCTTTTATTGGTGAAAATCGCGGTTTTGATGGTACAACCATGTGAAACCCTAGGTATCCATCCCCATGGGGTGGAGTACAGTAGAGTAGCCAGGTTGCTTGTTCTGCAAATTTCCTTCGTGATTCTGTAGTGTTTTGCAACCCGCCGTTGGCAAATCGCAATGGAACTGCAATATCAAGGGTGGGTCTCTATTTTCATACCTTGATCCTAGGTCCTCTCCAAATATCTTCAAAACATGATGTTTGATGCTTAAACTTGTTAAATAGTGTTAAATAATGTTAAATAATGTTAAATAATGTTAAATACACCCCAAGTATCCAATTTTATCTCAGTCATCCGATCCGATCGGTTCCACTTCAGATCGGGTCACCAGCAGCGACCTCAACAGGTCCTCCGATTCAATGGCCAGTGCCCCGCAGTTGCGCAGGCACGACACGCGCAGCGCGCCATTGGAGATGCGACGGTAGGCGTCGGCCGGGCCTGCGGCCTCAGTACTCGGAGTGGCAGTGGGGAAGAACCAGGGGATTTGACCGGCCAAAAATACCAAAAAACATGGGATTTCACATGATTTCACCGATTTCACCAGGAAAAATGGAAGTTCAGAAGCAAACATTGAGATTCAACCAGGAGAAATAAGAATTGAAGGAGGTAAATATGGGACTAAAGCAACAAACATTCAGATTGAAGCAGCCAAAATGGTAGTGGAAGAGATCAAATATTTGGATAAAAAAATGAATATATTTGGCTTATTTTTTCATGGTTTCAAACATTTGGGATCTAAACACAGAGTGAAACCCTGAATACTGACAAGCAATGGACTTGGAAGATCTTGGAACAAACCAAAGCCAAGAGGTTCCTAGGTTTACCCTCTGGTAATTTAACATAGCTATTGAAAATTGCCATTTATAGTTGATTTTCCCATTGAAAATGGTGATTTTCCATAGCTATGTTAGTTTACCAGAGGGTATTTTGTCTTGATCAATTTCTTTGAACGTTACCTACTTAGTAACTTGTGGGATGGGGAACAACATCCCCAACATTGTAACATGTTCCGTGATTTTCATGTTATGACAGATACACCTCACCCCCTCAAACTGTTCGAAAACTTTGTGAATGTTGCTACCCTGCAAAAAAAAATCACTGCGCGGGTTCATGTACCAAGTTCTGGGATGGGTTAAATCGTCTACAGAACTCTACCACCCTTTGATATGGGAAACCACCCGAAATCCATTTCTAGCATCACGACTCCAGTGTGTTTCCCCTTACGACCCCGTAAGGGATCGCCAGGTGAAGCACAAAAACAACCAAGGTGCGGTGGAACAGAAGGGATGCTCATTGGTCAGCACGACGAAGAGCATCACTCCCAGAGACCAAAGGTCACACTCCAAACCTGACAGAAGGTCTTTCAAAAGGCTGCCGCTGCATGGCTGGGAGCTAATCACTTGCCTCTTACATTCTATCTATTCATCTATCCATCCATCTTAACTATACATCCATCTATTGGATGTTTGTGTATATGTACATATTTCTGCCTATCATGCCTATCTGCGCACATCCGGCACACCCAACGATCCAAGCTGGGAAGCCATAGCGGTTCATCGGATCTTGACTCTTCAACACCTTCGCTAGCAGGTCGCACCAGGTCTGAATTCATCCTGAATTGGTTCACCCAAGCTGAACTAAGGCAATTTGGGGATAGTTACCCTACTAACCATCTGGTTGGTGGTTGGAACAAGTCACTTGGGATGATTATTCCCAATATATATATATATATGGGAAAATGAAAAATGTTCCAAACCACCAATCAGCCATTATTCAGTGACGTCTCAGTGAGGTCGTTAAATTGTATCCGGATGACATGGTTTGTCCTTAGGAACATTCTGGCTGCATCCTGGCTGGGTCTGGTTCGAAATTGGGTACCCCAAGAACAATGGACGGCCCACACTAATACTATACAGACTATACAATACTAAGATGACCCGCCCCATTTCTGACAAGTGCAAATTTGGGTCTTAGATCTCTAGCCACTCCACCATGCCACTGGCGCCCCACTGGCGCCCATCGGTGGAAACCCAGGGTGGCCTCTGGGGCTAAGAAATACAGGGTTCCGACCTTACGGCGGTGAAGATGTGAAGGTGCATGGCCAAAAAACCTATTGGTTGGTGTTCGGAACCGCGGAAGCCTTCTATTTTTCTGTGCAAAAACCAACCAGTGGGAAAAGGGACATCTATGATGCGGAATTTCGGGATATTTTGGGTGTGGAACATTTCTGCCAAAACTTTGGCAGAGCTGAGGATCATAAATGTAAACCCTCAGCCAGCCATTAGTGATGCCCGTTACTCACATTGAATACAGCGAATAACCATCACTGACCAACATCACTAATGGCAGATACATCAAATGGTGAATATAGATTTGCTCAGCTAGATCCACCATTTGACAAGAACCGTGATATGCGCGCGGCAGAAGGCGAAATGATTGTATACAAAGATCTTTTCCCAGTGACTTGGGAAACCACCCCAGTTAGTAGCCATTTAGACACCATACTTTAGATATCTTTAGATTGAGGAGGTTGATATGGTTTGATTCAAAAAAATTGGAGGTTTAAAGTTTAATCCTCAGATACAATGTGATACGTTCTGTTTGGGGGGCTACCCCCTTGCAAGTGGCTTGCAAGCTGGTATAGAACTGTTGATGACACTAATACTTGCATCTAAATGGCAAAAAAATCTTTGAATTGAAAACACGGGTCGTTTTTGCAACCAACAGCTCCCTGCCAGGGCCCAGTCAGTCCAGTTTGAACCAAGGCAACACGCCTTGGTAAACGACATGTGAGGATTCCTCCCTTTCCAGCTGAGTCACCACCTCATTCATGGTCCCACCTTCCGCTCCTTTAGCGAAGCCAGCCTCGGTTCGCGCTGGCGAAAAATCTCTGGAAGTTGTTCAAAGGATGGAAATTCCCATGGCACTTTTTTCACTTTTTTGCCAAATGGAGATTTGAGTTCCCATTTTTCAGATGGTTGGTGGTATACCTACTCCTCTGAAAAATATGACTTCGTCAGTTGGGATGATGTGGAAATTCCCAACATATGGAAAGTCATAAAATTCTTGTTCCAAACCACCAACCAGTCAGTGATTCTTGGGAGAATGGAATTTCAATCATTGGCTCCTGGAAACGCCCATGTTCTGGCAACATTTTGCTCAAGAGGTTGGGATATGGGCCAAGTTGTTCTGTACCCGAAAATGCCTTGGCTTTAGGTCCTACAAAATGATCCACCCGTAAAACACCTCTTGAGCCTGGTGATTTTCTAGCCCACATGAAATTGCCAGAGAAAATTCGCCGGTGTGTTTGAAAAATGGAGCGCATCCACCGAATAATTTCGAACATATTGAAATACCAAATCTATGGGAAAAACTTATGATACCAGGAGACCCCAGGAGAAGCCTAAAAACGCGTTGAAATGATGGTTCTTTGGAAAAAGAACCGATGTTTTCAGCCAGGTTTGAGTTGAAACCCAACGTTTTTACTGCCTGCATCTTTCAGGCTTTTAAGGTTAAACACATGTGCCTGGTAAACTAACATAACCATGGAAAATCACCATTTTACGTATTTTTACGAGGGAAATCAACCATCAATGGCCATGTTCAAAAGCTAACCAAGGTATCTTTGGAGGGTAGACCTTTGTGGGGATCCCAAGTCTTAGGGGCCACGTGTCGACACCCAGCGACAAGGCCAAAGTCAATGACCTTCGCCATGCGCCCGCAGCGACGCTCGCTGCAATCGGTGATCAAGCAGTTATCCTCGGCGGTCGACTCACAAAGGTAACCGTTATGTTTAAGGGATATAGTCATATAGTTGATGGAGATAATTTATATTATTCATTTATCTATTTACTTTATCTATTTTTGGGCACAACTGATATCACACGATATAACCATATCTTGATTATTGATGTGATACAACTGATGTAACCATGGGATCATAACATCCATAAGTTGGGAGATGGGGCCCAACTTCACCAGGTTTTCGGATGTGGTTTTTCCGAATTTGGGGGAAACCCATTGGGAAAATGACCGTTAGTTTACCCATTGGGGTACATAACATTATATAACATTATATAACCATGTTCTAATATGCTTGTTATCCGCTACCCAGGTGGCATTGCGGCATTGCCAACACCAACTATTGAACAGGAAATACAATATGGGTCTGTGTGAAATTGATGGGAAAACCACCTTAGAACCTCAATCCCTCCAGTAGACAAACCCGTATAGCTGCCGGGTTGATGTACCAGTTGTATGTCTGTATATATCTAATACCTTTGGGGTTTTCAGCTGGTACCCCTTCACTAAACAACGAACCAGTGGCAAAAAACACATCCATCCCAGTTTGTGATTGATCACTATGGTGACAACCAAGCCAGAAATGGTCTATGGGCCTATGGGCATCAAGCGGGGTGAATAATTAATCAATTTGTGACTGGGATGCTCACAGAAAAACAGAACGAGGTCGCCGTTCTTTTGACATAAATCCCAGGTTGCGTCTGCACTAAAAAATATGAATATATATGCATAAATATATATATATATATATCTGCGCGCGTGTGCGCAAATAAATAAATAATCATATATATATATGTATATTATATACATACATGTATACTTATGTTTATATTATATATGGCAAGAATTTCATATATGTCTCTCTTGCATGCATCAACAGCCACATGTGACAATGATGATGTCTACAGCCAAGGCCAAGGGGCGCCTGAGCAAATTTCGAACCTGGGATACCCTGCTCCATTTCCCAGCACGAAAAGGGACCAACATGTGTCCTAACTAGCCCTACTGTGGATGGAAAAAAATCCTGCACCACCTTGGATGTTTGAAAGCCTTTAAATAATGGGATAAACTACCTATCAACTGGTGCAGGATTTCTGCCATCCACAGTAGAAGCCTAGTATTCACCAAGGGTTTCAAGGGTTTCGTTTCAGCTTTGATGAATACCTTGCAGCCCTTGCAGTCAAAGTCTCGAACTTCAGGTCTCTGTGTGCGATTCCTTCGGAATGGCAATATGCAATGGCCCGAACGACGTCTCGGAACAATAGCCGAATTTCGTCCCAATCATCTACCTGCCAGGCGAGAAACTCCGGAGCCACTGAGCCAACATCTGCATTAGAAACACCAAGGAGGCCGATGAATCAAACATACCATTAGGAAGGACAATAATATTGATAAATTGATACTGGCAAAAAAAAAAAATACTTCGAGTGATCCCCACCATGGTATTTCAAGGCATATATTCTGACAGATATTTTGACATATATTGGAGGTCCGGCAGGGAACACTTTGCTCCAGAGGTTGCTGTTCGGGTCCGGCGGGGAACACTGGGCGGGCGAGGGCAGCTGACATAAAATCTAACAACCCTCATCTGACAGGTGGGGAATATCAATTCTGAAATACACGCAATAACAGATTGATGGAGGTTATAATCGTATGAATTGCTATTGTAATGTGCTGAGGGGTCCCCAAAAAGGGTTTAAAATAGTCAAAAACATGAAACAATCCTATTAATCGATCAGTATTGGTATGCCGCCATCCCTCATTGATTTCACCCAATTCCACCCAATTTCAGTGCGATCATTCTCAACCAAACGGGATAGATTGGTAAAAAAAAACTGGCTGGAGAAGGTTTCTAGTAGAGACAACCAGGACCATCAACTTATCAACGTTTGAAAAGCCCCAATAATCTATATAGTCCCATCAAAAATGTCAACCCCAGAATAAACTAAGACCTGGTTGAATTCAATGGGGTATCCTCCAGTAATTCAACATAGCTATGGAAAATATCCATTTATAGATGATTTTCCTGGTGAAAACTTCAATGTTACAGTAATTCATTTTCCCTAAGGGAATCTTAAATTACCACATGATATCCCATTTCCATCAATTTCCATCAGTGTCGATCAATTTCCATAAAATCACTCAAAAAATACCACCATGTCCCCATGTCCATCAATTTTACCTCAAAAAACTCGCGGATATCCATGGTTTTCCATCTCGCACCGGGACCATTGAAGAACTGTCTTTGATTCCATGTTGGCAAACATTTACCCAGAAGATGCCCTACTTGCTGGTGAATAGATGTGAATAGAGCATATGGGATATATTAATTAGCATATGCATCTATATACATACATCTACCATTGTTTTTTGTCAACCAGTTGATGTCAACCTCGGATTAATAAATGATTTGATACTTAAATGATACCTTCCCACTTAAACAACCGTTTGGGGTTTATTAATCCAGGGTTGACATTATCTATGTTGTGTCTTAACTACACAGAAAGCATATGGGATGTCAGCAAGCAGCGAATGCATCGCTGGTTTTCAAGGTAGTAAAAATGGTCAGATTCCAGGGCACCCCCGCCTTAAACCCTCAGAGGGGCCATCAGATCCCTTTTTTCCACATTTTCCCCACATGTACGAACCAATGTCCGTCCACTTTTTCTGGTTCCCAATATGGATAGCTGTCGAAAACCCTCACCTTCAGCAGGGTAGTTAGTTGATTGTCCCATTTGAAATTTCTGGGAATGCCTCCAAAATAGTGATCAATTCCATTCAATTACTCTTCAAAACTGATAGTCCTGGTCAAAATGATGGAAAAAAGGGCTAGCTCGTGATTGACCAAGGTCAAGCGATGTCAATCGGCTTCCCCACTTTCCACCCAGGTTTCCCCCGAGAACTCCTGTGCATCGAGCTCCCCGATGTTTCCTCCTGTGCAAAGCTCCGTGACGACATAGATCGCCTGTCGGTCCTCGAAATATTCGAAGAGCTTCGCCTAGGAAAATGTTCAACGAAGCAGCTGGGGTGATAGGAGGTCATCATTGCCAGGAGCATATCTCACAAATAGATTATGTATGTATGTACGTACGTAACGTACGTACGTACGTATGTATAGGGTGGGGTCATTTCAAACTACAATTCGTTCTGAACCATATCAAAGGGACATGGCAATGAAATATCGTCCATCAGCAGGTGATCTGTCATGATTTTTCACCGCAAACTAGATATAACTAGATGAATTAGTAGATATATCACGATATATCGTCGACCATCATGGATTTCTCGCCTTGAACATGTGATTTCATGGATTTCACCATGTTTCAGCACACTTCCCATGGCCATGAAAGATAGCGCATGGTCGTATCGTCCCAGTGACGATGTTGGGATGATCCAGCTGCAAAAGCGCATAGACCTCCAGGGTGTCTGGGAAATCAACGAAGCCAGCCATGGGTTTGGGGTGATTTCATGGTGATCTCATGGGAAGATATAATGATATAATGGGATATTCCGATTCATAGGAGATAATGATGGATAAGGGTTTTGAACCAGCTATCATGGATTCATGGGCATTTCTCGGGTGGAAAATATGAGAAAATCATCCACATAAATTGGGGGTCCAGCATCTGCGAGCAAAACGAGCGGTTTCCTTCGTGCTCGCGATTGTGCGGCTTTTGATACCATTGCTGCTCCCTGCCTCGTTGGAGATACTCTGAAGTTCCTCCGAGCTGTCCGAAGGCTTCTTAATCACCTGAAGGTACCGGTGCGCTGACCCAGGTAGTTGGAGGGGTCCTAGGCATTCAAGCCACACCACCATTAAAAAGCTGGAGAGACGAAATGCCACAATACAAGCTACAGCCCTGCTGATGTCACCATTATAATATGCAAGTAATCAGTCATCAACAGAAACGGTGAGGTAACCACCACACATACACACACTAGACAAGAATGGATCATTATATGATCCGGCAGGAACTGAATCCTGAAACATGCAGATTAAGTACGAAACACTGAAATTAACGATGTATCCTACGAATAATAGAAGTACTTCAGAATGGTCATCGGGTTCAGAATCGACGTCAAAAAGAATGAATAAACCAGTAATAATACCATCGGCGAAGAATAACGTCGGCGAAACTTAGATGAATACCATCGGCGACGATGTTGTCGGCGATCATGTAAACAAAATAATACATAGGTGCTTTCTACGTCCTTGCTCTGAGGAAGGTTCTGATGCAACTGAATCAATAGTAAATGACCAAAAGTAATTCCAGACTGCGACAACAGTGCAGCAAATTGTATAAGATTGTGGGTGGGGTTCTTAGCTTGGCCCCTTGCTATGTCGGAAAAATACAAGCGCAGGTACGTCGGAATGATCAGTCCCGATATCACAATCTCAAACCACCGTCTTCGTTGGGCAGTGGATGGAATGAGATTCACTGCCCCCCTGCAAATTAGTGAAAACCAATAAGAAGTTTTACATCTGTTCAGATGGTACACACACACACCTCGCATGTAGCGAGGTTGGTTTTTTGGAAGAACTTCGCTGGCGGAATCGGCAATACACCAGTGAAAATGAACCTGTAAGAACCTAATGCACAAACGGGCGATCACTTCAATCAGAAGAGGAATTCGGAGCTTGTAGAAGGACTTCCATAGCATCGTGGAAGCTCATGTGTTCAACCATCGCCCAAGTCTGATCGAATTCCCCAGATGCCGTAGCAGCCTTCAAGGTATCAGATAGATCTTTGGCTAATTCATGGATCCGGGTGGTCAGGCTCGGTTCATCTGCAGGAGATGTCGTCTCAATGGGCACATTGTGAAAAGGATGGTGTCCGTGTACAAGGGGGATCTCAAAATGATGTCGCCAATAGTCCGCTGTACGCAGGGACCACTCCCAGTTGCCCGAAAGACCATAAAAATAGTGTTCAGGGTCACGACATCGGGAATGCCCTAACAAGGGGATTTCTTCAATGAATAGCTCCCTGGTGTTGTTGGAGTGGGTAATGACCTTGAATTGGATCTGGTGAACCACGCGAGAAGAGAATTGAGCACGATGGAGGTAGTTGTGTGTAGAACTTGACTCCGTCGGAAAAGGGACGCCAGGAGGTGCTGGTCCTGAATATGTATCAGAATGGGCCATAGTACCCGAGTCAGGAGCCGTACTGTCATTGACCAAAGGTGCCGAAGTAGGGCTGGTAGTAGTGTCAGGAGGGCCTGAGTGACATAGTGCCGAAGTCTGGGCGTCTGATACTTGAACTGGGTTGGTAGGAGCGAGTCCACGGGTAGGATTCGAAGGCCAAGACAAGCCCGCCACGGTCGCGTCTCGTTTGTGTTCCATGGGTGAAACAGTCAGAAATGCGAGAAATAGGGCAACAGCGGCTGAGGCATCAAGAATTGCAAATATAAGCCAATCCCGAAAAAGATAACATTCACAAAGATAATAATAACAGTGAAGTCCAGTCCCCAATCAAGCGGTTCAATTACGGCGAAGAAGCCAAAGCACAAAGTCAAATAAAGTAGGAATCAAAGAATCCTTTGTGTTGGTGAGGTGTCAAGGGAGAGTGGAAAACCCTGCAGTATGGTCTTTTGTTGGCCGGCAAGCGTATCAGGGCAGGATCACACCGGAGCTAATTTTGTAGCATTGCAGACGTAGTATAAAAGGCTGTGTGGTACCCGGAATGAGCAAAGAGGATTCGCGGGAATTGTACTGCTGAAGTCGCCATTCAGGTCGGTATTCCTCCAAAAGCTGCAAGACCGTCATATCATTGGAGACTTGGAATGTATCACCGTCCAGGTCGCAAAAGCGAAACTCCAAATTCGAGGGATCAATTTGGATGTCCCATTGGGACCTCAATCTTTTGGAAATACAGAAGCGTAGTTCGGCAATTGGGATGAGGCCGGCTTCAACTGGTTCCATCTGACGCGACCAGGTAAACAGAGCCTCCAGTTCGTAGCCACTAACATTTCTGAAATTGGAGCTGGCCATAGCCATGTAGTGTTCACGGTCAGGTTCGCTACGATGAGTCAATGCCTGTAGAGGAGAGAAGTCAACCAAGATAAGAACAGGTCGGTTTGGAGGAGGGTTTGCATCACCAGGAAGGCCTCGATGTCCAGCAAACCATCCAATGGTTCGTGTACCCAGCGGTGTCTCAATCGTGGATGTAGCGCGATATGGATTGGGTCGAGAAGAACGAGCCATGGCATCTAATGTCGAGTGTCGAAGATAAAGCGGAAAGCCCAAGCTGCAGAATAGGTGGATAATGACCAAGGAATAAAGCTCAAAGTGTTGAAAATTGAAGAGAAACGGTTTACCTAGTAAGAGGTCACAAAAAGACGGTAAAGCCCTGTTCTTTTCCGGTGCCGGCAAATAATGTGGTGTATTACACACTGGAGTCTGACATATCCATCGGGTCCGTATCGTTCTCTTCCAGTGGACCTTGTACTTGTTGAGGAGGGACGGTAGGCCGAGTGAGATGTAAAGTACGTTGTAATGTTGCCGGTGGTGACGAAGGTGGTGTAGACCGCCATGGTGGCCAGTATAAGGAGGTGGTAGTTCCTTGAGAGTGATGTTGCGCAGAGCGTCCCCAGCATGACTGCAAAATATAGAGTTGGTCCGGTATTGCTTCATACGGTTGGGAGACATAGACATTGGAGTGTTCAGGGTGTGGTAGAACAGGAACAGCAGTAGTCGTAGAGGAGGAGGATGATGATTGAATTGGTACGTCATAGTGTCGGCGCCAATGATTAGCCGTGGTACGTAGAGTCGCCTGATCAGTTGTGAGGTGCATGTTCTCCAGAAAGGTTTCCACAGGTTTCCACGTTTCAATACCATCCATTGTCCTTTCCACGACCCAAAGTTCATCCGGACGGTCAGACAACGGGTAGCTCAGCTTCTTGATGAATATGGAATGAACAGTTGTCGAGGTCGGGATGGTTCGTGCTTCGCGAGGGATATACGATGCCGAAGTAGGATCATCAGGAGGTAGATGTGGAACAGGGCCATGTAGGGATGTAGGTGGGGAACGGTGTGAAGCCGATCGAGCAGTATCATCCGTGTTGGAGATCATCGTGTACAACAACAATAATATGGTTTCGGAATACGCTGGACTGAAGCCAAAGAGCCATGAGAAAGGTCAATGATGACGGGATGAATAACGAACATCAACAAAAGGAAAAGAAAAGAAAGAAGTAAAGGAGACCAAGGAAAACCAAACCCAGGATGGCGGACCTCATAACGAATGTTTTCCCTTTTTCCTCATAGATGTGAGCATCGCCAAGATCTATCTGGAAAACTAATCACTCGGCCGCCTTAGTATATCTGGTGGCCGTGATGAATGGATGCCCACGGGGAATCACTTGGACATGTACAGCGAAGCCTGTGTCTTGTGCATCTGGATGGGGTGTCAGCAGCAAAGGTGAACACTCACGGGTCGTGAAGGCATCGAGATGTTGGTGAGTCTTCCATGACGGATAAAACCAGTTCAAAACGTCCAGAAGAGAATGAGGAAGGTCATCAAGCATCTGAGCTCCTTGATCGGTGTCGATCATCATGTAGAAGTCGGAAGCTGGTAGGTGTATCGACCAGCGTTGCAGCAGCGTATCGGTGACTACTTTTTTGAGGTCGGAGACAAAGTGACTGCGAGCATAGTCCGGGTAGATCACCTTGAACGTCTGGAACAGGCTATCATAGGTGGCCGTAGGAAGGTTGCCCGCTACCTTGGGGGTCAAGATGTTGTAGTAAGGGTTGCGGAAGGCCAGTTGCTGCATCGGCTTCAGGTCCAATTGGAAAATAACGGGTCGGTGGGGTGTCGAAGGCGGAGTCCGATTGGGTGGATGCTGAAGTGACGAGGAGCCCATAGCGGAGGACGATGCCCGTGTCGGAGAGCGTGAGCGTCGTGTAGGTGAGATCCTCTCGTGGGACATAGCTCGCAGTTGGCAATAGCGGTCCAGGTGAATGCGGAGAGACATAATAAATGGCTGGCGGGTTGTGTGATACGACGTGTCAAAATTCAATGGGGCAACAACCCCCATGGTTCTGAAGATTAACGAGAAGAAAAATTCCAGAAGGAAGGTCAAATGATTGGTAAAGCTGGGATACAGTGCCGCAAACGACCTTTTCCTTTTGGTTCGCATATGTCGTAGGTCAGCCCAGTTTGTCTTTGATCTTATTCCACATAGAGCGAACATCTTCCTCGGACTTGCCCATCTTGGTCGAGATCACTTTCCATGAAAATCGAGATTTCTCGTCAGCCTTCAAGGTGCGTAGTTTCTGTTTGTCTTCGGAAGTCCAGAGTGACAGTGGGCTGGAGGAGCGGGATCGGGATTGGTCACGTCGGCGACGACGCTTGGCAGGTGCCTTTGGAGCGGATTTGGCTTTCTGTTTACGATTCGGTGGTGATGGTGTTCTGGTAGAAAGCTTCGAAGGTGCAGGTAAGACATCAGGTGGCGGAGCGGCAACGTGTTGGTGTGGTTCAGGGAGATGGGTTTCCACCAGTTCATCCATGAGTGTCTCTTCCTCCGCCATATCCGGCGATGGGATGAGGGCATTGTCAATGAAGGCGTTGGTCTGGTCCGAGTAATGTGGTCGTAGTCCATCGGGTTGATTCCATACATCTGTACTAGGAAGAGGAGTAGGTTCAATGTTTGGAATGAGCGTGGGTGGTAGTAGCGCCATTGCTCGGTGTAGTAGAAGGTAAGCATGGTGAACATCATGAAGAAATTGAAGAAACACTGGTTCTTGAATCGGAA